AGTGAGCAGTGTCTCGCCTCTGGCTGCTCGGATGCAGCCAAAATGGGTGCAGCATTTAGGGCAGCCAGAGAGCTGTGTCTGGCTGGGCGGGCCTGAAGTTTGGATGTTTCCACACACCTTTCCCATGCTGTTTGGAGGCACTTCCGAGGCTAGCGGTAGGCTAGCGGTATTCTCTGCATTGCTGCAGGTGAGGAACTGACTACTCAAACAAGCAGGGAAATCTGTTTCCTCCATGCAGAGGCTGGTAATTAGCAGCTAGTCCTAATCAGCACAGGTATCTGTTTGAAGTGCACTTTCTCTTTGTAGACAGCAGACTTTTTTTTTTTTTTTTTTTTTTTTTTTTTTTGCCTCGGATGGCACCTTAATAAAAAAAAACTGGTATCTACAAGACTGTCATACTAGATAGAAGGAAGAAATGTTTTACGACAAGGGAGGTGAGGCACTGGCCCAGGTTGCCCAGAGCGGTGGTGGATGCCCCATCCCTGGGAACATCCCAGGGCAGGTTGGACGGGGCTCTGAGCACCCTGATCGAGCTGAAGATGTCCCTGCCCGTGGCAGGGGGTTGGACTGGATGGCCTTTGAAGGTCCCTTCCAACCCAAACCAGTCTGTGATACTTTTCACATGTTACGAAAACTCCAGTGACTGCCTTATTTATTTTGCTGGGCTGGACGCCTTGCCTGTAATGTGTGCATCGTGTGAGCTCTGCCGTGGGCAGAAGAGCACTGATGCATGTTGCAGCAAGATAACAAGCCATGGTGGCAGCCCCAAGGTGCACAGGAGCCACACAAGCCCCAGGAGGAGATGTGGCAGCATTGCCATGATGCAGCAGAGCTGGTATTCACCCATAGCATTTAATTTTATAAAGGCTCTATTTCCATAATAATTTTCTTCTGTGCTGATGTTGCCAAAATTGTGTGTATTACAAGCAGCCGTGTTGCATACCACACCTGCACAATGGTCACATGTTTCAGTATTTTTTTATTCTGTGCTGAATACAAACAAGTCCTGCCTGGTTTTAACAGTTTCTGCTCACTGAGCAGCCTGTTTGGTACCAGCTGCTCCATGGGATTCACCCGTCTTTCCCTGATGGCACCAGCAGTTGGTTAACTTGTACAGTGAAGAAGGGAAGGTCTCTGTAGCCTTTATTCCTGAAGGTCTTTGTTCCTCAAGTTGGAAAAGAAATGTCTGAACGTGCATTTTTCACAAAAAAAAAAAAAAAAAAAAAAAAAAAAAAAAATCAGAAGAGACACATTACTTCAAATGCAGGAGCCTGAATGGCCTTGCTGTCTTGTTTGGAAGCCAGCATCTTTCTTTTTATTTTATTAATATAATACAACTCCAGAAGTTTTCTTGAGCTGTGGAGAACCCACCTGGCCTGTTTCATGTAAGAGCACATCAGTTGTTAGGGCAAATTCTTGAGAAAATATGATCTTGCAGAGCAGCTGTAGTAGCAGTAAATGGTGTTGGTTGTCGGTTTTATCACTAGATTCAGTGTTTTTTGGAGAATGATGGTACTTTTTAAAAGAGACAAGCCACAGGGAGGAATAAACCACTCAGGGTGACACGTAAAAGGCAGTTTGTGATGGGACCTGAAGCCTGTGGAAACTGTGGGTCTAGAGCACTCCTTGAATGGGCTCCCAGGTGGGTTGGTGTCTGTTTTCTCCAGCCAGGCACACCCCAATAGCTGATATGGAGAAGCTATGAAAGAGGTCAGAATTGGTAATGAGAGGTCTTAATTGTTAATCTTAGATAGAAAAAAACAGGTTACAAAATAATACCTTATAGCAGTGCTGACTGGATGCCAAGGAATGCATAATACCTCTTTTTTGAGCATTATTGGCTTTATTCAACTGAAGACTCTCTCCCAGACTGGTGTAGTTTTCATCTTCTGGTGTAAAGAAAAAAGTGGTAGGGAAATGTTTTCTGAAATGTGCTGCTTGGGCAGTACCTGTCATGCTGAGAAGGGCAAGAAGCAATAATACTTAAGTAACTTTCAGGCAAGTGTAGCTCTAAGCCAAGCCACCTTTGCATTTGCAGAGCTCCTTTTGCAGGGCCAGTGCTTACTGGCAGAGACCTTGGTTGCCATCTCTTTCTTCTGCTTCTCCCTCACCTCCAACTAAAGATGGTCTGTCCATCCACACTTGCAGCCCATGCCAAAGCCTCTCTCTGCTCCTTCCCTTTTAGCCGACGTGAGTTCTATGCTTTGCATCCTCCTGATGACCAACATGGGATGTTCGCTGCTGGAGCTCAGCAGGTGGTTGTCCATGGAGATGATCAAAGCAGATGTGAAACTTCCCACTTACTTTAACCAGAAACAAACCATGATAAATCACTGCTATATCTTGTCCTGGGAACTGCTGCTATGGGTTTATCCAGCATACTTATGTTTTTGGTGCTTAGTCTTCCTTCCTCACTTTGGATCCGGCACTGTTTTTTCTCTGTTAGGTTCCTGTCTCTGATGGCTTGTGCTTCAAAAAGAGCTTTATCACACACCCATGGAAGTCTAAAGGTGCAAGACGTGTGTGTTGGCAGCCCTGTGCCTGGATCCTGCCGGCCGACTGACTGTGGGAGAGTCACGGTGGCTTTGCCAAGGCGTGTGGAGGGCAGGCAGCCATGACTTAACAAGTCCTGGGTGACCTGTGCGGGTTGTCCCCACCCAGGATGAGTCACAGGGAGCACCAGCTCCGGGTTGTCAGGGTTGTTAGCTGCCTGGGTAAGGTTGGTTCATGGCTGGTATGTCTGCATTAACTGCCTGATAGCTGGAGTGGTTTGAAGTTCCTCTTGCCTTCCTGCTGGTGGGTACGAAGGAGAGCGGTGGAGCCGGCCAGGGGTTGGATTGAGGTGTGCTTTATGAGTCACACCCTGAAAAATGTAAACACAGCTGGAAATTAGCTCAGTAGTTCTCTCTTGCTGGAAGTGTCAGAAAATTGTGGTTTGCCCCAAAAGGTCACATGTTTGACTTGACTGAGGGTTTTTTCCAATCCAATTATCTTGAGCCTAAAAGTAATTAGGATGTACGTGGCTGACAGTGGAGGGAAATAATGGTGTGGTGTTACGGCATGTTTGTATTTATGTTGAAAGTGTAAGAGTGGTATATGTCAATCATTTAGCCTCTTTTCTTATTCTTTGAACTGAATTTCTTAAATTGAAATGCATTTTTATAGTGTTTCCTGATGTCAAGAGAACTGCAAGGTGCAAGTTTATTGTTGTGCTCATATATAGGATTATGTGTGCCTGTATTTGACTGTGTTTCATGAAAGCTGGGCAGAGTCTGGGAAGTTTAATTTGATCTTATTTAAAACCACACTCAAATATGTACTTACAACTTACCCCAGTAGCTCTGATGTTTTGGGAGTTTATATCAAACCCTGCAATGAAAACTCTCTCCTGCCTGAAGTCCATGGCCAGACTGCAGGGGTGCCGGGTTTGCCATGTGCTGGAGATGCCCTGGGGAGTGGATTTCACTGCAGCAGAGGCACTTGCTCCCAGTGCTGGCAGATCTTTGCCTAGAGGGATGTAGTTCTTTGAAAAAAAGCTCCACTTACTCCTTTGACCCTTCACTGCCTTGCAGCTCCAGCATGTTAAAGTGATTAATTATTGGGATGTATCTACTGGGTACCATGTGCACCTGTGATGGGAGGGACTGGGTGTTTTAATATAGCCATGATCACTTGTGTTGTTTTGTTTTGTTTTTGTGTGTGTGAGTGATTAATTTTGCAAGTAGAAATAGTCATTTGGATAAGCCTTGTGCTCCGTGCGAGGCTCAAAAGCTACACGAGATGATGCACCCTTAACTTTCCCATGCAAAGTCCCATGCCCCGTAGGTATCTGGTGGTCTGTGCTAGTTCTGATGGCATCAGAGCTGCTGAGGCTTGGCATGGGGCATCAGTGGCTGCTCCCATCGTGGCTGGAGAAGGGTTTGCATCAGCCCCTCAGTGCCAGGATAATGCTTCCCACTCCTGCAAAGCATTTTCATATGTGCTGATAAAAAGGTCTGGTGTATATTTGCTTGAATTTTGTTATCCTGGTGCTGGTACACCTGTATCCTTTTGTAAGCAAATTTGGTGTGTGCTTGGAGAAGATAAGGCTTGCCTGATCCCTCTCTTAACGAGCGAGTCCTTTGCAAAAATGACTTCGTTTCAGTAGCTGAAAAAACTTTACATCATGTCTACCAGGAATTTCTTTTAAACAATTTATCTTATTTTTCTTGTCCCTTGGTTCCAGAAGCACCTCTGCACTTTGGAGCAGTAACCGACAATTTGTCAGAATTTGGAGATGAATAGATGGTGTGAGTCTGATGTCAGAGACGTGCCGTGTATTATTGGTGTCAAAGTTTTAACCAGAACTTGAGATATGTGTGAAAATATTGATGTTCATGTAATTGAATATGGAATCGTGACTTCTGCTATTTCCTAATTTTAGGGTGCTTGATTTCACAATTTCAGTATTTTTAAGATATTTTAAGCATAGAGGAACCTTTCTGGGTATCTGTTTTGTAGTAGCTCAGCAATCAGCTACTCGAGCAAGTTTCCTGACTAGTTGCCCATGTTTTGCTGAGCAAAATTTCAAGTGCTTGTGTGAAGTCATTGGAGGGAAAAATGAAATACATTAATACTAGAAGCTGACGTTCAGCCAATGCTTGTCAATAGTTCTCCAGACGAATGTCAAGCAGCAGAGGTTTGTTATTGCAGTATGTAGGGAATGGGCTTCACCAAGGCTGGGCTATGTGCTCCAGGGGTGAAGGAAGCAGCAGCAATTCATGCAGAGGTTCATCTGGTGCTGTCTCTGCAAGCCCTTGGAGACGTTCTGCAGATGTTCTGAGATGTATCACAATTGGGTATTATTCACCATTACTTTAGTAAAGTCCAGAATAAATCCAGCATCCATAATGAAGGAGATGGAGACATGTGAAGATAGAAGGTTGTTGTGTGATATGAATGAACAGTTAACAAGAAAATGGATTAACATACACATGCTTTTTTTTCCTCTGCTGCAACAGGGATGAGAAGAACCAGTCCATTATTGTGAGTGGGGAATCAGGTGCTGGAAAGACGGTCTCTGCTAAATATGTCATGCGCTTCCTTGCAACTGTCAGTGGTTCTTCCAGTGGGATCAACATCGAAGGCAAAGTCCTTGCATTGAGCCCAATTATGGAGGTAAAAGCTGCATAATTGCCTTTGTCCTGCTTGCTGTGTTCACTGAGTGTCTCCAGAAGTCACAAAAATGGTGAGAGATCTAAGGGCTTGTGAGCCAGACCTGATTTGCAGCCTCACAGCAGCCCTGAGCTGACTGAAAATGCAGAAATACACCGATGGCCTCGATTTTAGCCCACCCCACTTGCTCCTCCTCTATTTGATGGTCTTGAAGCTGAGCCCGTGCATCCCCAGCACAGGAGCTGGGCTTTGACTGGGGCTCCAGAGTGGAGAGCCCGAGTGGTGCTGCTGGCACCATTAGTATTTTATCATCTTCATCATCTTCCTCCTCTTGCCACCACATGGTACTTCCTAATGTTTGATTGTATAGGCATGAAATAGAAGGGAAAGGGATTACTTAATCCATTTGAGGTATTTCAGTGCAGTTTTGTTTTCGTTGATTTTTCTGTTGCTGTCAATCATACAGGGAATAACAAGTCCCATTATAGGGAAATCCCTGTTCTAATGGAAAAAATTTCATTTTACAAATACAAAAGAAACAGAAAGCTGCTTCATTTCATTGCACCATGACCAGATGGTGAAAATAAATGTCTGAGTGCCTAAATCCCATTTCCAAGCGGATTTTGGAGGCAGAGTTGCCTTCATTTGCAAAATATCCAAGTCAACACGAAGACAAAATTTGGGCTTTTCCAAAGTTAGTTAAGCACTTCAGACTTGTGTGACTTTCTTTTAAAGGCAGGATCTATCTGTAGTGCGGTGCAGCATTCTCCTGGGCCGAACCTGTCCTTTTCTTAAGCTTAGGCTTGGATTAACCTGAAGGGAGGCTTCCTGCAGGTGCCTCGTGGCCAGTTTGTCTAACAGACACAGAGGTGGTGGCTGATCCGGGGTGAAAACCAAGCCCACCCCAGCCCAACAGGCAGCATGCACGGTCTAGCATCGTGCTGCCTGATGTGAGGTGCAAACTGGAACGGTAAAACACGTGATGGTGCAGATGAGCAGTAAGAAAAACCATGTGGGTGTAGGGCTGGCAGAGGACGCTTGAGGATCTGCTGCAGTGTGGGCTTCGTGCTGTCTTACTCCTTTCCCCACCCATCTCCTGTGCCCCTGTGAAATGTAACTGCAATACCTGAGAACGTTTAAAAGCGTCCAATGAAAAATTCACAGTGTATGCTGTCCTTCTGTATGACCTCATGATACTGTTGCTCTAATTCTCTTGCCTGTGTTCAGTTCTGGATGTAATTTCTAAGTGCTGGGGCCAGGGAACCTGTTTGTCTTTATTGGAAATTGATGAGAACATTGCCCATGCAAAAACCATCAGAGAACTGCCTGATTTGCAAAAATGAAGTGTGAAGATGGAGTAGAGGGAGGTGTATGCTGTGAAATAGTCCTTAGTGCCGAGGTGTGCTGTGTTTGATTGGTGGGATGTACAACCCTGCTGGGAGATGGGGCAAATACCTTTGCTTCATAGATGAGGAATTGAAGCACATGCGATAAGAGGATGATGATATTCTGGATGCGCAGTTGAGCGTGCAGAATGTCTAGCTGTAGTGTTTGTTTGTAGCAGTTTAACTCCTTATTTTCTGGGGAGTGGGAATTGGGCTCTGGGCAGAAATGGAGCGTGTGTGCTCTGCCTTTGTCCTGCTGCTGCTTTTATGTATGGTCCGGGATGTGTGCTGAAGGTTTTGGGGGGGGAGTGGGGGCTGCAGGTCTGGGAGGGACCCTAAGTGGTGGGGATGGATGAGCTGCAGTAAAAAGTTAAAGAAATGGGCTTTGGGGGAAGGAGGTGCATTAGCTTGCAGAGGAATTGGGTTGTTGGTGGCTGGATAGGGCAGGGAGCAGGCAGGGCTTGCTCTGGGTCTGATGCTGAGGCCATCAGGCCAAGGAGCCCTCAACCCTTGATGGGAAGGTGGAGCAGAATGAGGGGGCAGGCAGCAACAAGGAGCTTTGCATGTGCAACAGCCACTTTGGGGTAGGCAGCACCATACTGCAGAGCAGCTCCCTGGGGAGTCCACTACAAGCAACTGGAGGCGCTGTAATCCAAAGTTTTGGATGGCGTCAGGGTGATGCTATAGGTCATATTGTGATTCTTTCTAAGCATGCATGCTTGGTGTGTTCCCCAAGAGCTGCACTGTGGTTAGAGATGGTCTGCAAGGAGAGCCTGGGGAAGGCAGCCAGCCCTCGAGAGGTGCCAGAGAGCTCTTTCCTGTACGTGTCCACTCCCTCCCGTCACTTCTGTGCTTGCTTGAGGCTCATCATCTCAGGACAGGAGAGTGGTGGTAGAAAATAAGGCTGGTGTAGCCATGAAGGGGGATATTGTCTTTCTCTGGCCCTCTTGCATCACCATGGGTTGGTCCTTTGGATGCTTGATGGATTCCTATGGTTGTAGTGCTGCATCCCTGATGTTTGCAAGTGGGCTGGGTTCCTTCCCTTCTGCCATTGTGTGTGGCAGCATTACCTGCCCAGGAGGTGACAGGGAGGTGCTGGGGAGGCACGGAGGGGCTCTGGCCATGTCACCAAATCCATGAACCAAAGCCCAAACATCTAGAATGGATTGCAGCTGGTTCCCTCCCTTTCACGGGGCTTTATTGCTCATGTCTTTTCCAGGGAAGCTGCCAGTGTTGACTCTTTGTGAACAAAGGTGACAGAACAGTCACCTGTAAGACAAAATAGGAGTGCTGTGGCTGTTGGGTTGTAGATGATCTAACTACTGTACAAATACTCACTGCTGTTTATATGCATTTTTCTCCCATAAAAATTCTGGATACACCACATTTTCAAAGAAGAGTCTTCCCAAAAGTCATGTTGCTGCTCTGCCTTCTGCATCTGGGAAGGGGTTTTCCTCAAATCCTCCCATGACTATTTATTTAACACCGATTACAAATTCAAATGTTTAAACAGTTTTAAAAAATAAGTTAAAAATTCATGCTTAATTTTGTTTCATGCAGGCAATTGGAAATGCTAAAACAACAAGGAATGACAACAGCAGTCGTTTCGGGAAGTACATTAAGGTTGGCTTTGATAAAGAATGCCACATCGTTGGTGCCAACATGAGCACGTATCTGTTGGAAAAATCACGAGTTGTATTCCAGGTGAGAAGTTGTGCTTTTTTCTTTCTTTTCTTTCTTTTGCGTGCTGGACTCTGGGAATTTAATAGTCTGGGTACTTTCTATAGATTAAAAAAATAGTTTTAAAAATAGCTTTCCTGGTGGGCATGGCTTCCAGACATGTCTTTCAGGCTCAATCTGTTGCGGTTGTTCTTGACGATCCCAAGCTGATGACCTCATTCTGGAGGAATATGTGGGAGACTCATTAGTTGGCCACTGGTTGTTTCCTCCATTGGTCTGTGGCTGGAGCCCCGAGGAGAGACCACTGCTCCTGGCCTGGCTGCTGGGCAGGAGTGGAGAGCCCTTCTCTGGGCAGCTGCCAACATTTTTATTGAACCTCATAAAAAGCCAGGAAGAATAAATTGCAGGCAACAGTATTCAGTTTTGAAGACAGAGGAGAAGCAGAAGGGCTGAGGAGGCTGATGTGTCTGCTGTGGAACATCCTGTGGGTTTCTTGTTCAGGGTTCAGAAGCAGCTTTCTTGCTTTGTGCTTGAGATCTACCTCAGAAGCACCTGCAAAACTTACGTCCCTACACAAGACAACCAAACCACCCAACTACAAAAATCCTAAAAACAATGTTAAGAAGCCACGAGTGTAGGCCACCTCTTTTTACGTTACTGTCTGCAACATGGTGCCTGCTAGCTAACTTAGTAGTTATCCAAGAAGAGGGGTAAGGTGTGGATGGTAATACAACATTATTTCCTTTGCAAGATGAGCAGTGTACAGTTGGTCAGGACAAGGCTTGGCACCTCCTTTCTCCCAGGTGGCAAAAGGTCCCACCTTCTTGGTGGCACCAAGGTGGGCCTTGATGGTGGGAAGCAGGGGATGGGGTTGGGGCGTCCCTGGGCTCAGTGAGCACTGTGCTGAGGGTGGGAGCACTGCTGTAACATCTTCGTGCCTCTGTTAACTCGGCGTTTTCCCCGTAGGCAGAGGACGAGCGCAACTACCACATCTTCTATCAGCTTTGTGCCTCGGCGAGTCTTCCAGAGTTCAAAGAATTTAGACTAAGTAAGTACTTCTGCCTCCTTGTGCACTGGTAGCTGCTGCCTAGCTGTGGTGGCAGTGTTGGGGTTAGAAATGTATGTCGTTGGTGAGGTTGTCTGTGCCTGTTCAGTGGGAGGAGGTATAGGGAGATGAGCTTTGAAGGGCTGCTGCTCCCCAGTAGTGCACGGGTTTTTGATCATACCATCTCCAGGGACGTGGCACCTTGGATGAGACACCAGCCCTCATCGCCTTCGCTGTGCAAGTGCTGCTGGTGGGTGGGAGCTGTTGCTGGAGGTTAGCCATGGTCAAAGCAGCCCGTGTATGTTTGTAGAAACCACATGCAGAACCACAGCGGAACACATGCCGGGGTAGATGCCAGCTGATGCAGGGAGGTCGTGTGTTAGTATTGTACAAAACTTGCATAATGATCTGTCTTCTAAATGAAGTGTAAGTATGGATTGATCTGGCCAGAGTCTTGGCAGGAGCAGTTGTGTTCTTTAAATCAATTTTTTTCAGTGGTTAACTCCTAGGATATGTCCCAAGTTGTTTTTTTTCTTTTTTTTCCCCATGTTTTTCAGCGAAATCTGTCAGACATCTGAATAAGAGGCTTTTCACTTGTAGCAGGGTGTGTAGAGTTGTGGTGTAATTAATTTTTAATCTTGAATACTTGCTGTTTCTTAAAAACAGAAGTGAGGTTTAAAACTTGCTTTTATATGTTTAAAATGGTGGGCAAGGCAAGCTGTGATTCCAATGCAGGGCACCTTGCTGCTGCAGAGCCTTGCAGAGGATTCCATCATGACTACAGAGAAGTGGTAGATTGAGAGAGAGGCTTTGGGTTTCTGGGTAACTCTGGGCTTGTCTTACTGACTTTCTGGGTCAGTGTAGGCATGTCCTGTTGCCACCAGGAAGCCTCAGTGCATTACCCAGCTGTAGTCCCTAATCTGCCCAGTGACACCAAACCACACAACCACATCCGTGAGTTCGCTTAAGGTGTAAGATAACTTCTGAGACTGTCTAGGTGTAACCTTAATGTCTGTCCCAAGACACCTGGGTGGCAGGTGAAGGTTTTGTGTGATTCACTGTGCACCAGCTGTAGTGTGAAGCCTGGCTCAGTAGGTCAGGGCTTATGATGGACCTGGGGCTCCTTTTCATCTCCAAGGGTCCCAAAATGATGTTCTTTTGACAGTGGCTTCCTAGCTAGTGTCAAAGAGCCCGTGTTTGGTCCTGTTGCATGCTCACACAATGCCAGAGCACATTTCCTTTGAGCACTTTCAAGAGTTTCTGCCGTGGGGTTATGTGCTTTGTTTCTGCAAAGATTCCCGGAGTAATGAAGTTGTCTGCTGGCATCTTAAAATTCAGACATAAATTATTTCAACCCGAGATGGGAGATGAGTCGATGTGGGAGAGCTCCAGCTGTGCAATCACCTTTCTCCTCTTGGGAGCATGTGGATCAGAGGAGATACGAGTCTTCTTCAACATGTCTCCCTAAAAGCATCGTCTGTGTTTGTGGTGACTGGTGATAGTAAAGGCTGAGAGCTCTTTGCTCTCCTTGTGCATCATCCAGGACATCTTTATGCTGTTGTGACTGTGGCCCTTGGTTTCAGGGAGAATGTGTAACAGCAACAGCTGGTGGCACAGGAGGTGGGGGTTGCCAGGGTCGTTAGCCCACAAGGAGGATTTCTTGGGTCATTTTTATTCAAAACTTGATGTTGTGAGTGGGTGTCAGTCTCCAGCTGCACATGGTGCGTGTGCATTGGCTGTTTCACAGCGTGCACAGCGGTCCGTACAGCCTGCTGCTTGTGAATTCGGGTAAAATACAATGGAAAAAGAAGCGATTCTCCCCAAAATTCCTGCACTGTCACTTTGCAATAGCTTAAAAATACCTCCCTGAAAAGCGTTCGTAGCTGGCAGATGCGATGCTGCTTGTTTGCTTGGCAGGGATGGCTCCTGGGGGATGGGGGTGTGGGTGCCGTGAGCTGCTTTTGCTGGGGTGAACCAGGCTCTGCCCTGACCTGTTAAATCACTAGTCCTGGGCAGTTCTTTGTGAGTGCAGATGTTCACAATTCACTTATTTTTCTTTCTTTGTTTTTTTTTTTTTTTTTTTTTCAGTTACCGACTTTGCATCAGATTTACTAGCCCGTATCTTGAGATAACTAGGCAAAACTCAAACTTATTTCCTCATGTGAGCTGTACCTTACCTTAGCTGTCAACCCTGTTTTCCCAAGGCTTATATGAAACAAGGGGTATCTTGATGTGCAAATCCACCTTTTATTAGACAGGGAGAAGGATGTGTATTTTTCCATATCAAAAGTAAGAGCTGTTTTTTCTTCTTTGGGTCTTGCACATGTCAAAAATTATTGTTACTCACTTTTATATTGCAAAATGCTGGAAAACAGTCTCAAATTATGTGAGCCCACCAAAGCAAACCAAAAGTAACCACTACCAAAGTGCTGGCTGTTCAGGTAGAGCAATCCTAAAGGCTTGATATCTTGATTTTTTTTTTTTAACCTAAAAAGTAAATATGTGACTTAAAATGCAGGAGTTCATGTGCAATGTGGCACTCTTTTTAAGTGTGGTGTCTAACCAAATGATGCCTGGGCAATGGTGCAGAGCAAGAACATGCTTTATCTGGTTGCAGAGAATCAAAGCGTTTCTGTGGTTATTAAAATAATTGCACACAATGAAATATAAATATTGAAGTTGGCTATAACAGAGACAACTTGAGGCAGAAGCAGATCTCAGTGTGGGTGGTTAAAATTAGAGGCTGATGGGGAAGGGGGGTTTCTCCTTTGAGGTGTGTTCCATGGCATGTGGGGGTAGGGTTATGGTGCTGTGCCTGGAGTTAGTGATTTTCCCAGCAAAGTGGGGCAATCTGGCTGGAAATGGTGTTGCTGAGCAGTGCTGTAATCGGCTGTCTGCATGGCACAGTGGGTGACAAACATCCTGGTCCCATCAACTGCCACCGACCCGGGGTGCCTCTTGCAGGGTGACATGCAGCAGCACCGATGCCTTGTGCTCCGTCACGGGTTGGGTGAGCTCCTGCTGTGCTGGGAGGACTGGGATGGACATCACCTCTCTGGCCCCAATCAGCATTTTCTGCCCCTTCTTCCCAGTGCTCTGGCAATGAGCGGAGTTACAGAAACCTCTGGGTCCCAGGGCTTTGTATGGCAAGAAGAATTAAATGATTTTTTTTTTTTAACAGCTTGAAAGTACAGCTAATGTAAAAACCTGTGGGTGGGCTGGAGACTTTCTGGTATCAATGTGAATCAAAAGTGCAGATTGCAGTGGTTTTAAAGGTTATCAGCAGGCTGATGTGGAATGCGCAGTAGGATGTTTTTCTCATTATTTTCGTGATACTTGGGAAGTAGGTTTGAGTATTACTAATCTTTCTGAGCTTTTCTTGTCAAGTCTACTCCTACCTGGTTTGAAATGAGCTGAAGCTGAGAACTGATTTTGGGTGGGATGGGGCCCTTCCTGGGGCCAAGCCTGCTCCAGCTCTGCCAGGACTCAGCCTGGCATATCTTAAAGGTTTTGGTCACAAACCCCTTGTTTTAAGGAGGTGCGATTGCATGTGAAGCTTTTTAGAGGGGATATAAATCCAGTGATCTCTTCTTATTGTATCTGCACTTGAAATGCCTCTTGGTCCCCATGGGATTTAGCTTGATGTCGTCCTGAAATAACTTTGCTAACGTGAGGTTGTCTAAATGGTGTAGTGCTGGCACTGTGAGCGATTCTCCATTTCCGTTGGTCCCCAGGTTTAAGGCATTATGTGGGAAAGGTGTTAAAGTATCTGAATCAGTCATGGGTATGTAAAACAGATGAAAAAAACCCTGAAAGTAGTAACCTCAATATTTGAAATAGTCTGCGCCCATGCAATAGAGCAGTGATTTGAATCCCAAATATACTACAGCTCTGCCTTGGTTGAACTTGCTTTGCATGGGAAAGGGGTTTCATCACTGCAAGGAGTAGTTGCAGGCACTTTTCAAGGTTATACTTCACTCATTTCTAAGTAAACCATAGTTTAAGGGAGAGGGGTGCCCTTTGGGGATGGGCAGTATGGGGGACTGAAAGCATCCCAGCACGCTCCGGAAAGCTACTGACTGCTGATGCGTTTCATCTGTTTATTCTCTCAGCACGTGCTGAAGATTTTTTCTACACTGCTAATGGAGGTGTCACATCTGTTAATGGTGTGGATGATGCTGCTGACTTCGAGAAAACAAGACAGGCCTTCAACCTGCTCGGTAAGGGGTTCCTCTGCTTGGAGCCTTTCCAGCAGAAGTCTCTTGCAAATGTTTTCAGTAGTTTGCCTGAATTATATGTCTCTCTTGTAACACTAAGAAGTATAAATCCTTGTTCCTATTGACCTAGTTGGCTTTACTTTGTTCTTTAGTATGAGCTGAAGCAGTGTTTTTTGCATCTATCTACAAAGCAGCAGTGAAATGGAGGAGGACACCGAATTTAAGAGGAATCCAAATAAAGCATTCTGGAGCTGTGCTGCAGCTTTGAATTGCTATTTTTAAATGCTATTTACCATCAGGAAAAGAGGTATTACTATACAGTTCAATCTGTATTTGGGTTGAGGGTGATGTCACTTCTTGGACCATCACAGTATGGTACTGAGTAGCTGATTTCTGGGAATAATGAGCTCAGTACAACCCTGCTGTGCAGAGTCCACATTTGAATGGCCAGTTGCAAAATCTACCACTGTAATAACCACCCATGCATGCTGCTGTGGAGCAGTGCCGTAGCCTGGCTGCAGCAGCAACTGTTTGGAAGGAAAAACAACTTTTGCAGGCGAAAACTTTCCCAGTTTATTAGTATTTATCTGAAACCAAGTTTTTAAATCCTGGTAACTCCTGGTGCCCCTCCATTTCCTTTTGTATGTTGGGAGAGGAGCTCTTCATGTTCACAGCCAGCTGTGAAATCCCCCCGAGCAGCCACTGCGCTGTGCCAGCAGCAGGCGTGGGTATAACAGCACTATAAGCACTATAACAGCAAGTGTTTCCCCTAGATTTGTCCTCTCTTGTGTTTTAGATGGACTTGACCTCCTTTTTGAAGAATGGGGTCTTGTCTTTACCCTCGTCTTGTGTGGCTTGTATGACCTTTAACTGTTAACTACTCAAAAAAAAATAGGAGTCCCCTGGTTGCTCCAACCTTGCCCACAGGACTGTGATTCCCAGGGAACTCTTTCCTCATCCCCTTGCCACATGTAGTGTCCCTTTGGTACCCTTCTCTGCTTCCCCAAGCAGGCCCCTTGTCTCCTTGCTGGTCCCTATGATGCACTGTGTGAGCATTTTCCTCCACTGCAAATTTGATGGGGTTTTCCTGCTCTTCCCGTGCTTCCTCTGGCTCTGCCTTTTCCCAATTTCCCTCGGTATTTCCCAGATCTGCCTGCCTCTGTTCAGGGTGCAGTGCAATTGCTACTGCATTTTCTAGTCTTGCCTTTTCATGTGTAACAAGGGGAGGTCAGATTTATGTGCAAATCCCTACCCTAGCCAGGCTTAACTTCAGTTAAGAGTGCTAAGTTACAGTAGAGCATTGCTCCTTTTTAGTAACCTTGAAACATTTCTCACTGTGCTAATAACAGAAAAGTCCCAAGAGAGAGACAAAGGGAAGCTCTTGGTAATTAAAAAAACAGCAGGTGAGGTCTCAGACCTTGGGTGGATAATTAGGACACCAGCACTGAACAAGAAAGGGTCACAGAAACCCGGTTGGGATGTAAAAATGCAAGATATGGCAAGCGAGCTGTGTGGGGGCCGCTGCTGAGCAAAGCTCCACCTGGGAAAACTGGCAAAAGCTTGCCAGAAAAATATGTAAAGCAATAAAATCTTATACCCTCCGTGAAGACCCACATGTGAAGCTCTGTTTTACTGTCCCCAGCATCTCAACCGGAGCCACATCACCTCCCTGGTAACTTGCTGTAACACCAGTCTGGAGGCATTGTTCATTGTGTGCATGGCTGTAATTTTCTCTTCTGTTTGTAGGACACCAGCAATAAGTTGTAATTTCTGTGCTTCAGTTGTCAGCGAGATCTTGCTGTTAGAGTATGATTGCAGAGACACAAATACTTGTTCTATAGAAGTCACAGAACCCCTGTAGCTCTGATCCTGTTTGATCACTATGGATAGCATCCTCATTTTTGGGCATGTTTACAATAGTATTAATCCCTTTGATGCAATCATTAGGGGTAAAGAAATCACATGAGGAGTTCCTCTCTCAGTCTGCTGTCGTTTTTGAGTGATGACTTTACTGAGGGTTTATGGTGGGTTTAGTGGGAGAAGTCTGATAACTCTGAAAATGCTTGCAATGTTTGATTTCCTTACCAGGCTGTTGGTTTTCAAATAAACTGAAAATTGCTGTTGTTTTCTGTTGTGACAATCAGCCATCAATTGTTCCTATAGGAGTGAAGATGCTTCATCAGATGACCATTTTTAGGGTAATTGCTGCCATTCTGCACCTAGGGAACTTGAAAATCCATGCGGAACATGGTGGTGATTCCTGCAGCATATTGGTAGGTCACCAGCAAGAGTGGGGTGCGTGAGGAGTTTGTATGCTCATAAATCGGGCCACACTGAATATGCTGAGCTTCACAGCAGCATCCTTCGGTAGAAAGCCCTTTTCCTTCTAGTTTTCTTTGCTTTTCTCAAAAACACATCATGATTTCATGGTTGCTTTTTTTTTCCTGGAAGACAGTGCGTTGTTTTTCCTCTCTAGCCAGACAATAAGCAAGGTGATTCAAAGGGTGCTTACCACCTTATGTCCCAACCCATCTTTAACTCTTCTTGCTTTCTTAAAAGACTTGGTGCACAGAGTATTGGAGGAACGGTGACTCCCACCAGCAGAAGGGGTGATGCTCTACAACTGGTTTGCTACAGGAGAAGCCATGAGGCTGCTGCTTGTGATGTGGCCAGCCAGTATTCAAAGCAGCACTGTGCAGTTAATGAGCAAGAATAAATAAGACTGAAGAAGCCCCAGTGGTGATTTTTCTGTTTCTGTGTTTTTTCAGGGTGGTGAAAAAAGCGATTATATGGAAAATACTGTCCTGTCAATTATCTTTGCGTTCCAGACTGGGTTGTTTGTTCCTAACTGAAGTATTAAAATGGGGTCTGCACACTATTTTAGTGGTAGCCTTGAGATAATGTGGTGTGCAATTAGTTAGATGCTGGGGGTAATTTGCTTGATATTTGGCAACATGTATATGTGAAAAGTGGTCTGTTCTGACAATGTTATGTAATGGAGTTCATGTTGTTTAATTACTTTTAGATGTGATTGCATGGTATTAAATAATCCTGTTATGACTTTGAATCCATGGTCAGAAAGGTATCATAGCAATTAAGCATCCCAGAAGTCTTTTAAGATGAATTTTTCTCACCATCCTCAAACCCATTCAGCTTCTGTATGTGTGTGTACCTAACTGGAAAGAATTCACTTCCTTTAGATATGTATTATTACACTGAGGAAAGGGAAATTGATTTCTCATTGTCCAAATGCCAGTGCCTGCTATCTTGGTGTAATAGAGACTCAGAACAGCCTCACTGAGGCTTGAGGCAGGCAAAAATTGCAGTGCACCAGAGAAATTGAAGTTCTCATTTCATTTTATTGATTATGCAAAACACAAGACCTTCTGGTAACACACATTGTGCAGCTTTGTTATTCAAAGTAGGGTTAGTTTTGCCAAAGGCATAGTGTAACGGCATAGTTTAAGCTTTAACTTCAGGCTTAATCGAGGTTGCTCTGAAGGAGTGTGTAGTTGCAGCTCAAGGAGGAGTAAAGAGGAGAGTGCTCTCTTCTGTTGACAGTCACTGTGGAAGTCTGCTCTTTATGAAAATTGGGACTGTAAGGATGGAGCAGAGCCGTAGGGTGTACCACTATGCCGAGCTCCCTGTGAGCCTTTTCATCCATGTCTGTGAAGACTTGTGCAACTGGATGGGCGCTTATTGCTTTTCTGTTTTCTATCAGCTGCAGAGAAACACACTATTTCACTAGATAATTATGAAACGCTGCTGATTTCTTGCACTGGTCTGGAAATTTGGTGTTAGAACTCCAGTTCTGGAGTGTCACTAACCTGCTGGCTTTGCTTCTCGTTACCTGCAGAGCGATGATGAGCACTTGAAGAACTTCTGTGACTTGCTGGGTGTGGAGCACAGCCAGATGCAGCACTGGCTTTGCCATTGCAAGTTTGTCACCAGCACCGAGACCTACGTGAAGAGCTTGAGCGTGCTGCAAGCGGTGAACGCCAAGAACGCCATAGCCAAGTACATCTATGCCCAGCTCTTCAGCTGGCTTGTGCATCACATCAACAAGACCCTGCACACCAGTGTCAAGCCGAACTCCTTCATCGGCGTGCTCGATATCTATGGGTAGGCACGCTTTCTGCTTTTAAGGCTGTTTAATTAGGCCTTTCCGATTTGTCTCACCCTTCTGGCAATGTGCACTTGGCTTGTGGCAGGCGAAGGGGCTAATAGGAAGGGATGGAAAAAAGCGCAGTTGTGTGTGAATTACAATTTTGATCCTCTAGATTGTGCAACCCTGACCCTGAAACGGTGTATGCAGATCTGTTTGAGCGCTGGCTTTTGGGATATATTTCCCGTAACATTTCATTCAGGATTTCTGTCCCCTGTACCATTAAAAGCACAAAACTTAAAGATGAGCTAGGGGTAAAGATGCTGATGTGCAGACCAAAGGCTGCACTTGGCTTTGCCTCTGGTTTAAGGAAACTTCTTTGGTTCTTTAGCTGTGAAACTGCTGCTGCAGCAAGAGCTTTCAGAGGACTTTGGGAACCTGCATTGAGGGGTTAAGGTACAAAAGGCTCTGCCGTAACTGACAGCAAGGCTTGCATCCTGCAACCTCAGGGGCAATGAGCTGCTCTAAATTAGGACTGTGTACTAGTTACTATCTGGTTTGTTGTCCTGGCACTTGAGCACTGGTAGAAGAGGGATGTGAGAGCTGTATGTGAAGAGTTCATTTTAGCTGAAGTGCTGCAAGAGAAGCAGGAGATGGAGGAGAAAGGAAGGGATTCTGTCAGTTGTGGGGTGGAAAATGAAAGAGGTAATCTGTTTGGGTTTTCCCTTCCCTCTTTCAACACTATCCCTTTTCTATCTGTCTGGTGAGCAAGGACAAGGGAGAAGTCACAGGTTGGCCAGAGCGGTGGTGGATGCCCCATCCCTGGGAACATCCCAGGCCAGGTTGGACGGGGCTCTGAGCAACCTGATCGAGCTGAAGATGTCCCTGCTCGTGGCAGGGGGCTGGGCTGGATGGCCTTTGAAGGTCCCTTCCGAACCCAGACCATTCTGTGATTCTGTGGTTTTAACTGGGACAGCAGTGACCTGCTCTGCTCCCTTAATATATTAAAATACTCGGTTGCTCCTCTTTTGGAGGGGAAGGTGGGTGGATGAGTTGTAGCTGCTCCAGGAACCAGTCCCTGACCCAGTGCAGTCATGGTGCTTACTCAACATCGAATCTCATGTAATGGCATTCTCCTCATCAAGTCTGTCAGATCTAGGTGAATCTGAAATTCAGAATGAAATCCTGCCAAAGTGGTTCTGGGTCAGCTGCAGAAAGATTTTTATGGCTAGAATACCTACGCAGTTTCTGGAATTGGATTTTGTGTATAAAGCCTCTCATGGGGTTTCTACAGCTGCTGGTATTTGGGATGTTATTTTAATACAGACAGCCATGGCAGCAGAAAGGATGCCAGAAGTCAGTGCAGGAGCATCTGCATAGCCCACTGCCTGCTCATCTTCAACAGTGACTGCTGCCATACAGCAAGGTTTACAGGAATGCTTGTACCAAGTGTGATAAGAATACAGTTCTTTTTGGTTTGGTGTTTCAGTGGGGAATGGCTTGAGATTGTGAGGTTGCTGTCAGAGGTTTGCAAGTGCCTGTCCTAGCTCGACAGCACAGGGCCTGAAAGTTCTTAAATCATAACCTGGGATTGGCACAGTCTGGTTTGAAAACCACAGGAGATGGAAAAACTGTTTTCCATCATTGTCCCTACAAATAGAGATTTCTGCAGGCTGGGATATGATTAATAAAGCTTTGAGATGGAGCCATGTGAACAATAGTGGATTAGTGCAGAAAATGGAATGTTTGAGTTAGAAAATCAGACGTCATCTTTCATAAATCTGAATAAAAGGAGACTTGAAGATAGTCTTCATGAAAGGTTAAGCTGGGCTTGAGAAATTGTTAGTGTGAAAGAAAAGCCTCCCTTAGCTGCAGGTCTCCTGTGCATCACATCCAGTGCATGGGCCAACAGATGCTTTTACAGCACTGGTGTCACTGTGGGGTACAGGATGTTTTTTCCATGGGACCTGCAGGTCCTATCGAAAGAGGCAGGTTTGCAGGGAAAGGGTGTCCACGGTCCAGACAGCAGTGTTTGTGTGTGAGTCCATAAAGAGACCGTAAATCCCTTTCAGGAGGGGATATCACTGTCTAAATGCCGAGTAATTAACAATGCAGGGACTTTGGGTGCTCACAACCTGAGTCTCTGAGGTCCTTGGAAGTGGTTTAGTCCTCCAAACTCAGTCTATTTGGGAGTTTTCATGCATTCTGCCAAACATTGGATTTTTTTTTGGCAAACGTCTGATTTTTCCTTTTCCTCCAGGACAAGAATTCAGCTGGAAAGTCAGGGAGCCTGTAAGCAGCCTTCACCACATGTCCTTGACATCCCGAGAGCACCTCTGTCCCGGCACTGGTCGGGGAGGACTGTCCCCATGGGTGGGATTTCTAGGGATGGGTTCCATACCAAGGGTTCAGAGGCTGTGGGGTTTGTCTCCCAATTCTCCACTCTGCATCCTTAATTCTCTGTTAATTTTGAGGTGAGAGGGTGCAGCATTAAAAGCCTTTTATGTATTTACTGAAAGTGCATCATTTTCTATATTAGCAATACTGCAATCCATCTGAAGAGTGGATTGGTGTAGTGTTCCTGGACTTGGCAGGGGTGGCTTGTTTTTACTCTGCCACGTGAAGGGAATTGTAAACACCCAGACAGCCAGCTGTATGCTGGTCTTAATTATGAACTTTAAATATTTTAGTATAAACCCTGGTGCTGCTGTGGATTTAGGAGATAAGTCACACAGTGGAATAGGGAACAGGAAAAAAGCTGAAGTGCAGTGTTTGCCCCCTGACATCTGCTCATAAGATCTGTCCCCAAGCCAGGCTGTGCCTTCCTGGGAGCCACAGTGATGGGCTGGAGTGGTGAATATGCTTATTTTTTGCACTAAAATAAATAGAAACCAAACAGCTGTTGGTTTGCATTGCCTGTTAGGATGTTGTCTTAGTGCAGTCACTTTTTGCAGGCAGGGCATCCTGGCAAGGTCATGCGTGGAGCTGGTGACTGAACTGATCTGTCAATTAGCAAACTGTGCTGACAGGGTCCCCTTAATTAGTGACTTCATGAAACATCACTTGGTGTTGATGTCATACAGCTGCTCTGCCCCTGGCCATCACTCACTGACAGGGGTCATAAATCACAGCTGGTGTCTCTGAAGTGGAAAAAGAGTTTCCATTCCTATACCTTTTCCTCTTGTACCCCTGCTCTTGTTGAGTTTTTCCACCTAGCTCGCTCGTGCCTCTCCATCTCTGTTTTAATTAAATGTTTTCTCGCCCTGTTGCTGTGATCGTGAACCTGCAGGAGCTGATATTTTCAGGGAGTCCTGGGTAAGTCACGTCCCCGTAGTTGCAAGTGCTGAAGGCACCGATCTGCTCGGCGCGATGGCCGTGCAGCCAACATATCAAGCAGAGCGGGAGCTCTTCAAGGACATGATCATCACCGAGGCTCTGGCTGTGTATTTAATATAAACATATGTTGGTCCCAGGCACCAGATTTTTGTTGCATTAAAGATTGTAAAGCTTGGCTCCTGGAATGGGGGATGTGGGCTGCATGGGGTCCGGAGGCAGTGCCAGCCCCAGGGCAGGTGGAGGGGAAGCAGTCCTGTGTTTCCTTGAGGACTGTGAGGCTGATAAAAGCACAGAGGTGTCTTTTTTTTTTTTCCCAATCCCATCTTCCTTTTGCATTTTTGCATTGCCTTTTCCCACGGGCTCAGGTATTTTGTATGGTGAAGGCATTACCACCTGGCAATACCTGAGGAAAAACTGCAACAGGTAGTTCTCAGAAAGCACCAGAAATACTAATATTTTTTTTTTTGGGGGGGGGGGGGGGGAAGGGCTTAATTTCTTTAGTGCTTTAAGACAGTTCTGCCAGCTCCTACAGCACCTATCACCCAAGCAATTATTTCACCACACATTTATCATTACAGCAGTTTATTTGTTAAGCCCAGGGAGCCTTGCTGCTTCTTCCCTGACTATAATCCTTACAATCATGTGTCAAAGACTTTTTTCTCTCCCCCTTCCAACTGTGCCTTGAAAATAGAAATACAAATAACATAATTCCCTGTGATAGCTGAACAATATCTTTTTTTTTTTTTTTTTTTAAGGGCAAGTCCAGCTCCCTGAGCCTGTCCCTAGCTGTCTTGTGCTTCAGCCCCAACTACCCTGAGGGCTCTGCTGTCTCTTGCCTGCTTGCCTTTAGCTTATGCTATTAAAACTAAGTTTGTTTGTTTGTTTGTTTGTTTTCTTTTCTACCTGTGACTAGGAAGCTTATTTTGGAGTTGGCCGTTGGCCTATGGAGGGGTGGGATAATGTTTCATTGGGGGGAGCTTTGGAAGTGCTGGTGAAGAGGGGTATCACAGAGACCAACTCCAAACTCCCTCTGAGGAGAATGTTGGAATTGGAGCTGAGAGCACCTTTTCTCTCTCTGCCTTCCAGAAGTTGCTTGATCATCTATATCTAATTTTTATGCTATCAGGGATGCAATACAGAGGCTATAATTATGAATTTAATACCTTATCTTTCAGTTTTGACAAACTGGATTAAAAAAAACATGTTGGGTCTTTGAAGACAGCAGCTACTGGTTTTATGTCACCTTTGCAGTGAATATATTTGGACTTAGTATTTCATAGTATCTTTCCCCAAGAGGGGCTGTTACATTTCTTGTCTCAGACAGCACTACTACCTGATGGGCAGGGAGCTGCAGTTGTACTGAATATCTCAGTCCTGTGTAGCAGAAGAGACCTCTCGAATCCCTTGAGTTGTGTCAAGGAAAAAGACATTTCAGGGATGAGGAATAAAGTGTAGAATCTGGGATAGGAGGAATGCAAAGAGATGGTTGAATAACTGGTGTTCCCCGTCACACAGATGACATTGTTGCAGAGAAAAGTAGATTTTTAGATGAAGCAAAGCTTAATGCTGATTTATTTATTCATTGCTTTGCAGGTTTGAAACTTCTGAAGTGAATAGCTTTGAACAGTTTTGTATCAACTATGCCAATGAAAAGCTTCAGCAGCATTTCAACTTGGTAAGGTCATCTTGGAAATGTTCTGAAAAATTTGGCAGAAAATGTATCAAGATGGGATTATTGTATGTCTGGCTTCTGCTTAATGACATTTACTTGCAGCCTGGGCAGATCGCATGGCCAGCATGAATGTAATCCTTCGGATACCATCTCGCCTGGGCGATGATTGTACATTGCAATTGCACTAAATACTCATATCGGGTTCAATGTGTTGCTTGGTTGATTTATAAGCTTGGCACTGGAAGCAGGTTTGCAAATGGTTTATGCAAAGGTCCATTGATGTTTTTGAATAAGTAGGTAGTTTGCTTTTTTTTTTTTTTTTTTTTTTTCTTCGTGATTTCAATCGTAAACCAAAACCTGGGTGTTCTTGTGCCAAGTCCTGATTTCCAGTGTGAGACAAAGCATGGGTGGAAACCTGCCTGTTAAGTGTGGCTTAAACCTCTGCAATGAAAACTCTGTAATAAATAGCAGGATTAGACAAACCCTCACTGCCTTTTTGACTTGGACATACCTCACAAAAACCTAAGGTTCTTCAGTTTTATTAGATACAAACACTTACCTGCCTTGGAGATGGAACCAGTAAGGGGTTGTCTTCTGCTTTTCCTGTAAGGAGGGAGAAAATTACTATTAGTTTCAGGATACAAGGGAAAATTTGTTAAATTTAGCAGCTAAGTACTGCAGAGTAGTTTGGCAGTTTGAAAGTGTATTGCATGCATGATGTGAACTTTTGCAGTATATCTAATATATCAGATCACTGCTGCTAAAAATGGAAAGTAAATTATGGATTGAATTTGCACTAGTCGTATCTTTTTTAGTACATCCATCTATCACTTCTGAAGCTTATAAATTCAAAGTCTGAATGACATATTTGGAGAGATTTTTAAAAGCTATCTTTGAAGGAAAAATTGCATTTGAAAATTCTTTTTTTAATGTACTTAGAGTATTGCAGAAATAGCCAGAAACAATTTATCTGCTTGGTCAGAGGTCTAAGATATATAAGCCATGCAAAGATTTTTTGAAAATTATTTCTTTAAAAAATAAGAATCTGCATTAGAAGTGTTCCTGAGTCAGGACTGCTGCTGACTTCCCTTCTTATTAAGCTCTGCTCACAGATGGGGTCACACACACTCAGCCCAGTGCTGTGGCTCACTAGTTTAATCAGCAGAGCACTAAAGGAAAGAGGGAATTTTCTCAGCCTAAGAGATATATATGTCATTGCCATTTCAATGTATGGCTTCCACCTAAATGTAGTGACAGCTTCAGTCATTTTCTAGTGAAAGCCCTTTAAACCCTTTTTTTCTCATTTTTTTTTTCCCTGCCCCATGTTTTCCTAGTGTAAAGCTTTTATTTTCCTTGCCAGAAGCTAGATTGTGTAAACTGCAGATCCTGTACAAAGCTGTATGTGGGGGGATACCTAAAGTTTCTACAGCTGGATGTGCTGAGGGAATACTCTGCTCCAGTGGGGACAAGTGGGCAAATGGGGAAGGGGCTGGCAGTGTGCTGGCTGGGGTCATCATCAGTAACTTCTGTTTTTCACTCTCAGCACGTGTTTAAGCTGGAACAAGAAGAGTACATGAACGAGAGAATCTCTTGGACTCTGATAGAATTCCATGATAACCAGCCCTGCATAGACCTTATAGAGGCAAGACTTGGTATCTTTGACCTGCTGGATGAAGAGTGCAAGGTAAAGAGGACCATCCACCTTTTCACTGGCATTTTTATTTTTATAAAAGGTTAAAGAATTGGCTTTAACCTGTGGTATCTTGCAAGAGGGTAAACATCTCCTTTCACATGCGTTGCTGGGGTGCTCATGGCTAGGGTAGGCTGTTGATATTTGCTTTGCTTTAGGACCCTTCAGAGACTCCTTGGCAGAAGTTTGTTACCAACCTGGGTACCTGATCTCACAGTGTGTTGCCAGAGCTCAGGTTTCTGGCCCGGCTGTCCTTAGCAGTAGCCATTTTTTGAGACTTTTGATTTCTTCAGTGTTATCCAGGAGCTGGAGTTCCACCCTGTCTCAAGCCTTATTTTGGCTCACGGGAAGCTTGAGTCCTCTTGCAATAGCTATTTGGGGTAAAGTCAATTGCTTTTAGTGTACAGGCTTCAGATGCTTGTGATGTTGGGAGAGTAGTTTGCTATCTTTTACCTTCTCCCTCTCATACCAGCCTAAATTAAGTCTTGCTTAAAACTTGAGAAGAAAGGCCAGAACCACAAAACTTCATGAGAATTCCTAAGAAAGGTCGGACTCCTTGTTCACTCCTTGTTCAGTCATGAGTTACTGAATACATCTAGGAACAAGAAATGTAAGATGGGAGATTTTCTTGGAAAGCTGGGATGCCTGTTTTGAAGGTCTTTGGTGTGAAGAGTAGGTGTAAAGTCCAGAGTCTGTAGGTATGGTCATCTCAACAGGAGAGCATGATGTGATGAAAAGTGCTCCTATACTGGGCATATCAGCTCGTAACTCTTCCAGTTCCGGTGTTGGTACAGAAACGATGAGGAGGAAATACTGGAGAGAGTGCTGTCAGATCAGGGCTGTCATTGTGGTATGGAAGATAAAGAAACTTGGGCACTGTACATAAGTGGTTGTAAGTGATAGTGGGAAGGTTTTCAGACCCTTTGACCCAAAAAAACCCTAGCATGCAATACTAGAAGTTGAAGTTATGCAGATTCAACCATGAAATAAGCCTTTTTAATCCTGAGGACAGCCTGGTGGAAGGGGATGGTGGCTGCCTTCCTGCTGGATGTGGCTGCCTGGTGGAGCCTCAGACTGGTTTTGCTATGATGTGGTCAACAAGTTGTCTTTGGAAAGAGTTTCCATTGAGACATGGATATATTCTGTGCCAGGAAATGTCTTACTGATTGTGGAAGGGCTTTGAGGGTTTTTGAACGAGGGCAGGGAAGGGTGAGGCAAGGAGTGGTGGGAGAGCTGAAGCTGGGAATGTGTCCCTTACTAGGGTAGCCAAGGTGATGAGAAGGACACAGCAAATTCTTGTTGGCTTTACGGGATCTGTGGGTACAGGACAGATCCAGTGGCCCCAGGGCAGAAGCATCACATTGCATCAGAGGGAAAGGTTTTGGATCCGTTATTTAGACTAGAGTCCCTGTTGGGATTTCAGGTGTGTGATCTGTCCTTCTCTGGGAGGGAGGTGACCTGTCAGGTGGCTGCTGTCCTCCAAGTGACAGGGCTGCCTTCCCAGGCATGATGGATCTGTCCCAACCTGCAGGTCCCACGAGCTCAGCCCTCATCTGGGGTGCCAAGCACTCTGTCTGTCTTTCTGCAATGAGCTGGAGTTGGGGCTTTGCCCATTCCAAATCCAGACTCAGGAAGACTACTTAAAAATGAGAACAAGTTAAATTTAATTTGATGCCCTTAAAAATAGCGTCTTAGCCAGTGCTGGCTCAGAAGGAGGTCAGATTGTTTTCTTGATATTCAGCACCAATTTATTTGGTCTCTGTGCTATTAAGGCTGTTAAACTCTTCAGGCTCAAACTGGCTTCTGAGTGTCGTGAGGACCATAAAGGAAGTTTCCCTTGTGCCGTACTGGCTAATAACTCCCTTTGCTCCTCTCTAAAGCACCTGGCACTAGTTGCTGCTGGTGACATTGCATTAGATGGAGCAACTCCTATGCGACAGCAGTCATATGAACAACTTTGCTGTAGATTTGCCTGGTACCACTTTTTCCATCTGTGTTTTTTTTTTTTTTTTTTTTTTGACCAAAAAGTCGAAATGCAAGATCTGTTCCCCCCAGTATCAAATGCCAGTTATCTGGGTATTTACCTTTCTGTGGGGGATGCTGTTATTAGTCACAGACCCTTATTATGGGTCCTCCAATTGGTTCTTTTATAATAGTCTGCAAGTGTTCTCCAGATTTATGAAAATTTCAGCAAAGCCTGTCAGCAGAAAGCAGCAGTTTATGGATGAAAAACTTCACCTCCCCACAGCAGTGTTTCACCTCTCAGGGAAAGCTGGGCCCGGGACCACAATAGGGTAATTGCAAGTGATATCGTTAGCACATACAATGGTGAATAAACATACTCTGGGACGTTAAAAGGCATCGAGGGGGTCCTGGTAACATAATGAAACATTAGCACAAATGCAGAGGGTTTGCCGCTAATGTTCTCACTTCACAGGATGCATTTTTTTTTTAAATCTTTAATGTGAGATTGAGGAGGGGGTGGTTGGGTAGCTGCTGAAGCAGCTCAGCTAATGAAGGTCATAGACCTTTGGTGCATAATGAGACTCTTTTCACCATTTAGAGAAAAAGATTGAAATGTCAATAAGCAATGGAATTGAGCTTGGAGTTTTAAGGACTAAAAAATGAAAGCAAATGATAAAACCCCTAGCTCTGAAAAAAAGAGGGCTTTAGGATATGTCTGAGTTTGGGGGTTTTTAGACAACTTTTGCAGTCTTAGGAGTTGGAGGGTGTTGTAGAACTTAAGGTTGGAGGGGGCTACTGGAGGTCATTTGGTCCAACCTCCAGTTATGTCCCTGGTCTGCCCAGGAAGCCTTATCATCTCCATAGGACTGTGACCTTATGTCCTCTGCTAAGTGACCTTGAGTCCTCAAAGAGCCTTTTCCCCATTTTATGCACTGGAGGGTCACCTGCCTGGATCTGAAACTTTGAGGACCTCTTGGTTTTGCTTTGGCTTAATAAGATGCTGGAGGGAACAGCAAGAGTTCATGTCCCACACACAGAAATGTTGTTGGCCAGAAACCAAGGCCACCATGACAGGCACAACATTGAAGTGCTCTAGCACAACCTGATGAGCCTGAAGAGGAGGGAAGGGGGAGAAGGACATCCAGGAGAACCTCCCTGATGGTGAACTGTGGAGGGGGTCATGCTAGGGCCAATGGTGGTGGTGGGAAATAGTCTGGGATAAGAGCAGAGCCCTTGAGGAAAGCAAGGAGACCAACGTACAGCCTATCAGAAGAGGCAGACATTAAGGACGGAGGCTGTCTTATGAAAATCTGGTTGTGGGAAGTTGAGAGGGCATGTGGAAGACTTGCTTGGATGTCTGGGATGGCTTTAGGGTATGGTTGGCCTTGTTGTAGAGGGGAATGACTTTGAAAGACGGGAGAGCGGCCTTCCTAGGAAGACTTTGAAGGCTTTGGAGTTGGAGGGAACGTGTGAAGAGCAACTTCAGTGCTGTGGAGAGGAGGAGCCGGTTGGAGTTTTTTTTTCAAGGGACTTGAATTATTTTCAAAGGAAACTGAAAATTCTCCAGGAAATGCGGTCAGGTCTCTATCAAAGCTGGATGAGGTGTCCTTTTCCAGCTGAAACTGCTTGCTCCATTGGAGTGCTGTGTGTTTTCCATATGCTTCCTAAGTGTCACTCAGGAGAGCAGTCAGAAGCTGCTGTGAATGTCCAGGTTTCTCCATAAGGTGTTCTGCTGCCTGTCTGCGCTCTTGCTTTTGCCTATGCTGTTGGGATGGGAGTGGGAATGGAAAAATCAGTGAAAAAATGTTTCTGTTAGCATGAAGTGTATCTGAAGGGGTTTGATCGAGAGCAGACTGGTTATAAGGGTTGATGTTTCAACTGCATCTTTGTCCAAGTATTTATGATGGATCTTAGTGAAATTCTACCGAGGAGCACTGCTACTCTGAGGCTGCCAAAGGGGGGTTGTATCTAACTAAACCCACGAGCTCCCTTGTGTTCTCAAATTCTCTTGTGGATCTGTTTTGTGTTTTATGGCATGTTGCCATTGTGTTACACTGTTAATGTGCCAAATACGTTTTCTAACACTATTCAAAAGATGCTCTTCAACCTTTCCCGTGTCCTTCTGTCATGTGCCAAAAAAACTGAAGTCTGCTTGTAGCAGACCGGTTTTCAATCCTGCTTGTCTCTGTGCATCGCAGTGAACTTGGGTATCTGAGCAAATGTGTTTTCCTTGTCTGGACTTGTTAGTTGTTTGAACATCAGAATTCAGCACGTTGCATTCCTGTGCCGCCTGGTCCTGTTCAAGGGGGATTTCTGGTCCACGAGCAGATACAGAGGTTGGGCCTCTAGGCTTTCCTTTTGGGTGGGCCACCTAATCGGGCAGCAGAATAACCTTGCTTATATCACGCTGTCAGCTTTTTATGACTTGAAAGTCAGGCATGTCACTTCCAGTGGAACATGTTTACAAAGCGCAGAGGAAGCCCAGGCTTTTTGGGGGCTTTAACATATATTGGAGTGATAACAAGAAAAGAAATAAAATGTAAACAGCTCCTACTGTGTTTGAAGAGAGTTGACTTTAAGGTCATTAAGTTTGAATGGACTTTTGTTGCTTTTATCCCATGAATTGTCCTTCTGTTGGAGGTGATGGTGGAGGGAATCTCACTCTTTAGTCCAAGCAGCACCAAATTTTTGGCTGTCTGGTGGTCATGGTGGGTTTGCAACCCTGGGATGCTTCTGATAAAAAATTGGTGGACTTGAGCCTGGGGACTGACCTGGACCACTCTGTGTAGGTTTGATTTTGGTTGCTGTAGCTCCTGGAAGCTCAGAGCACAGTGTATAGAGACAGAGAGGTGATTTTGTCTGGGATTACACTGCCTGGCAGATTTTATGCAGAGTGATGGACAGAGGGACAGTGAAGATGGAGAAGCAGAAGCAGTGATGTTGTGAAATTACTGGTCTAAGTTTTTTTTCCTGCTTAGAGATTTCTATACAGTACTTGCAAGGCAGTCAATTTTCCTCCTCCCCATGCCCTAAAAAGGTGTTACACTGATGGGATTGTCTCTAAATAACCTTCCCAGTGGCTCTAAAGTCCTTAAACTGCCAAGCCAATTCCAAAAGTGGGTATAGTACAGATAATGCCCCTGTTAATTTTTTCCTGTGGGACTTGGTGCCTGTCAGGTGCTTCTTGGACAGCTAAAACTACACAGGCTCACAAGGGTGAGCAGGGATTGGTGCAGGTATGGTGAAACCCTCTTTCTGGGAGGCAGGAGTGATGCCTTTGCAGTTCAACTCAGAGATAAGCAGGTTTTTCAGCAAAGTGGATGGCCTAAAGGAGATCTGGTGCAGGACAAATCTGCTCTCTTGCAGCTCATGTGGCTGCAGTGCTGCGGCTTTGTACCCATGTCTTGTTCCTGAACATAAGAGACTTAGTGATAGGTCCAGAAAGGATTTTCTTTTTTATGTATAAATATGAAATATAACTACTGAAGAGAAACCCATCTGCATTTATGTAAATCCATAGTTTCAACATGCACGTCAATCTTGCATAAATAAAATATGTATATAATTGCATAAATAAATCTATTTTAATATTTATATGTAGGCTGTGTTATTTCTGTATATTTCTGTGTATTTCTTACAACTGTAAAATCTTTACTACACTTACAACTGTAAAATCTAAATACATCTGGGATAGCACGGCCTGTGTGAATGGCTGCTGCACTTAATTCAGCCACTTCCAGTTAATGGGGCTGGGCAGGAGATGCTTGTCCCTGTGTCCAGAACTCTTCTGGCGTCTTTTGGCTTGTTGTCACTAAATTAAAAGCTGTTTCAGAGCAGCATAAAGAAACATTCCTCATCTGTCTCAAATTTTCCTTCTTACTGTTTGCTGCCACTATTTCCTCTATCACTTTTCATATAAAGGTCTGTGTAAAGACCTGATGGATGAGCCCAGAGCTTTCCCTGACATTTCACAATTGTTCTGTGGCTTCTAGGCTTTGTCCCATCCAATTTTAAGTATTCTCTAACACTTTTCATCTGATGCCTCTCTTTTTCTAACCTGAATAATCTGGTCAGCTGTTTTTCATTAAAAATTAGGTGCGTGTCTGTCATCATTGCTGTCCTGTCATGGGAAGGAGGGATGGAAGGTCCACCAGCCCATGCCTTTCTCATCCCTGCTGAGCAGGGCTGATGAACCCCATCTGCTGTGGTCCTCAGCCCTCAAGTATAACAACTCCACTTCTTGTTTCCTTTGATTTTCAACAATTTTTCTTTGTGACAAACTTCTTTTGCTGGGAAAGTGCAAAATAAGCAGATATTTACAGCTATAGTGCTTTCCTCAAATGCCCATATGTTTTTTGGAAAGCTTTTGGGATTTTGGCTGGTTAGCAGAGAGGGACCTAAGCCTGCCCTAAAAAAGTTGAGTCTTTATGGGAATTGTAATCATGAGAGTATTAGAATTTACATTCTATTGCCTTATGATGCTGTACAGCCACATGTGCTTACAAAATAATAAACCAAAACCAAATTTTTTTTCTTTTACCTGTTCTTGGCAATATATTGGGAAACTATGCTCAAACCCTGCATGCAAGTGCTGATTTGTGAAAAGTAGCCCATTCCATTGCTGCATAGGTAGTGTTGTGAGGTTTTTTTTTTTTTAGTCATTGCAGTTGTTTTAGGATTTTTCTGTTCTCTGCCCCATCCTACTGAAGCAATGTCTTGGACAGCACCTGATATCTTGGTGTACCATGGCGAAATCCTTTCAAGGGCAGCTCCACGTAGGACTTGCACCTTGATTTTGGTGTAAATATGATGCAGGAGGAGTGTTTGGCATCCAGGAGATTCCTGGCACAGGAGATCAGTTGCATGGAAGGGGGACACAGGAATCATTTGGCTGCGGTAGGACAGGTATGTGGACCTGAAATCCCGGCCCTGTGTGCCACTGGGGTTTGGGATCCAGGTGACCCCACCCCAAGCCTGCTGAGAGTCAGAAGTTTCTTAAAAATTATCATTTTATTATTCTTTTAACACTTTAAAATTATCATTTATTATGACGATTTTAAATAAAATAAAACAGAACCTCTTGCTTGTTGTTTCAGGTGGCAGTTTGTAAAATTATTTGGTCACCAAAAATTTAATTAGAACAGTAATGTTGGTGCCTGGGCAATTAACGTAACTTAAGTGCAAAAATACTACTTCTATTTTTTTTTCCCGGCAAGAGCTGTCCTGGCTGTTGGAGTTGGACCAGCACTTGGGTGTTTTCACTGGAAATGAAATTTTAGTGTGTTTGTCAGGAATACACATGAAAATAAAATAGCACGTGTTCCTAGAACCGGTGGGTGGACTTTTTCTCAAATATTCCTCTAGCCCGTGCAGACTACAGGAATCCCACAAGGAGTGTTCCTCCAAAACCTCCCCAGACATCCTTTGCATGCCTGACCATGATTTTTTGCTCCGTTTTTCTCCCTGTTCAGCTTCCCAACGGCACTGACTGGAACTGGATGCAGAAATTGTGCGAGTGGCATGGAAAAAACCAGCTATTCCAGAAGCCCCGCATGTCCAAGGCCTCCTTCATCATCCTGCACTTCACCGACAAGGTAACTGGGCGCGCGTTGTGTGCGCTGGGACTTGAACACAGAAATGGGAAATACTTGGGGTTGGGGAAGAGCCTCGTGAAGGAAAACTAGTTTATAGCACTGGTGAGCAGGTTTTTGGTGATAGGCATGACTGGTCGGCAGTAATCTCAGTTTGGTGCTCCGATCTAGATCAGCTTAGAGATTCAGCCTCCTAACTATTGCTCTAAGCTTTAAATAGTTACGCTTCCTGGAGAAGAGAAAAATTCTCTTTCTCAAAGCTGCAGCAAAGTGAATTTCTGTAGGGGCAGCTTGACTGAAAATGTATTGGAAAAGGGAATTATTTTTGAAGAGTCGGAGCTGTGAGCATCTGCAAGTCACAGTGGGGAGATGTGTTGAGATGACCCTGAGCTGATCCCACCCTTCTGAGGGTGGAGATGCCAGCTGTGGGACTCTAAATCCCAGTGTCTGGTGCTGTGGGGTCTTGTCCATGGGCTCCAGCTTCACTGGAATCCTGATGTGGCAGGCATCACTCCCAGCAAATAAGACTCCTAAAAGCTTGCAGTTATCCAAAACGCGTTTGTTAGGAAGGAGAATGTCAGACTGACCAGGGAATGTGTGTGAGGAGCCAGATGATGTGCTGGTGCTGTGATCCTCTACAGGTGCTTCTCCTAAGGTTTGCCCTGGACGCGAGCAGCACTTTTCATGGCAAAGGTTGATACTTGCTTTTCCCTAGGCATGTGATTTTGCACATGAATTCTTCACAAATGAAATCTTTTTGTAAGCTTTCCTCTTTTCTTTTTTTGGTGATGTGTTATTTCAGCCAACTTCAAATGTAAAAAATAAAATAAAATTTTCATCTGTCTTCTGTAAATTCTTCCTTTGCATCCCAACCCTCTGCAGTTTCAAAAATGAGACCTACAAGAGATGTAGCCAGGGCATCTTATGAGGTTTACTGATTAGCTTACAAGGAGTTTAGGAGTGAACAAAAGGGCATGTAGAAGTACTGATGATCTTTGCATTTTTACCTCTGGTTTCCATGGAAGTGCGGTTGGGTCCTGTGCAGAGCAGTTTAATGACTAAGAAACAATCTGTGTTTGCAGTAAGGATTTTGCTTTTGTTCAGATTCACTTTCTTTGATTAAAAAGTGACCTTTAAATTCCAGTTGTTCTCCCCCTTCTCCCTCTCAGGGTTTTCAGGTGAGCTCTTGACAGTAGGGGAGTGGAGGGACACAGCGTTTTGTCCCTGTGCAATTGGACTTCACCCTCTGGGCTTCTTCCTTTTTCTCCTGCTAGGTGGAATATGAGAGCAATGGATTTCTGGAGAAGAACAGGGACACCATGTACGAGGAACATATCAACATCCTGAAAGCCAGCAAGGTAAAAGCAGCAAATTGGGAGATAATTGACACCACTGCTTTCCAAAGTGTGAGCCTTGCACTTGCATTCCTGTGCCGTGCCGCAGCAGGTCTGGTATATAAAAGTGGTTGAAGGCAGCTACATGAACAGCAAGAAAGGCACATAAACGGGGTGTGGAGGAGGGAATAAGAGGGGAGAACCCTTCCAGGGGCAGCTCTCTTATGAAGATGTTAGTATGAAACTCTGGCCCTGCAAAGCCCAACACACCATCCAGCAGCCAAAATTGAGACTGCATGACTCTGGGTCACCGTTGTTTCCACCAGACTTTGTGTGTGGTGTAGGGAAGAAATATATCTGCTTTTCTCCAAACTGTTTCAAAGCCTCCCCCAGAATGGACCAGTTTGTTAACTTGCAATTATTTTTTTTGCATTACAAATTTTGAATTGCACCTGCATGTTGTAAGCAGATGTCATATATCCAGATTACTCCTCTTTGTGCCACCCTGCCTTGGGTTTACAGTTGGGTGTGGCCTTCCAAATGCCATCCTAAATAAGGAATGTGATGAGGGGAGAGGGAGGAAGTATTATTTTTGGAAGCATTTTAAGCAGGAGTTTGTTCCTGGCAAAGTTAAGAGAGATGGGAATGGGAAATTGAGTGTTGTCAGTAGCTTGCCTTGCATCTCAGCAGTGAATTCACATGCAGGTGTCAAGATGTGAAACTTTCTCATTCATGGGGGTAGCTGCAAGCTATCGAATAACTGTGTGAAGTTGGGCTTTAATAATGCCCAAATCAAGAGGCCTCTGTGTTCTGAGGAGAGAAGTAATTCCTTGGAGCAGTGTGTAGAGTGGTGGGGATGGTGCTGCCTGCAACTCATTCCTTAAAAAATGAAATTTAAAAAAAAATGCTGAAATGGGTTTATTAACATCATCTCCTCCTCTTATCTCTCTCATAGATAAGAACTATAATACAATATCAGAGCAGTTTGGACATCAGTTTAATAGCAAAAAAACCCCTGGACACTGCTCCTTGAAAGTGGTTTGCTTGACCTAAACAAAGCCATTAATGTGTATGCCTCAGGACCAAAGATTTGGGTTTAGCTGGACTGCAAATTGAGCTAATGCTTCATAAGATCAGGTTTTAGGACTATGTGAATTCATGGTAGTGGCTGTGTAGGTGAGACCAAAATCTGCATTTGTAATCCAGTTTAAAACACTCAAATGCACTTGGCTCTGAGAATCTTTGGGTGACAGTTTGATGAACTTCAGCTTTTGAGCCATTTCTTTGCTGTGGGAGCAGTGGTTGTCATCAGCCTGTGCAGATGCTGTGCTGTCCCAGGAGGAAAAGCAGCATTTCCCTCAGCAGGAGCATCCTCACCCTCCTCCTTCAAGGCCTCTGAAACTTGATCTGCTCTTGTTTTCCCTAACCCTGTTGGTTGGCAGATTCAGTTACCCTGATTTTTTTTTTGCCTTTTTTTTTTTTTTTTATCTTGTCTGCCATGTGCCCTCCAGGGGTATATAAAATAAAATTTCTTTTCTTTTGCTGTAAAAAGAAATCTGGTTTCTTTGAATGTGAGCCTGCTGCTCAGATGTGCTAATTTTACTAGGACTTAAATTTGCGCTGCAAAAAGTGGTGCTGCAAGGACTTTGTCCTGTAGTCAGGATCAGGCCTGTGTACAGTATTTGCCACATTCTATTTTATATTCCCACTAAAGTGATACACAGGGCAAGGGGGAACACTAAAATTAACACAGGAAGGACTTCAACACCTCCCTGTCAGCATGCACGTCGCTGATGAAGCGCTCCCACCAAGGCAGAATTGTGTTCTGCTAATTAGAATGCAAATATTGCCATCAACAAGATGGTGAAAGAGACATTATAAAGCAGCTAATTAGTTTTGTTAGACCTGGACAGCTAAAACAGTTGAGAATTTATGTTCTTTGAATTAATGAAACAGATTTGAATAGTGACTGGAAGCATGGGGCATGCTGTTAAAATATTATAATCCAGTCCTTTATGATTACTAATAGTGCACCAGCAATTGCCATTTGGGAAGGAGGGATTTGTCCTTCTCGCGTATCCCCCAACATCCATGGAATAGATCCTGGGCTGCTACAGATGGTCTCAGTTTACACCAGTTCTGCTTTAAGCAAGCTGAAAGCTCACCTCTTGAGATTCTTTTCAAGTGCTTGTTCAGGAGCAAGCACTCTTGTTATTAATAACAAGTGGACCAAAGGGTCGATGACACTCCCAGCTATGCATGGAGATGGTATTTTGAAACCTGAAATTACAGCCAGGGGTTTTACTGCATTGTCAAGCACAAAATAGTAAAGTGGAGTCTGTGTTGGATGTCTTCCAGCATCAAGCACGTGCTACCCAAACATCCTGTTTTTGCAGAAGTCAAAGCACCAAAGGCAGTGACATGTCACTGAAGCACAGCAGCTGTCAGGGCCTCTTTTTTTTTTTGGGGGGGGGGGGCAGGATAGAGGGTTAGGCGAAGAAGGTGCGAGCCTTTTTTTCTGGTAGGAGCTGAGCAAGCTGCAGAGATAAAAGCTGTGAGTTTAATGCACATCCTTAGCAGGAGCTGTCCTGGAGCCTGCAAGCAATTTACTAATGTAATGTGAACAGTTTCCTTCCCATAGTGGTGTTTAGGCTGCTGTGCTAGCAAGCTGTGCGAACAGCCTGCAGGACAGGGGCTGGAAACATTCCTGTCTTAGTCCAGGGATGTGTCAGAGAGCCCTGCAGCCCTTTACGGCACAGGGCTGCCCATTCATGTCTGTAAAGCCATAAACCCCTTCACTCTTCTTGGGATTTTAATGGAAGTACAACAAAGTTTGGCTTTCGGAGGAGCCTGGGATGGAGAGTTTTTATGTGGACGTGTCAGGCACGGCGTGCCACGGATGAGGGAAGTGTGATTGCTGGTGCCCTCTCCCAGGGATGCTCCAGCGCGGGTGTTACTGGTGGTGTGTGCACTGCTGGGGTGGCAACACAGGAGCTTGGGCAGTGTCACTGGGCTGGAGCCCAGCTCAGCTGTGGACAAGTGAAATGCCACCCGGTGACTGCGGGTTTTCTGACATTTAAGAGTTTATTATTTGTAAGTGCAGCTCTAGTGGGAGCCTGTGTAGGTGCACAGCTGGGGTTGAGGTGTGGAAATTTAACAGCCCTGCAAAACAGACCAGATTTATTGTGACTTAGTATTCAAGTTCTTCAGCCTAATGCAAATTTGGAGATTCCTCCCCTTAAAACAAAAAACATTAACTGCATTTGCTAGCTCACCTCTTCTCCCATTTATGAAGCAGAAGCGTTGCTGCTGGCTTGCCAGAAACCCCAGACTTCAGGGGTCTGAGGAGCTAAATGTGGTGCTTTCAGGGCTGCAGAATGATGGTCCTGCTGTCACCTTGCTCATTCATGCTGAAATGCAGGTAATTAGTGAGGAGGTACTGGTGTCTCTTAGTTGTTCAGAAAAGCAAGGGTGCCTCTGGGACTGTGGTGGGAGCGGGCTGCTGCCTCTCCTCATGTGGCCACCCCATTCCTGGGACACGCACAGCATCATTGCTGCGATCAGGACTGGATGAATACCTTGAAACGAAGCCTGGGAGCAAGAGTCACTTCATGCTTAGGAGCTTTTGTGCCTTGGACAACACTTCAGCAATCCAGCCTTGCAGCTAGCCGACAACATTCTTTTTTTTTTTTTTTTTTTTTTTTTTTTTTAATATGCTCACTTGATTTAATGTGCATATTTCAAGGTTTGATGAACTACAAACCAGAATGACCAATGGTCCTGCTGATGTGGTTTATGTAGGCAGTGTTTCTTGCTTTCACTTTAATTAGCTTTTTCCCCTTCCTGGTTTAAGATGGGTAAAAAATGACAGGAGCAGTGTGACTTGGGTGGGTTCCTTCAGCAAAGAGCAAGGCCAGAGGTTCTCAGGCATTGTCTTTCATTTTAGTATGAAATGATATCGGACTTATTCCAAGATGAGAATGATGCTGCACCCACCACTTCTGCAAGAAAGAAAGCACTCAAAGGCAGAAGAAGTTTTGACAGATTAGTAGCCAAAGCTGACAGTAATAAGAACAAGAAGACAGTGGGTTACCAGGTAATGTATGATATGAGCGAGTCGGTTGATATCAGGGGAATGGGGCAGGTGAACCCAGGTACATTTTTACAGTTAAGATCTCATTTCTTCAGTTTGAAGCAGAGAGAAATAAAAAGTGGTTGTGGGGAGGGAAAGTGAGGAGACTTTTGCATGAGCTGTGTTGTAGAACGGGAACAGTTTTCCTGTTGCATTTTGGACACCTTCTAGCAGCGTCTCTGGAAGAGCAGGTTTGTGTAGGCCTGACTGGAAGCAGTTGAAAGATGGTCTAAGGGAAGGGGATGGCCACTTTGGGATTCACTAGGCTGCATCCCAATGTAATATGGTGGTTCATAAATTGGAACAACTTGAGAAAGAGAGCATTTTTTTCCCCTGTATGGACAGTCAAGCAATGCAACAGAGGCCCAGAAATATGCTGTCTCCACCCTGAGAGATTTTTTCAAGACCCAGCTGGGTAAAGTCCTGAGCAAATGCCTGTTGCTCTTGTACCTCATTGACCTGGAGGCCCTCAACCCGCCAGTGTCTTCTCTGAATTGCTCCTGCATGTGCTGGGCTGATAGGAAGGTTCATGCTGGGTCACATCCAGAGACTGGTACCGCGGGTGCCTTGCAGCGCCTGCCAACTTGTGTTGCATGGTACGGCACCTTCAGCCCTCCTCAAAATGAGTCGTTTTGTCTTTCAGTTCCGCAATTCACTGAAATTGCTCATGGAGACTCTGAACACCACCACCCCGCACTACGTGCGCTGCATCAAGCCGAACAACGAGAAGCTCCCCTTTAAGTAAGTGGGCTTTCAGATGAGCACATGTTTTCAGCATTATAGCAACAAGGTGTGCTTTGTGCTTTTCTTCTTGCTAAAGAGATTGCCCCTCTTGCGATGCTGTTCCCATAACTGGGATGTCCTTGTAGTTCGCAGGAGTCACTTCTCAGGTTTTATTGTTGTGGGTTTTGTGCCTGTGAAATGACTAATGCAGGTCCTAGTAATTCATAGATATACTCTGCTAATATTGAGCTTCCTTGCTTTGCAATAATAGGGTCTTCATACAATTTCATCTTAAAATTGCTTTGATTTAAATAGTTACAGTACTAAAGGGTGAAAAGTAGCAGAGAAAGAAATGAAAAAATGGAGATAAGTAGTCTGCTTGCAAAATGGCTTGTAAAATGAACAGAAATGTCCTGGTGATTCCAAAATAAATGTGGAAAAAGTAAAGACATGACTTGTTTCAAGATGGCTCCAACAATCTCCTTCAAAGGACAAAGCATCTGTAAACAGGCTCACCCTTGGCTGTGATATTCTCCAGCTTCCCTGGCTTGACTATTCTCCCCCTGCAAACAGCAAAGCAAAATGTATTAATGGTTAGAAGACATTCAGGGACTGGCTTATATTTAACTGATTCATTAGATGATTAGTTGACCGCTCCGGAGAAGGTTGTGTTGACTGTCTGTGCTGAGACAGCAGTTTCTGCGGTCTATTGTATCTATTTCATGTACCATTATGTAGGTACTAGAGATGCTTAGGGCCTCAGTTTCTTGTTACACACTGTACAGGTTGTCCACTTAAATGGAATTCAGAATTACACTTTTTGTTTGATCGCTTTCTTTATGTAAAACACGAAAGTATTTTCTAACTTTCAGTAGTGGAAGCATGGTAGATGCTCTGCATGGTGAAATGGCTTCACCCTTCCAAAGGATGTTTCCAAGATTCCGTGTCCCTACTCAGTTCTAATTTCTGCCCACCCTTCTTCACTTCTTTGCCTTTAACTCTTCAATTCAGTTTTTCATGTGGTGCTTAGGATACAGTTAGTATAATTTTATAAAGGTGCAAGCTCCTGGTTGTCTAGGTGCAGTAATTATCTAAATGAACTCAGTTGTACTTGTAGGATGTTATGGGTAGCAAATATCAGGAGAATAATTCTGCTTGTGTCTACTTGCATTGTGTGAGTGATGACTTGGTCTGATGTGGTGCTCCCCATCTGGCGGATGTCAAAGCTGTCAAAGCTCAGGATTTTGGAAACAAAGCGCAAACCAAAATAGACACAAGAACGGTTCTACATGCAAGTGTCTGTCTGCAGCCAACAGTATTGCAGGAGTCACCGTGGGCTGGAAACGACAGGAGGGTGCTTTGGGTTGGGATGATGGTGTTGCATCCTCATCTGCAAGCCAGAAAGCACTGTTTGAGGTGTCTTGTACCGGGGGTTCTTCTGCTGCAAGAGATTATCTCCTTCCTCAGCCATCGTGGATTGCTTAACTGAAATTGTGATCTGAAAATCTCCATCAATGTTAATCTTGCTGCCACCAGCTTGAGGAATTTGTATCTTTAGCGTGGCTTGAAGAAAATCTGTTTGTTTCTATGTAAAACTCAGGTCTGGAGGATATGGGGATGGCTGTAAAGGAGACTGCATTTCAGAGGCACTTGTGCTGAAAAACACACAGTGCCAGGAGGCATTAGTGAAGTGAAACATCAGTGGCATTGCTGTGGGTTGGCGTTAAAGTGGTATCTTGCAGCATGCAGAACACTCAGTATTATGTTTGTTGTTCAGTGAAAAAAGGCAGACCTTTTTCTAAAATGTAACATTTTTCAGCTCACACGTACATTACATTTTTGCTGAAATTAGATGTTTAGCCTGGAGAAGGAGCCTAATAGCAGCCTTCCAGTACTTACAGGAGCTACCAAGAGGATGAAGCCATGCTCTTCACAGCAGTGTGTGGTGGAAGAACAGAAGTCAATGGCTGCAAATTGACATGAGAGGTTCAGACTGGAGATTAAGGAAGCATATTTTTTTTTTTTTTTTTTAATTCCATGGTGGCAGTCTATCAGTGGAACTGGGGGTCCAGAGAAGTTGTGCAACCTCCATCTTGGGAGGTTTTCAGCCCTTGACTGGATAAAGGCCTGAGCTGTGGGTCTGCCCCCATAGCTGCCCCAGCTTTTGAACATAGGAGCTGGGTTAGAGGCCTCCTCTGATCTCTTGTAAGCTGCATTACTCTCATTCCTACTTTATATCTTGGTGCAAATGTAAGGGGTTTTTTTCTTAGGGAGGTGAGGGCTGTCAGACTTCCAGCCTGGAGGAAGCATTGGCAGTGATATTTGCTGCATCTGACTGGAAGCTGTGGCTGAGGTTGTTCCCCCTTGGAGAAGACTTCAGAGAGAGAGGTGTGAGGGGAATGCCTGACCTCAGCTTTCACTTTGGACAATTTTCCTTCCAAATTCTGTTTCAGGCAGGATTTGTGGTCTCTTACTTGGATTTCCAGGGCAAAAGCAACCTGCCAGGTGCTTCTACCTTCCACAGCAGCAAAAAGGAGTTCATAATAATGGGTATTGTCCCACTTTTAAGCTCTTTATTTCAGCCTCAGCCCATAGCTGGAGTTGTTGCTAGAGAGGCTCCTGGCTTTCCATGCTGATAAATCCCTGCAGCCGCTCAGGTTACTGCATTTCACCCCCACTGAGCAGGGCTTGGCTGAGTTGCAGAAAGTTCCACGTGTGTAGAACATAAATTGCCCTGGGATCTTCCAGAACTGAAGCTTCCCCATCCATCTGCCAGTCCTGTTTATTGTTACGGAAATTGCATGCTTGTGGATTCCTCTCAAAGCGAGTGGCAGCCAAGACTGATTTTCCACCCTGCATCGTGTTCGCAGTATTGTAGTGAATAACCTGATATAGATTTGACAGGACCAGTGAATTGAAAACCACCCGAAGTAGCAGGGGACTATTTTTTACACCGCTTTTGCACAGAGGCCAAGCAGAATTGTTCATGCAGACTTGACCTGCAGGTGTAAATTCTTTGGGCTCTGCAGGGGACAAGCAGGTACCTGAGAAGCTTGTGTTCTGGAACCCTAACACAAACAGCCATGGGCATCTACGTTTATGGACACCTGCATTTTTGTGTCCAAGCTTGATCCAACAACATCTTCCACGGTCCAATATCTGGAGCTGGAGATCTGAGACCTCTTTCTGTATTCAGTGTTGAGGTGAAAGGAGGGAGAAGCAATGGGGAACGCTGGTACCTGGGCTCACTCTCTGTGAAGATAGACTGATCTGGAAGTGGGTTCGTGCCAGGAACCAGAGAGAGCACAGCCCCAATACTCACCTGGAAGATGGCACAAAGTCTTTTAACACAAATGGCTGACGAAAATGAGATGCCAGTGGTAAGGGGTAATGATGGCTAAAAAGAGGAGTGCAGACAGCTGAGAGCAGAAATACCTTGAATTTTCCACATGATGCCTACCAAAGCCCTTAGTCTTAGCACCACTGTTCTTGGTAAACTTAATGGTCCGCAAACTTGTGGGACCTGTTAATTATTTGGTTTTGTTATGAAATTTAATATATCAGATTTGTTTTGCTGTTGAATTTGATTTCTTTCTGAAAATATGTTGTTGCCCTTAGGATTGCAAAAGTTGCCCTTACAGCTGCAAAAGTAATACTGTCCGCTTCATCAGGCAGCTTGTGGTGGGATAGCCTCTTCCTTTTTTTATGGTAATTGTGTTACTTCGCATAGCTGGGTAGATTATGTCTGTAGAGACTCATTGCAACAGATTGTCATCTTGTCCCAAGAGTACCACTTGGCATTGATTGTAGGGCAGTGGCAATGTCCACTGCACTTTAAAAGCACATCATCTTGTGACACAGAGAGAAAATGTGATATCTGTGCAGCCTGCTCCTGAAGCAATGCATGGGATTTGTGGTTATACTGAGGTTTGCGAGGGAATGACTATAGAAAAAAGCTATCCATGAATGTATGGTTTTCTTCATCCCCTATACTACTGATGAGAGCAGAGCTTTTTTCCACAAACTGGAAGCTAATTCCTGTCCCTAAAAGAGTCACTGTCAGGTGGGTTGATGCTGTGGGCTCCTTCTCACTATGTTAATCTCCATTCTAAATATAATTGCAGATTTGATTCGAAGAGAGTGGTACAGCAGCTGAGAGCTTGTGGAGTGCTGGAGACCATCCGCATCAATGCTACTGGCTTCCCATCCAGGTACCAAGCTGGGGATTCGGCGTGGTGTTGTGCTGCTGGTGTGCTTTATTCAGCAAGTTCCTTACCTGGGACGAGGGAGGGAGAAGAAAACACTACTGCTTTCAGGACAAACAGGGTTTATTTACACTGGTTTATATCCAGGATAGATTATCCCCTTTTTATATTCTTTTTAATTTTGCAAAACCCCCATTAGGTCCTGGGTTCCTCAAATCTAAGAGATTTGTTGTCAAGTGGTGAGCTGCAAAGTGAGGCTGCCAGAGGGTTGTGTTGTGTCCAGCGTTTCAGCTGGTGTTTGCAGTTTGGTCCCAAGAAGTAATTTGATGTGATGAAATCTGTGAAAATGCTGGTGTTTGGCAGATAAAGGGATCCAGCTTTGATCCCATACAAAGATGGACAGCAAGTAGCAAAATAATGGCTCTATATATCCTTTGTACCCATCTTGCCTGGAAGCAAGTGTTGCCTAAGAGGACTTGTTCCCTGCTTGCCTGAAGCTCCCCATACAAAAGTTCCTTGCATTGTACAATTTGCTTTACAGTTTCCTTTCCTTTTTTTTTTTTTTTTTCCCTGGGTTCAGACACCTAGAGCAATAGTAATTTCAGCCAAAAATATTTTTATTATACATGTGGAGAAATAAAATAATGGTTGTAAATTATTATTGCAGACTTTTGTACAGCACATCCAAAGCATACCAGGATTCAAACATTTGCATCTTAAAAAGGAAAGGCTACGGGAGGTACAACTCTTCCTGATTGTGACACTAAAATCAGAAGAGGTTTTTAGGGCCTAATAAATTATAAAACATAAACTATAAATAAACCCTGAAGATGGCAAGGGCAAATAATTCTAAAAATGCATCAATTGCATTGTAGTGCCAAGCAGCTTTGTGTTCATGTCAGCAGAGCCATCAGCCTTTTTATATGGGCCAAAGGAGTTATAAATACGCTCAGTAAAGAGTTGGCTAAGCTGAGTGCCATGAGAAACTCCCTGCCCTGTTTTTTGGGGAGGAGTGTGCTGCCTTACCCAGTTACTCTTGTTGCCTGCAAAGAGCCTCTGGCAATTGATGGCAGCTTCTGGGCATTGGCACGAGGTGACTCTGCTGCACCTAGCCCCTGTAAAACCTCTGTTGGCCAGTGACCTCTGTGGACTGGCAAAAGCTGGTGATGGGGATCTCCCTGGCTAGATGAGCACAACTCCACAAGAAGGAAAAAAAAAAAAAAAATAGTAAAAAATGTATCTCTGCCAGCATGAGAAGGTGGCAGAGAGGTGAATGGAGATTTGGGTGGTCCTGTGCGGGGTCTGGCCCTGTTTAGAAGACCCAGCACCACCTTTGGCACCCTTCTCCTGAAGTCTTCAAGGCATTTGTGGAAGTAACTAATAAAAAGTTGCTCCTAAATTACATGATCTCTAAGGTATGGAGGGAAATTAAACACCAGTCCATGCGTTGGGTCTTTTTTTATCTTATTTAAAGCAGCTGCAGGGTCAAATCCATCTGAAGTGAAATCCCTGAAGCAGTGAAACAGCTGTGGTTCCATTTGGAAAAGGCCAGAGAAAAGCAGTTTTATGTTCCTTAATCAAGTGGTCGTCCCAGGGGAGGTTTGGGGAACTCTGACTTGAGAGTTGGCCATGGGTTTGCTACTGGTCTTAGCATAGCTGCAGGGATACCCTGCTTCTCTCCATTCATAATTTTCCTGCACGCTTATAGCATCTTTTCATCTCTGCTCACTTAACTCTGCAGTTTAGACCCCAGAGCACTGAAATTGACTTTTAATTAGTAACTGGGGAGGGGGAATAGAGAGGAGAAACTATTCCAGCACCTGGAGACCAGCCAGGGTCTATTTATGGCAAATAATTGACTAGTGGGAAGACATCTCCGTCCTGTAAAACTCAAAAGCGGTGATTTTTGGCTCTGCTTGTGTGCTTTTGGTTATGAGGTATTTTTCCCAGGACGCTAAGAATACAGAACTCTTCCATCACTGAAACTTGTCAGCTTTTATTCTTCCTTCAGGGGAAAAAAAAAAAAAAAAAAAAAGGGGGTGCAAATAGCTATTTCAGCCTTTCAGAGTGACCTTCTGTTCAGTGTTTGGGATGCTTCAAGGACAGATCTTTTTTTTATTTTATTTTAATGTTTCTAGAAGATAATTGCATACAGGAACAGCTCTATGCTAAATAAAATATTCAGTTTGGGTTCTTGTAGTTCTTTAACCTCCTTGGTCAGAAAATAACAGTCTTGAAAAGCCAAACACAGGAGTTGGACAACATTGCTGAAAGATTGTGAATAGTCAATATATTTGAATTAGCTTTATAAACCAGCTTGGCAAAAGCTGCTACCCCAGGTTCTTATTTTGTGGGAAATACAATAGATGTTTTAGTTCTTCCTGCATTTTTACATCCATGCAATCTGTCTTGGTTGTCATCACAGTAAGCACTGATTATTCCTCTGTTTTTCCTTGTATTTTGTGACAAGTCTGATGATAACAGTTGGTAAAGGATAAAACCAAAAAGGAGGGTCATTACTTTAAATTTAAACCCTGTTTGAAGGCTATAAATTTAAACTGCTTAAGAATGGAAAACTTGATCTTTGTGAGTTTTGCTTCATTTGGAAGTAAGCAACAAGGAACATTCAAAATGTTGTATCTCAAGAGAAGTTTTTTTACAGAAACAGGAGAAAATGTTTATTTTCATCCTGTAGTATTTACATCTGAATATTTTCCAGCATACTGTCACAAGAGTAACTTACGAGAGTAATGTGGCTTTGGGTCAGATCTCTGGATAAAGCCACCTTCTGCTGTTTTTTCACACTTCTCCATCACGGTTACTTTATGGGTTGAAGAACTGAATGTTTTGAGGCTTCAATAATTTTTTTACCTGATTCCTATAAGGAAAAAAAAAAAAGTTTTAATATACTTTTTGTTGTTCTTCAACCCATGTAAGTCATGATATATTCCCACTGAAAGGAGGAAAACATACGTTGGGTACTTCTGGCTTTATTTCATTATTTCCATGGTACACTGCACTCTGCTGCTATCTCAAGTAAAATGAAAATGTATCATTTGGTTTGAAATGTTACGCAGCAGTTAAGAAATGTATTTGGTAGTATGTGCACAAATGACTGTGATGAATGGACTGTCTTACATGTGTAGATAGTAAATCTATCATCAACTTCCATGGGTAAAGCATGGAAGATGTCTCTGTACTATAAATCCATCTTCATTATAGAAACTGGCTACATAAAGATTAGTCTATAGAGAATTAATTAGTACAGATCTCCATTAATAACACAATATTCTTTAAAACAAGTTTTTAACTCGCATTTTATCAAAACTCTCCATTTTAATTCATGCTGGTTTTAGTTTCCAGTCAGTGGTAGAATGGCAGCGGTCACCCAGCATGCCATCACTCTGAATAATGTTATCATTGCAGTCTCTCCGAAATACTGTTATTGTAGTTATGTGTAAAACTTATTGTTTAAGTATTCTTGGCATTTGACTGCTTCCTCTGGTTGCTGGAGCTGACAGATGCAGTATCTTCATATCAGTTCAGTATGAAATCACAGATGCTAAACTCTATAAACATTAAAAATCCATAACTGAAATGTATAGTGGGCATCCTTGGATGATGTACATTTTTTTTTCTTTTTTTTTTGGATAATGTGCCTTTAGCTGTCTTGCAGTCATTTCAGGGAAACAAAACATATAAACAACTTTGGCTACCAATAGTTCTGTTTGCCCACTCCCAACAAAGGTGTCATATGTAAATAGAGGGGTATTTTTGCTCATTCAGCTCTTTGAATATATTCCAGATAATTTCAAGCCATGCCAGTCTGTATGTTTTAGAGCTAACTAAAAGGCAAATCTGTTCTGCTGCAGTAAACAAGGCAAGACAAATTTTCTCCCTGGACCACAGTTTCTAAAATAATTTCATGTCAAATCTTGGCTCAGATGTTCAGCCTGCATGCCCCCAAAACAGACTTTGGCTCCTATAGAAAGGTCAATATAGTTTTGCTCCTTACTGCTTAACATGTCGATCCCTTCAGGGGACAGCACCACGTGGCACTGGCAGGATTTCTGACGCGAAGCCAGGTTCACTCAGCACATGGTCACTGCCATGGTCTTGGGTGATGGTGGGAAATTAATCTTTTTACCCTTTATTTATACTCCTTTCAGCTCTTCATTCAGAGCCGCTGAGATAACATTGCTGTAATCACCCTGAAACAATAGTTTGGAGATATTTTGGACAGTGGCTTACTGCTTGGAGAGATGCTTTTCAGAGGCTTCCTCAGAAGTCAGAATTTCATCCCTGGTTTCTAACCCAAGTCCTCCCTTTAATTGCAAGGCTGTAATAAATCCAGCTCGCTCTGCAGCACAAGAGCTCCTTTTTGGTTTGCATCCTTGTGATTTTGGGCAGGAGCAGCCCCTTTGCTTTGCACCCAGTTGTAGCTTTGTGTAAAGCATGCAAATCTTGTTCTGTAAACCACAGATACAAGACCTAATTTTTGGCATGTGTTATAGTGCATTCCCTCTGTCTAATTCCTGCAGATGACACAGAAATTGATGGGTTGAACAAGTCTTCATCCCCTGGCCAAGCTCTCGAGCATCCTCCTTGCTGCTCAAACCCAAGGAGTTGTTTTTTTGACAGGCATAAGTTATTTCCCTGTGCCCTTCCATTCCTTTTATTGCCTCTTCCCTTTAGTGGCCTGTGCTGATTGTCAGAGTAAGATTTTGATCTTTAAGATTGGTTGTTCTTGACCTCAGCCCTGAGATTTTTTTTTTTTTTCCCCTCTTGGGAAAGTTTGATCACTATCTGTCCAGTCCTTTTTACATCCTTCTTCCTCTTTCTCAGTTGTGCAGATACCAAAATCTTCCTGATTACAGTTTTTCGCTTACAGCACCTGTCTGCATTTTATAATTTAATAATTATAACAAATTGTATTTACTTAGTGGCCCTTGGTAGTTTCCAGCTCCTAGCAATGAGACATGCCCATGCTGTGTGTTCTGTGTCAGCATCCTGAAAACACAAGATCTGCGTTTAATTTAATACCCGTCAACGAGTTGAGCTGAGGTATAACCTTCCCATAATCTGTCCTGATTTGCCAAGCAGTGGGGTAACATGGCACATCTTTTGTCTTGTGCTGGGAATCGCTCTGTGGTATAGCAAGAGAGAAATAAATTCTCTCATTTTTCTATGCTGTAGATGCAGCTGCTGAACCTAAGAAAAAAGATATATGTATGCAGAAAAGTAGAAAAAAGTGTTTGTGTGCCAGATTATTGAGCTTTAGTATTTCTGCACCAGGGAGATCTCGCTTGTAGGGTTGGGGGATCATGTTTGTTTCTCTCGGAGCACATAGTTGTAATTTTATACTGCTCTAAACTGTAACCCTGGTTTAACGAGGCATGTTACATTAAACCCGAAGGCTTTAATTGTTCCTTTCTCTGAGAGGGATCCTGTAACAGCACCTCTGAACCCCTGCAGCTTTCTTTTGCTTGTGAACTGGGACTGCAGATATTCCGGTGAAACTTGTGATGGACCAGCTGAGCCCCGGCGTGTCAGGGCTTTTGTTTTGATGTTCTGTGGACAATAATACAAGCAGTGTAATCTCAGGACTGCAATCTCCTGCTAAATCAGCGAGGACAGTGAGAGTGGCCTCACTACAGCAAGGGTGAAGCAAAGTTGTGCTGTGGAGGTGCAGCATTTGGCTGTGAACCTCTGGGAGATGTGAATAGAGGACTACAGATGCCACCAGCCCAGCAAAACCCCCCGACAGCAATCAATGAGCATTATTCCCTGACACTTCCAGTGTCTCATGTGAGACTTAGTCCTTAAAAGCGAGTTATGTTTTTTATATTAAAGATGGACTCAAATAGAAGCAAGTGGAAAATCAGTTTTTGCCACCTTGCAAAATGAGAATTACAGACTCTGAAGAGAGACCCTCTATGTAGTGACTTGTGATCTATTTTTAAGGAATTTCTGTATGTATCTGACTCCTGCTTGAAAGCAGCTGCAGGATCCGTGTCTCTGTCTTGGTGCAAGAAGATGATGGATTTTGCTGCTTTCTGCCCACCCATGCCCTGTTACACGTGTTGCCTTTTCACCATCTACTCTTTGCTGGAGGAGCCTGGATGGCACTTGCAGGATGACTTCTTCCTTCAAATAGCAGCAGTTAATAATATCAGCCCCTAAACTGACTCTGGCAGGTTAATAGGAATACTCCCTCCTCATCTTTTCTCCCAGGCTTGAGTAATACCCGAGCCAGGCAGGAGGTGTCCAGCATCGCGCACCTGGCTGCGTACACTGCTTCTCCGATCGGGTTTGATTTGGAGCTGCATAAAGCCTCGAGTGTGCTTAAAACAAGGATGGGTTTTATTTTCACAAAGCAGAAGGATTAAGCTGTGGGTGCAAAATGGGGAATGTAATTATAAAACAAAGGCATTTAGAAAGCAAAGAGAAAACAAGTTTGTGCTTAAAGACCTACGTGACACAAACCTGTAGTCTTGCATATCTTTGCATTCAGTTTTGCAGCACCTCACACCAGAGAGAGCTCCCCATAGAAGATACCCCTTTTTTTTTTTTTTGTGATAATCCAATACTTCTGGTCATTTGAGTGTGGGTAGCCTTTACTGCCCAGCCTCAGGGCTAGCCCATGTAGAGAGGGAAAAAATCACCACTAAATCTGGCTACACCAGAGCTACTCAAAGCAATCTGAGCATGGGAAATCCTCTCATCACAATTTCCTTCTTGCTTTTATTTTCCCTTTTGGTTCATGTGCAACACTAAGGACTCTCTCTAATTTTTTCCATTCCCATATTCTTTGCAGAAGGTGTCCTGGGTGTCCATGCAGGAATTGCATACCACTTCCCAATCCTTAGCAGTCCTTTGTGGTTTGGTTTGGTTTTTTTTGTTTTTTTTTTTTTTTCTCCTTCTTTTGTTATTGTCATAAACATTTTCATTTCTTCTACTGTGCTCTTTAATTAGAGTATTGCTTTTAATCAAACTGGCTTTCCTCTGCTGTTGCATTTTCTGGATTGATGTGAAACTCTTGGTCAGGTATTTTAAAATAGGTACTATATTTCTGGTATGCCTATCTTACCAAATATCCCCACTTCCAGCTTTCAGGAAGTTTCATTAGAGATGAATTATTTTATAGAAACAGCAGTCTTGACCATGGGAGGTGTTCAGGTGGTGTGAAGTCTCACCCAGCCCCACTACTGCAAACTGGTCAGGTGTAAGGACCTATCACAACCATCGCTCTGGACCTTTGCAATTTATTTTGCCATTCTTCCCCCCCCCCCTCTTGAAGCAGAAAAATAGGAAGAATTGGGTGTAATAACAGAAAAATAAAGGCATGCATGGGGCAGCTGGGCGGAGAAGGGGATGTTTCTGCATGCCTGCTTTGCATATGGTCTATTCTCATCTTGCCTGCCAGAACACCAATGTGGTTGGGGATCAGGCTCACAGAAGGTTTTGTTGAGTGAGGGCAGAAATCAAAATCTCTGCAATTCTCTCCCATCTCCCCTTGACGTTTGTTTTGCATAATTTTTTGAAATAATGATGGCTGTACTTGACATTGCTGGAAATGCCTGGTATTTTAATTGAAAACTCAGGTTTTAATGGGTCCATAACTCACTGTGTTAATTTGGAGGAGGCTGAAACTTGGCAGATGCTGAACCAGTTTCAGGATCCAGTCTGCAGGCTCTACATCTAGCAGCTGTGGCAGGAGATGATATTTCCTAGCAGTAAGATACAGTGCTCTGATTCCTTCAATTAGTGTTGCATGTTTGGAAACTTCACTGCAGGTGATGGTGAGGCATCTTCCAAGTAGCTGCGTTGTCTTTACAGAATCCACAGATTTTCTGTTTGCTTTAAGCGTCTCGGCTGCAGATCTCAGCATGGAGTGATTAATGAATTAATTGATTCAAACTGACACTCAACAGAGTTTGAAAAAGCAAAATAAGGAAGACTTTATATTTGATTCATTCTCTATCATCTTATCAAGGTTGCTTTTTACAATTTTTTTTTGGCCAAATCAGGAGATCCATGATCTCTTAAAAATTTGCATATCCTTTCCCAAGGGAACAGTGTTGTTGCATTTGACTGGTAAAATGCAGCAGCTTGGGAAGCACATCAGGAGGAGTGAAAACAAGATGGCCCACGTCCTTTCTGTTCCAGGCTAGAAATGTACTGATAAGGTAGTTCAGTAGCAGAAGAGGCTGAGACTGGGGGTTGGGACTGGGGTGACCTAAGTTCTTTTGGGTGGCTTTGATCCATGCTGAGGGTAGTGGTGAGAGATCTCTTGGTATACGAGGTTCATATTTTGACTTGCCTGTGACTCAAAATGCTTTATTTTAAGGAAATAATGCCTAGCATGAAGACTAATCCTGTGTATGTTTGGTTTTAGATGGTCCTACCACAACTTTTTCAATAGATATAGAGCTCTTATGAACAAGAGGGACCTCTCTATGGGAGACAAGAAGCATATCTGTCAGACCTTTTTGGAAGACCTCATTAAGGTGAGCTGGGATCAGATCTTATGCATTAATTTTTGCAGCATGGAAGCTCATGGCTTTTATATGATCTGAATTGATTTTCTTGCTCCTGCTTGACCTGCTGTTCTTGCAGGTGCTGTTTGAGCCTAGGCATCCTGGAGCTTTTTCCAAAATGAGATAGTCTTGCAAGGAGGTAGGATGAGCAAGTGTGACATGGCATCTCTTGATTGCAGTCAAGCTGAACATACCATTTCTGTGCTGGTGAAGTCCAGAGCTCGCTATCACTGTCTGTAAATGAAGAATTGGCCATGTTTGAGAAAATTCATCCCCACAATACCTCCTGGTTTTGGCTAGCCATAGCTGGAGCATATTTTAGAGCTCCAGCTTTGGACAACATCATCAACCTTAATCAATCATCAAATGCCTCTTTGCACAAATGAGTAAGAGAAAAATGAAATAAATGCCCTATTTTGGTGTGTGGGAGACTTTTAAGAGCTATTAATAAGTAGAACAAGCATCCCATATATTGGGACCTTTTTCCTTAAGCAAATAAGAAGTCTTTGCCATCTCTCCTCACCAAAATGTTACTACTCACATGTGTGCATTATTTTTAAATTGCAAATGTGCATGCAAAGGTTTCTTCCTGTTGTCTTGCTGTTGAGCAGTCCAGAATGTGCATGGCACCTTACCCAGGTTTTAATTTTTTATTTGTTTACCTCACAGGATTTTGAGGAATATACTCAGTTGAGTTCTTCGCTGTAAAAGCCATTCTTTTCAGGTACTGAGTATTTTGTTAGCTACAGGGCCATTTGCAATGCATGTATGACTTTGCAAATATAAGCCTTAATCTTTTTGAGAAAGAAATCTTTTCTTTAAGTCCTCTGGCATTGCATTGCTCTGTTTGAAAGAAAACAAATGAAACAAAACAAAAACAACACCCCCCCCAAAATCCCATTGCAAGCCCCAAAAAACATTAAAAATTTGTGTGAATATATAGAACTTAAGACCGAATCCTAGTGCTGCATTCCTCAGTGGGTATACAGAAGCTCAAGTACTTTGGAATCTAATAATATCTTTGTCACTCAATTAAGAAGAGATGTGAGCTGAGCTGATAAATTTGATTCAAAGTAGTTTTTTTTTTTTTAATTTGCATGTACTGTGCAACATAGACTGAAAAAAAAAATAATTAAAAGGTTTGCCTTCATTTAATTTACTTTTCTTTATGTTTTTGAAAAGGATCCAGACAAGTTCCAGTTTGGAGAGACCAAGATCTTTTTCCGTGCAGGCCAGGTGGCATATCTGGAGAAACTGCGAGCAGATAAGTTTAGAGCTTGCACAATCATGATTCAGAAGACAGTGCGGGGCTGGCTACAAAGGGTCAAGTACAAAAGGCTGAGAAAATCTGTAATCGCCATCCAGTGCCACATGCGTGGGTACCTGGTACGAAGGTGGGTCCTAGGAAGCCCTCCGATGGGGGACTAGCTGGGAGGTCAAGTGGAAGAAGACTTCTGGGCACTTGTATTCTCAGTCTGTTCCATCTTCTAGGCCTTAAACTTGGGGATTTTGTATGAGAAACATTGAAAATGCTCTACATGGGGTGGTGTTGTCACAGGGCTGAAAGGCAAGACCCATATTGTGCACAGAGGTACCACTATAGTGAAAGTTTCTGTGCCAAAGTCAGGACTCATTCCTGGCCCCACTCTCCAGCTTTATCTGGGGGCAAGAAACAAAATTCTTTGTCTCAATTTGATTTCATATCTGCATTGGTTTAATTTCTATGTACTGAGCCAGGGCTGTATCATAGGCAGCTAGGCTGTAATCGGATGACTAAAGTACTCAGAGATATTTAGGTGAAAGTGTTTCACAGAACTAGTATTTTTCTGGGACTACCTCTGGCAAAGGACATTTAGATCAGCCAGTGAGCACTTTACTGGTTGGTGTGCTCTCCCCTTTGCAAGGACCAGGTTTGTGCCTCCTTGGTATCCAAAGGGAGTTCTCAGAATTGATTTGCTGTGTCCTTTGTAATGGAAAAAATCACTCTAAGTCACTGGCACTGGAGCTATTGACAGTACAGAGCAATAGAACCCAATGTTTAACTCTCTGTGTGCAGGAACCTCAAGTGTCCTTGTGTCAGTGGCTTGCTGGAGTTTTGGTAGATAATGCTGCACTGGAGAGCAGGCTGCTGGTAGCAGGTGGGGGATGAGTGTGAAGTAGCAGTAAAGCGGTGTTACAGCACCCCAGCACACAGGTCACCCTGCATCTTGTGCCCCTCACTCATGTCAAACACCCCCATTCTCCTGCATCCAGCCAACCTGGCTTTCAGGCGCTTCGCAGGGAGGAACAACGAGTAGATTTGGGTCCTTTCAGCTTTGTTCCCCTTCTTGCTTTCTGCTTACATAAGCTGTGGTGTGCTACCTGTGTTGTTTGGTTTTGAGCAGCAATGTTCTCCCTGGCCCTGAGTTAGTGTCTGCCCACAAGAAGTGCTGCTCCCTAATCTGTAGCCCAGTTAACTCTGCTTGCGCTTGGAAACATGAGATGCTGCTTGTTTGCTGCAAGGCTCCTGCACGGTCATTTCTTCACTCCTGATTGCTGGATGAATGTCTATTTCTATCAGTTACTGAAGCAACTAAAGGTGAAGAACTTCCATATTCCTTCCAAGGATTTCCTCTAAATCATACTGTATTTTGGAATAACATCAGAGATGCTAACTGAATTTGTGGTATTATTTGTGCTTGTGAAAGGGATTGGCATCATGGAGAATCCAGGGACGAGAAGGGCTTGAATAAGCAAAACTGGGCAGTTTGACTTTTATTTAAAACTAAGCACAGATTTTTCTTGTCCTTCTAAGTGTAATTCTCCAGGCTTGTGGCTGCAGGTCCCCATCAGCAGTCTTACAGCTCACTTGAAGATAAGGCAAATGAGACCTAAGCAATAAGAGGAAGGTTAAGAAAAACGGAGAGTCAGTGATTAACTTGAGCCTCTCTGATGGACTCTCCATGCCCATCTACAGACTTGGACTCCGTATTTGACTATGTGTCAGCCAACCATCCCTCTAAGGAGGGGAGGAAGAATCCCTGATGACGTCAGAGTGAGGGGGTATGAGCTAAAAGAGAGGCTGGGAGGAAGCAGACGTGCCAAAACCACCTGCTGCAGTGTTTCTTCAACATGATTTTTCAGTTCACCTCTTTGTGCTGATTTCATAGAGGTGGATGTCATCTGAATAATTGTTTTCTCTTTTGGAAACAGACCTTCTCTCATCCCCTTTAGTAAACTCTGCTTCAGTGGGTCCTAATGAGAAACCATCATCCTCGATTAAGAGAATATATAAACCGATCCAATATGGCTCTTTTAGTTTTGATATGCTTTTCATAAAATGAACAAGTGGATCAAATATCTATATAATGCTACATGCTGAGAGCAATAAAAAAATCATAAATTCAGCAAAACTAATTATCAAATTAAATGGAGGTTTTGTGAGCATTTATTAACCTGTATAACAGCAAATTGAACATGAATTCAGGTGCAGAATGGGAGCAACATCGCACACAGTTGACCACGTCCCTCATTATTTACTCTCTGTGAATTGCTCGGGGCTCTGCTCATGAATGTTGCCAAACCAGTGCACACTGGCTTGAATATCAAATCACTTTTCTGAGGTTTTCACTGGATTGGTAGATGACCTGTGTGACGCTTTCTTTTTGTAGTTAGGGAAATGATGGAGCCAACCTGGATGTTGATTGGCTCAAGTACATAAGGCAGAGTGTTCAAACCAAGGGAAAATCTGGAAAATATTTGGTTTTAATGCTGTTCAGAAATAATGTGTGTTGATTTCTGGTTGCAGTGATCCTGGGTGCGATGGGTGCTGTCTGATTGCATACATGTTCCCATTATTCTAACAGAGACATGCTATCTGTAATTCTGTTCTTAGCCCTACTGCTGGGATGGTCTTTCTTGAATACTGTCAAGCTACTTTCAGACAAAAGGTTTTTAATCTCTGGCCAGTATAAAACTTATCACTACAGAGAGAAGGGGAGTTTAGTTTTACTGCTAACCTTTTCCCTGTGCTTTGCAGTTATGTCGAGCAACTGAGGAGGACAAGAGCTGCCATCATCTTCCAGAAGCAGTACCGAATGGTGCGGGCCATCCGAGCTTTCCAGAGGATTTACAAGGCAACCATCACCATTCAGGCTTTTACTCGGGGCATGATTGCCAGAAGGGCTTATCACAAGGTATGACTCCACGGAATGTCTTTGCATTAAAAAAGAGCAGGAAGAGCCTTTATATTTACCTCTGCTGGCATAGTAATGTATTTATTGTGGCTGTTTTGGTGTTTTACAAAGCTGACAGCCTCTGGTGTTTCTGGAGAGCGTGTGGTGATGGCAAGCATTGCCATTTAAAGCTGTGCAAGCAACAATTATTTTGGCAGCAGCACCTCAGTGGAGCAGCTAAATGAAGCTAGTCATTTGGATGCAGGGAGGCATAGTGGAAATCTAGAAATGTCAGTGCTCTGCAAAAACCTCCTTGACAAACTGATTTGATGTCTGAGCTGTGCTGCAGGTGCTGTTTCCAGTGCAGTAGGAAGACCAGGAGGGTCTGTCACTGAAGGCATCAAGTAATTCATTGATATAAATCCCTCTTTAATTAGTTCTCCCCATTAGCTTTAGCTAATTCCATTAGTATTGTGTTAAACCAGGAGCTGAAAGTAAGGAAATAGAGGTCTGATGACAGCAAGTGATACAGTGAGAATATCTGTCAGGAAACTGAGAACAGCTTTGGGAGATCTTCTGTCCACTCCTCAGATCCAGTCTTACTTTAGTAGTTGCCTAAATTTATGCCTAACTGTGGTCATGGGGATACTTGGAAGAAGTCAGAGGCATGATGAGCCAGGGGAGGAGAGCCTGCTCCTGGAGATGATGGAGGTTACCTGCATACCTGGTGACCCACCAGAGAGAGATCAGGGATGTTCCTCTGACACAGAGCAGCTGGAGGCTGGTGATCAGGAATTTTGCTGCCACTGTTTTATCATTATTTTTAAAATTAGGATCCTTTGCAGGGGATGCAGCTGGTCCAGACTTTAAACTCTGAGAGTCAAGGTGACTTAAAATCTTAACAATGTGTAGGAGTTGGCTGAAGCTTAGGTCTCTCAAATCTGAACATACTTAATTTCTGGAGCACCTGGATATAAGTGTTGGTTTGACTGCACGCTCAGCAACAGATGCAGGGCTGCAGGTGATGCTCTGTGGGGTCAGGCATGCCCAGTGCCTGCCAAGACTTTGCTGTAAGGCTGGAGTAGGTCCCCAAGGCACTGCAGCAGGGTTTCTTCCAGATTTCTGGGCACCCCCAGCTTTCTGTAAGAGTGCCAAGGCTGAAGGCATACAAAGGTCATTTCAGAGTAACTCCTTCTGCATCCTAAGTTCACACAGTCCCTTTATTCTGAATTAAAATTTGCAGGTGTGAAGAAATCCTTAGGGTGAAACAAAAGATTTGTAAGAGAAGCTGATATGGCACCTTTTCTGATAAAACTTATCTCAAACTAATAGCAGCGAAGTGTCTTGTAATCTTTAATTCTCCTGCTATTTCTTTTCTTGTAATACTTCAGCATAAATCAACATAAGAAGGTTATTAACAATGTGCCGGTTGTATCTCTAATATGTCAGCTTTCTGAGGAAGGAGTTGAGCTGTCACCTACTGAAAAGGTTGCTGTTAAGTTTTGGGAGAAATTCTATGCAAAAGTGCCAGAAGTTTCACAAAACTAGATAGAAGTTTCTAGAAACCAAATCATGTAAGAGAATTGGCTGCAACTGATCATAATGCAGAGATGGAACACAGAAAAAAAAATATGAAAACCTGTTCTGGTGTGAGTTATATCTGATGCTGAAGGGACAGTAAGTTTATTGCTAAGTGTTGGTGTGTCTGCTAATGGCTATTTATTCTGCTAGCTATGGATCTTGTGGCTCTAAGTACCTTTTTGAGATGGTCCACGAAGTCTTATTTGAGCCCAGATGTCCCATGTCCCCATCAAGTCCTCTACTCACCAGCCAGGATCATATCCCCTCAGTTCACTGGCCAAGCAGATCTTGATTTTTTAGAGAGCAACATGACTCCTGAGAGAGGACTGGATGTGTCCTGCCTGCATCAGCTGAATGCAGTGACTCGAGAAACACCCCCAGGAGTGCGAATTGATCTACTCCTTCCCATTTATAAAACAGGATGCAAAATAACAGTCTCTATCTCCAGCCATCACCCCCTGCACATACTAGGACACTCCTGCTTGGAGGAGAAGTCCTTCTGAAGGCAGATTGGGAAGTGTTGAGTGCCATGTTGAAGCCAAACGAAGACTGCTGGTACCTTTACAGGTGACTTTTCTCCCTTGATTGTCCTGTTTCTGCCCATGCTTTGTAGATGATCACAGAGCACAAAGTCATCATCCTCCAGAAGTACGTCCGTGGCTGGCTGGCCCGCACTCATTTCTGCCGGATTAGACATGCCACCATCGTCCTGCAGTGCTGCTACCGGCGCATGAAGGCCAGAAGGGAGCTGGAGGCACTGAAGATCGAGGCCTGCTCAGTAGACCACCTGAAGAAGCTCAACATTGGCATGGAGAACAAGGTGGTCCAGCTTCAGAGGAAGATTGTTGAGCAGGTACGTCCTGAGCTGTGCCGGGACAAGTGTGGTCCTGCTGCTGCTTTGCCTTTCTTCTGTTGTCCTACCTAGGGAAGGATTTTATCTTCCCATAATGTCTGGGAAGGATATCATGGTGGTGGTATCCTTCTGCTACGGCTGGCCAGACACTTATAAGGATGGGATGGTACTATGGAAGTGCAGATGCACTTGGATCTTGAGTCTCCACCTTGCAGTCTGAAGAGCTTGCTCAGTAAGCTGCAAAAGCCGCATGATAGTTGTTGTGAGAACTGCCCAGAAGGACTTAAAGGAGGAAGATAACATGGCAATTTTAAAAGCTGTTGCTTGAAAACCTAAGCCATCTCCATGTGAGATCCCTGGGTCAAACAGGCCTTGGTCTGGGTTGTTCCATTACACTTTCTGCTTTGCAATCACTGAGGATGTGGGGTGTCTGCCACAGTCTGTTGTACTGAATCATGTGTCTTTTCACATCACCTGGAAGGTAAGTGCTAGATTGGGTAAATACTTTGCCAAGTCGTTTGAGCATGATTGTGTTGCTGGATATAACAGCTTTTCAGAAGCAAGAACCATGATGAGGGGTGAGATGGTGCAATATAAGTGATGGGTACTTACTTGTGTGGATGGCTTGAAGTTCTCACTGTGACAACTGGATCACAGGTCTTCATTAAATGACACTTGTCATTAATGAGCTGCAGAATACTTGTTTGATTACACATGTAGGAGGAGGGTTTTCCCACCTACCAACATGAGTGTGTGAGTTAGTCTGATAAATACCCTCTGTGTTGCTTCCCAGTGCTGTGCAAGGCCTTCAGGGATGGGTATGAGAAATTCTGAGTAGGGTCCAGTTGTATCCACTAATATTAGTGGAGAAATTAATATCTACCTATATCCTTAAAATGCCCTTTTACAGGCAGCAGAAACAGCAGATACCTCCTTATTTGTAGTACCAGTTATTAGGAACTGCAGTTTATCGTTGTGTTTCAGATGTTGTCAGGAACACTTACACATCACGTGCAGTTTCCTTGCTGCCTTAAATCTCTCCCGTCCTGGTATGACACAAGAGGCCTTACCATGAAGATGAGAAATAACTCTGCCTTGTCTCTGATACTGCAGAAACAAGGCACTCAGGGATTTGCATTATTGCTGGCTGTTTTAATTTTGGTATTAATTGGCTGCAAAACGTGCACCACAGTAGAGCCTGACTTTTAAACCACAATGTTTGATTTTAAAATGCCTGCTTGCATACTTAGATTTTACAGACAAACCATAGTTTAGGAATGGAAAACCTTAGGCATAAGGCTTCCTGTATATTTATATATCAAACAAGTTTGATATGACCCTTCATCTGGAGGGTATTTGGTGGAATTAATTAGCACATGTCATTTAAGGCCCACGTGTTGGCTGAACTCATGGAGGGAGCGTGAACGTCTGTGGTAGGTCTGCTGAGCTGCTGGACTTGGCTATGGAGCAGCAGCATTAATTTTTATTTATTCCCCCCCTGCCAATTCCTTGCTACTTACTGCTAGGAAAAGTGTTGGGGTGGAACAATAAAGAAAAAACAATTTTTGGTTAATGTGGGCTTTGCTGTTGTGAATTATGAAAGCAGCAGAAATGTCTACTTTAAGGAACAAGACATGGAGAGCTTTTAAGTGGGCAGAAATAATCGGTTAGTGTTTGGCTTGATCTCCCTTTGTATCTGGGCAGACTGCTTTTGAAGGAATTACTTTGCTTTCTGTGTAACTTCTGCAGGAAGGAATTGCTTCTCTGTATTACTCATGGCAGTCTGTCCAGTGAGCTAATTTTAACCATTGTTTGAGGACTGACAGATTTCCCTAAAATGATTGGGAAGTGCTAATGAGAACTGTTCCAGTGGACTTTCTTTTCAGTGCACTGGATTATTTTTCTGGCAGGAGTGAGTTTATTGCATCATAGTTTCCCTGAAGTATCTTGATTTCAGTTCTTGCTAATCTATAAACATGACCATTCAAAATGTCAGTTAGCTTTTTCAGAAAAAATAAATTGCAGGTAACCTGGAGACCTGCAGTTGTATAATTTTCTGACTAGCTGTGGAAGAAAATGTTTCTATTTCTGCTACTTTAGATCATGCATGAATAGAGCGATGCAGTACTCCATGTGCCCCTGAGGAAGAGATGATCTTTGAAAACATTATAACCATTAAAGCATTTGAAAACATTAAAATTGTATGTCAACCTCAGCTCATACACTCTAACATCCATAAGTGGGCCTATTTAATTCTGTTTCTAAACCAGGTGAGGGATTTTTTTGCACAAACAAGAAAGGCTTAAATCTGTTTTGCTGTGAAGTATCCACACTGGACCACTTTATTTACATTGGACCTCCTTTTTGTTGTTGTTGTTGTTGTTGTTCTTTTCAATTGAGTTTCTTTAAACATGTAAGTTGTAGCTGCCTGGGACAATTTTAAGGCTCACCTGATTTGGTGTTATGTGTTCATGCAGCTCCCTATGCTGCCTCTGCAAGTGGCAGTATCTCTGTGAGCATTTATTGTGAATAAGACTAGTTTGGGTAACAGTAGTGATTAAGTTGCTGCTGTCTCTGCCATTGGTAGCAAAATAAACTCTAGATTGGTCCATAGAACCTGGGTTGAAACCAGGAGTGTCACAGCTCTGCTGAGCTGGGTAATGATTTAAAATAAAACGTTCAAATTTAACGGGGTCTGTTGAGCAATCTCTGACTGAGTGGGGACCAGCAATTTCACAGTAAATGCTCTCTTATGTCTAGAAGCCAATAACAAGAAAAAGCATTCCTGTGCATTTATTTTTTTTATCTGAATTGAAATTTCAGTTGGCTGGTATGTAAAATTATATACATACACCTTGGGACACAAAGCCATGAAACGTTGTGTTTTGGAGAATGCGAAGAGACTGGGAGAAGCAGCAGAAATTTTGTAAACCAGAGTGATTATTGCCATTCCCTGCAAAGCTTTTCTCTCCAACTGGATCTCTTTGGAATTGGCTTTGGTCATGCAGAAATGTTAATTCTTTAATAACACACAAGTGCTGAATTTTTATATTCACTAATAATTCATTACAAGGGAGCAAAGAAAAATATGTTAATGTCCCTTGTTTACTTGTTTTTCCATCTGAGTCTTAATCTTACTTCAGAGCACTGAGACTGCAGCGAGAGGGGGATGCTTTGGGAGGTCACCTGGAGGGAGGCCAAAAGGATGATCAGAGCCTTAGTACAGGGGCCTGTCTGGTCTGGAAGAACCTGTGTAGATCAAGAAGACAAAATTTTCTACTTTCATGGGTGTTTTTTTCCTTTTCCAGGCCATAAAGTTATTTGAAAACTAACTCTGCTGTACAGGAGCTAATGAGAGCCTTTGACCCCATTACAGAGATCAGTCTACTTCTTTGCATTTATTTTTTTTTCCTTGCTTACTTGACTCTGCTGAACATCTTAGGGGGAGAAGCTACATCTCAGGATCTGTGACTTTGCAACTTCACTGCTTATCCTGACTAGTCAAAAACTGTGTAACAGGAATTCCCTAGTCCATTGACTTTTTAAAATGATACATTTTTGTCCTAAGACTTTTATCTTCTGGTTTCTTCACCTAAAGATTTTTCTTAGCTTCCACATCAACTAGAAATTACAGGATGGAAGTTTTTCATGAGCTGGTGTTACACTGCTGGTGGCTAAAACTCAGAGAAACAGCAAAAGGCTGAGTTGCAGATTACCAGTTCATGTTGTCTGGATAACAGTCTCCTGCCAAATCTTTTTCAGCAAGACAAGGAAAGGCCAAACCTGATACTGGTATTTCTGATACATAAGTGAAATATCCACCAGTCACCTTTAAGAAAGGAAAGCCTTTTGGATCTGTTGTATAGTGAGTGATATGAGCCCAGATCTTTAAAGCTGTACTGAAAACTTTCAAAAAGGAAACTTTGAAAAACAGACTACATTTTAAATTTCAAAATGGTTCTTTTGCTTTCACTATTATGTACCTAACATTAGGAAAGCTATGTGCTAGGCTCTTTACTGAAGCTCTTGGACTGTTGTGAACTCGTTGTCGTTTCTGGGGCTGGCTGATAATGATGGTTTTATTAGTCACAGTGTATTTCCCATTGACTTTGATTTGAACCACAAAAATCAGATGAGGCTGCTGAATTCTGAGGTCTCAAAACCTAGGAGTAGATCATTGCTAAGTGCTTTAAAAGAGAAAATCCAAGCAAATAAAAAGATGTTTGGGCTGTCACATGACTTGAAGCTGGGGTTTAGGGAGCTCTTTTGTGCTCAAGGCTGCAATTATGCTACAGTGCATTGTCACTCCAGGTTCCTGAGGGCATAGGAGTCGGGAATAAAAGGATAAACTGCAAACCCAATATTACAGACAAAAAAAAAAAAATTGCAAACCAATTGCATTAAGCACTGTTGTTTGGAAGCTGTAATGAAAGTGTACTTTTTTTGTTTTGGTTGTCAGTGCTACCAAGCATTGTTTGCCTTTGCTTCAAGTGTAATGTTAATTTGACTAATGCTTGCATAATCATTACCAAAGTACTATTGAGTTTTGTCAGAGTTCTGAAACCGTGTTTTAGTTTTGTGAGCTTAATTAGCATATGCATTGCAATGTTCGATTTTGGAAGTTTGTTACCCATCATGCTCAAGGATTTATAACAGTTAATTTTGTAGTGCATCAGTGCATGCATTGATCTTGCTTATGGTCTTATTTTCTTCTGTTTGGGATGTTGTCTGCAGAACAACGAAAACAAATTGCTGAGCAATCAGGTGTCTATGCTCACAGCTGCGCACTTGTCTGAGGTGGAAAAGCTGAAGAGTGAACTGTTGCAGTATCAGCAGAGCCACGTGAATTACGGGAGTCAGGTTATCAGCTTGCAAGGAGAGGTGGAGCACCTCCGGCTGGAGCTTGAAAAAGCTTACGGTGAGAGGAAGGTCGTGGAAGACAGCTACATTATGGAGAAAGACTTCCTAAGGAAGGTACGTCTATTTGTCATGTCTCATGCTGTGTACGTCTCCTGCTTGTGCTCGTACTGGTGAAGGTTCACCCTTCATAAGTCTGAAGGGGAAAGGATTTCTGTTTTTTAATTAAGATTTTTTTCTTTTTGTCGCTGAATGCCCCTAGAATTTGCTTTTTAACCGTCATGGGGCAGCAAGGGCAGGTAGACATCCCTGCAGGAGCAGCAACTGCTTCATGTCAGGCGGATGCCCTGTCTTGATGCCTTTTGCACTGCCAACCATGAAGAAACTCCCCAAACCCAGACCCCTCTGGAAATAAGGGCGCTTAATAACCATGGATATGCCAGAGCTTCGTGTATATGCAGTGATTCCTGGTGACACGTAATGCAAAATATTGGAGAAGGCTGTCATAGACACCATAAATATTAGGAGGATGTCGTACCTCAGCCCAGCGTGGTGTGGGACACGAGGGCTTTGTTTCTGCCATGCAGTCCGTGGCCATTGCCGCGCGTTGTGGTGGGTGGTGTTGCAGGTGTATGCAGAGTGTTCCCTGTGTGGGGGCCAACTTGTCCCTCCCAGGCAGAGGCACTGCTCCAACACCAGCTAGGCTGGTTGTTACAAGCCTTTATAGGGCTTGGAGCTGTGATGTACACTAAATATTTTTATTTTATTTTTTTTCCTCCTCCCTCATGCTAACTCCTATGCTTTCTGGATCTCTAGGGGTGGAAGTGGTCCAGTACTGCCACTACTGGACAAGAAAGTGTTCTAGTGGGAGAAAAGAGACTTCAGTGTGTAGACGTTTTTTGCAAATAGTAAAAATTGACCTTTTACCCTGAATTTCTTTGCTGGTCAGGTTCATTATGAATAACCTTCACGCCCATACGTGTAACCTAAGGAATTAACGTATGGGCTTAGTTTGCCTCTGTGAACGCTCGTGACTGCTCAGGTTAAATCTGTGATCTTCTGCACTGGCAATTGAAGTGGTTTCTTTGATCCTGAAATTGGAAAGAACTTGGGGTTTTCCTCCTCAATACTTGCATAGAAAAAGCTGGTTTGCAGCTATTGCTTCAGAATAGCACTGGGCAGAAGAGTTCATTATCAGCACCCATTAAAGAGCACTAGTAGAATAATCTTACTGCCTTTAAGCTTTCTCCTGGTGGGATAAATGAGTCAAGTTCCTCACTCCCATTGCAGTGAAGTTTTTCCTTCTATCACTCTTGTAGCTCTTCTCCAATTTTTTAAGAATTCTTACGAACTTGAATACACTAGTGCTGATCTAATGGCTGCACTTCACCTATGATATTTGAAGTGATGTACAAATGAAGGAATGTAGTTGGTTTTGGTACAGAATATTAAAATTGTGGCTCTGTTCAGAGCATTTAAAACACCAGTAGTTCTGCATACCTTAAATTTGTGTTTTCTTCACTTCCAATTGTATCTCCGGACTCCAGCGTTCCTATTACAGATCTATCTATCTATCTATCTATATATGCAGGAGATTATAGTCTCATGCAGACAGCTGGAGCACATGAATGGATCAGAGGACAAGGGATAGCAGGGTCTTCCAGTTTCTGCGCCTGGGATATTAGAGCTTCAGTCGTGATTTACAGTAAAATATTTGTTGTGCTTTTATCCTCACCATTTGTATCTGGCTGTGTGAGCCGGCAGGGGCAGGACGCAGGGACAACCCCAAAACCACGGGTGGGATGCAAAGAGCAGAAATCTGTTCTCGTTAGCACAGGGCCCGGGGATCTCCGCAGCGCGAGAGGAGGAAGAAAAAGGCCTCGAACCTGCTGCTTTCACCTGTATAGAGCAGGGATTCTCACTTGCACAGCTTTCCACCGTGCTTGCAGGAATCTCAAGGATGCTCGTTAAGGTGCCTCCGAGTCTCTCACAGGCCTCTGATATCTGAACGCAGATGTTCCACCTGTCAAGCACACAGAGCTAAACAACAGTTGGTATGATATACGTGGTTTTTGGCACCCCAGCTGCAAGTCATTTGAGCGCGTTTACAACGGTCCTTGCCAATCTTCTGCTGTATTCCCACACTGGCATAGTCAGTGTTTTATCGAATACCTTGATTTGAGCATGCTTTTGTGGAAGACTGAAGACCCTGCTGGGAATGCATGCCAGCTAGACCGACTATAATTTTTTTTTGTAGTGGTGGCAGCAAAATTATTGTTCTTGTGCACTGAAAACTTTTATTATGGTCTGTACAGTGGTGTTCATATTTGGCATCTTGAGATTCTTCTGCTGTGTGTAGCTGTTTTCTGAGCTGTGGCTGGAAGATGTGATGGAGCAGGCACAGGGAATGACATTATGCTAGGATGATGTGTCAGTTTGTTCTCCTACCTGACAGCATTAGAATCATCCTGCTTAACCATAGCAGCATATTTCACTTGATAATGTGTGCCGCGATTGAGAGACGGGACGCAGCTTGATGCAAGCAGAATGTCAGTCATGTTATGATTCTTCACATACATTTATACTAGTTCCTAGATGACGCGTTACAAACTACTTGGTTTCTTCAGAACATGCCAAAGACTGATCGGCTTACACTGTGCATTCACAGACTGGCTAATGCCAAAGGCATCTTTCTAAGCACCCACTTCATCTACAACAATATCTTGAATAGAGACAACAGTTCCTCATTCACTGGGTGATTGTTTTTTACAGCCTCACCCACCAATGATTCTTATGTAAATATATAGCCAGCACTCTGTTTCTTCTAAACAAAGTTCTTCCCAAGGCCTGTGGCCCACAAGTTCCTTTCAATTGTGCAGTGCTGGGGGTTTTGCTGAGAGCAGCCAAACCCTGCCCCACAAATGTGACGTTTTTGTGTTTTGGGATAACACTGTTGAATGCATCAAAATTCCTGAGGTTGAACAGAATTCCAGGATAGGTTGCTGTCTACATCAGTCCAGTCTTGTCATTGTGACAAGTGGCCTTGCTTCCCTTAATTTTTAATAGGCAGGTAGGGTTTTTTTGTTGTTTGGTGGTTTGTTTTTTTTATTTTTTTTTTTTTCAGGTTTTAGTTTCTGTTTTCATTAATTTTTGCTAGGCAATTGTAGGTGTTAATTGCTGTGTATGGTCCTGTTGTATTACTGACTGCGCTGCTACATGCCATGCATCACTGTACTAGACGTTCTGCAGTCATGTGAAACATTTAAGTGACTATAATCTTATGACATGAATTAATACACAAGATGTTAAAAAACCTGAAGTATTTAGTGGTCACTGTGTCCATCTTAACTACTGAAGTGACACATCGCTTGAAACAATCAGCAGTTTTTTTTCTCCCCAGGAGCAGTCAGTACTATAACTTGAAGATAGCAATGAAGCCCATTCAGATGTGGAAATCAACAGCTGATTTGATGACCTGAACACTTGTAGGAGTTTCACTCCTGCAGATCATGGTTGCCAAGTCCAGCAGCTCAATATTTTCTAAGATTCTGCTGAAAACTTTAAGGGAGAAATGCTCTCAGGAAAGGAAAAGTTAGTCTCTGTTGTTGCAGTACAGTTCTCTGCTTCAACTCCTGAAGTACAAAGGATAACTGGCAAAGCACAAGGGGACAGATCTTTTAAACAGCAAAGAAAGACCAAAGCTCTCTGTCTTCAGCCAGATGAAGTGTAATCCCTCTGCAGAGGCTCTGACCTGCAGCAAGCAGTAATTCTTTGCCTTGTTTTCTAGTGCATATCTGACTTGGAAGAAGAAAATGCTTTCCTGAAGCAGGAAACAGAGGAGCTTAGGTCCGCACTGCAGCAACATAAAGGTAAGAAAAAAAACTTATAGAATGCTAATGCCTCCTCTAAACAAGGATCTTAGGTGTTCTCCCCTGAAACTTTTTCATCCTGTGTGTTTTTCTTATATTGATAAATTCTAATCTTCCCATACCTCTTTGCAAGTGTTTTTTGTCATTGTTTTGTTGCGTGGGTAGTTCTGTTTCTACTGTCCTACTGGTGGATAGTAAGACAGAGGCTGGTTTAATTGGTGAAATATGGAATAAAGTACCTAAAAGGACTTTTTAGTTCAGTTATGTTCCAGCATTACTGTGGGTGATGCAGGAGACAGTGAGGATGCTGGGGGTGGAGAGTAACAACATCCCAGGATTGATGAATAAAGAATCCAAGGAACAGCACTGTTAAAGATATTGAGCGGTGACAAAGGATTTCTCTGATGTGATAGGAGTCTGGGTGTTTTTAAAAGCAGAGATTTAAATGGTAAGATGTACATAGAGGAAAGCAATCTGGGAAAAAATGAAGCCATGAAAGAAACTCTCCTGTGTGAGCTTCATTTTTTTTTTTTATCATCCTTTTCAGCTTTGATTTTTTTGTTGCAGGATTTATAAAGAGCATCATGCATCATTCTGTGGATGTATCTATCACTGCTCTGTGGTACTTGTGGAGTACCTCTTGCTCTCATCCAAATGCAAAATAAAGGAATAAAAATAACGTGTTAAAAAGAAACTTGCTGCAAATATTTCTTCATCTCTTATGGGATGCTTTTGGAGCATTGAAGCTTGGGGAAAGCAAGTGGAGGGGTTTTGTTTGATGTTCACCCATTTAAAAGGACACACATACTATGTTTGCCTAGTTTTTTTAAAAGGGGAGGGACCAGATTTACTTCTGAAAGGCAATTTTTAACAAAAAAGGATTTATTTGGATACAAAATACTTTCAACCCCCACAGTCTTGCCATAGTAAATGGTTGATGGTGACATGAGAAAGAAATGCTGCTGTTGATTTGCTTCTATGCCAAATCTGGTGGTGAGAAGCAGGCAGAGGAATCTTTAAATGCAGTAAGCACCAAGGGCACTTAAACATTAATGTATTTCTGTACATCACTGATCTTTTCTCAACTGGGTTTATGGCTGGCCCATGGGAGCTGGAGCTGACACAGTTGAGTTAAGCATAATATATCTGATGGTTGGTAGGTGCTGGGGCTTTTTCTTTAACTCAAATGGCAGAGGACTTTGCTCTTTAAGCAGAAGAGCTCAAAAGCTGCTCCAAAAGTCAAGGAGACATATCTAGATTATAGTCTCTAAATATTAAAGAAGGATGCTTACGTATTTCAAGGGTTCTTGGCAGAGAACATTCTATTAATTAGTCATTATTATTTCACATATTTACAAGAAGTTCATTTCAGTGATGAAGATTGTATTTTTTTTTTCCTCTTATTTTAAAGATCAACTTTCACAAAGCATACATGAGCAAACTGCGACAATGAAGAAAGAACTGGAAGAAGAGAGGGCTCGTTATCAGAGCCTGGTAGAAGAGTATTCAATGCTGGAGCAGAGATATGACAGATTGCATGATGAAATTATTGTGATAAAGGTAATGAAACTGAGATTATGCCTTTTCTCTTGTGTCCTGGACCACATGTTGGTGTCTGGATAACATGGCTCACTCATTCTCAAAACACTTAAGAGAGCTGACATTAATATGTGGTTTGTACTGGATATTTCTAAGACAGAGCTTCTGCACTAAAGCTAAACCATATGTCTGCCTTGAGAAAGGAGCCTGATCTTTCACGCTTCTCTGTTAACTGAAGAGACATATCTGTGAATCTAAGCAAAATCTGGTTTGTTCTTCTTGTTTTGCTTTATGTTTCAGTGATGTTCATGTGTAGGTGTTGGGTTACGAAAACTAAAGCAAAAAATCCAACAAGAAGTCTTCAGAATTTCAAAAGCCAAAGTTTTTAGGTTTAGCTTTGCTAAAGTGTTAGAACAACTGTTGAAAATTTGATAACAGAGTGATGCTGGATTAGATAAAAAGTTGATAGTTTAAATTGAGTCCTGGAAGGTGCTGTGAACAGCATAATCTTGAGCTCAGATTTGCATGTTCACACTTCACAGGCTTTGGGTGTCATGAAAAGCCTTTAATTCATCCAGAACTTTTAAATTGAGCTTCTGTATGACTTCACATTTTATTTTAAACTGTTCAGCTGTGTTAGTATGAATGTTACAGTAGGGCATAAGAACTAGAAAATGGAATTTGCTATAAGGTGACATTCAAGCTTCTTGTAAACATAACTTTAACATATAGACACATCTTTGCTCTAAGAAACAATGCTTTGTGAGGAATCCTTCCTTAAACACTGAACATATCTGCATTGCTCCTTGGCAGCAATCACCAGTGCACAGAAGCCCATCCAACCAGAGCAGTTTGGAGTCTGATTCCAATTACCCATCCACTTCAACCTCTGAGACAGAAGACACTGAAGATGTAATGCAGCAAGTGGAGGTATGGTAAATTGGGCAGGCGTGATGGGAGGAGAGCCCTGCTCCATGGGGATGACTGATGTGAGTCTTGGAGGACATAGGAGGAATGCAGGTTGGACTATAAAGTGTGAGGGATTAAACTGATTTTGTGCTACAGAAATACCTCATTAACTGTGTGGGAGGGATTGCAGGGTTGCGGTGCTGTGGCTCATTTATGGGGTCAGACTAAAATAGGGCCTTAAATATAATTGTTGTTTTTTGGCCATACCAGTTTAAAGACTGATGAAAATTAATTGAAGTGGTTGACACTGTTACGTGAAGTTATTCCTAGCACTGATGGCCATGACTGTATAGTGATCCATCTCCACAAGGATATCAGAGTTCATTACCCCCTTACCCCAAGCGTTTTCATGCCAATGCATCTTCATGGGTGCTTTGCTGGCCAGCACAGCCCCTGTAATCAACAGTCTCTTAATGCAGAACAGAGCAGCATAGATTATTCCCTGTATATCAAGAATTGTGTTGAAAAAGGAAATGTGTTTTTTGCGTACGTTTAGTAGAATAGGCTGCTTTTTAACCAAGACTTTCATGACTCAAGAGCATGTGTGGATGATGATGTTCCTAGAATCTGCCCCCCCACTGGCAGGACCACATTGTGTCCCATGTACCATGCCTGCAAAACTCTCACTTCGGCTTGCGGTCTGCTGGGTTTTGTTGCTTTAGTATTTCTGAACTGTTCTGAGAGTGTTTGCTGAAGTCAAAGTAACCAGTATTGGCCATGCTTTCATCCAAAGTATTCCAGGTGAAGCCAGTTAAAAAACTACTAATAAATACTTGGCTAGAAGAGATTTGGTAGGGCATTTTTAATGTTCTTAGCTGTGGCCCCGATCAGCACACTTAGCTATTGGGCTGTTAAACATTTCAGTGTCTTATTACAATGAGTCAACTGTTTACTGACATTCAAAATAGGTGCTTAAAATGGGGATTTGGCCTTTGAAGGTATGTGCCTTTCTTAGGATGCTCCTGTTAGCAGCTGTGTGTGGGGTCAGTGCTGATGTACAGTCAGAGTGTATCTGGCACTGTGCATGGTTATAAAACTTGACTGAGGTCTTCTCTTTTTTTCCACTCCTGTTCTTCAGGAGATTGAGGTGGAGAAAGCAGTCATGGACATGACCATCTTCCTAAAGCTACAGAAGCGAGTGAGGGAGCTCGAGCAGGAGAGGAGGATGCTGCAAATCCAGCTGGAGAGAAAGGAGCAAGAAAGCCAGAATGCCCAGGTAAGAGATTTCTCTTCATTGATACTAGTATTTCATGTTGGTAACTGGCTTTCTTTGGTTGCCTGAGAACACACAATGTAAGAATTGGAGTTTGAGAGTGACAAGCTCAAGATACGGGGTGGCAAATACATCTGGAAAATAGAGATAAACTTTTTTGGCAGCTAAGGACAACTGGGCAGGAGAATGGATGTTTTACTTTTTTATGTTTTTTCTTCATAATCTGGTTATAACAGAGTTAGGACAGTATGTTAAGTATCTTGAAAGCAATGAAATATAGAATCACTTTTGGTGTGTTTTATTCTGCCTACACTGATCCTGTTTCCTTCTCTTTTGAGAAATTTGAAGTGTGGGTTGAGTTTTGTTAGTAAAGGGGAACATGAAGGTAGAAAGGCTCCAGAGGGGGGATCTGGGCAAGCTGGATCAATGGGCCAAGGCCAATTCTTATGTGATTCAACGAGGCTCAGTGCCGAGTCCTGGACTCAGGTCACAACAACCCCACTCAACGCCACAGGCTCGGGGGCAGAGTGGCTGGAAAGCTGCCCAGGGGAAAAGGACTTGGGAGTGTTGGTGAACAGCCGGCTGAGTGTGAGCGGGCAGCGTGCCCAGGTGGCCAAGGCGGCCAGTGGCACCCTGGCTGGTGTCAGCAGTAGTGTGGCCAGCAGGCCTGGGGCAGGGATCGTGCCCCTGTACTCGGCACCGGGGAGGCCGCAGCTCCAATACTGGGTTCAGCTTTGGGCCCCTCGCCACAAGACAGACACTGAGGTGCTGGAGCGTGTCCGGAGAAGGGCAACGGAGCTGGCGAGGGGTCTGGAGCACAAGTTCTGTCACGAGCGGCTGAGGGACCTGGGGGGGTTCAGCCTGGAGAGGAGGCGGCTGAGGGGAGACCTGATGGCTCTCTACAACTGCCTGAAAGGGGGCTGGAGCCAGGGGGGTCGGTCTCTTCTCCCTGGTGACAGGGGATAGGACAAGGGGAAACGGCCTCGAGTTGAGCCAGGGGAGGTTTAGGTTGGGTATTAGGAAATATTTCTTCACCAAAAGGATTGTCAAGCACTGGAACAGGCTCCGCGGGGAAGTGGTGCAGTCACCAGCCCTGGAGGTATTTAAAAGATGTGTAGATGTGTCACGTTAGGTACGTGGTTCAGTGGTGGGCTTGGCAGTGTTGGGTTAATGGCTGTACTTGGTGATCTGAAACTTCTTTTCCAACCCAAATGATTCTGTGATTCTACTTGGAGGACTGCAGATGGACATGGTGCTGCAGCCTTACAGACACAGATATACCACCTTTTGGCTGGATCAGCCTAGAGGCACGTCAGTTCTCAGGAGCTGTGAAGAGAAAGTCCCTGGTAGCCCCCATCTCCACGTGACTTTTCATTCAATTTGGGTCATTCAAGCACTTGGCAGTCCTGCCTTCCCCCATCCATCAGTCTGTGACGTGAGCTGATAAACAAATGTGTCAGTCAGGCTTGTGTCCTCAGTTTGGTATTGTTATAATCTGTGTGTAGTTTGTTTGTTTGTTTGTTTATTCCCACAGCAATGATCATAGAGGAATGTAGTTTAAAAAATACTATAGTGAATCGGAAATAGCAAGATAGCTGTTAGATGAATGGGTCCTTCCTTTCTGTTGCAGGGCAAGGATATTCCTTTGATACATTCTTCCAACAGTTTCAATCATTTTCTTGGGAGCCATTTAAAAAAAAAAAAAAACAACCAACCAACCAAAAAAAAGCCTAAAAATTAAACAATTGAGATTATTGACAGCCTGGTGGTAATTTAAGAGACAGGAATCCATTCAGACTTGCAGCTGGAGTCTGAAAATACAGCTCTCTAGCTGCCAATGAGCTGATATTTGTCATGGGGGGACTTCTAATAGCAGATCTCTTCTGTACGTGTTAGCCTGCCATCTCTGAGGCTTTGTGGCTTGTTCAGAGGCCAGAGTATGGGAGACAACGCCTGCCATGAAACAGCAGTGCGGTATGTATGGTGTCATGAAGTGGTAAAGGTGCTTTTATATGAAATGGTGAGCAGATGCTGTCACTCTTGGTTTCATAATTGAAATTTCTGGGGATGTTGTTGCTTTGTTTGGTAATTACTTTTTGTGTTTGTCTCCAGTATGAGATCTATGTGTCTGGTGACAAATGCAATAAGAGAGTCAACAAAATCATCAACAGTAGTTATTTACTGGCTTCACCAGATATTCTTATGGATCACCTCTAGCAATTTGCAGGAAATACATGAAATAAAATTCCCCAGTCTCTCTCTAACAGATTAAAAACCTGTTTCCCAACCTTTGTGTTGAAGATTGTTTCCCTAATGACTGTTACTGTTTAAAAGCTGCAGTGAGCCACTGTTGTCAAGATATTAATGAGAAATTAAACCATTTTCTCCTGAAGCAGTGCCTGCCCTGCTATGTGTTGCTGGGATTCCGTCTAATGCCAGTTAATAACATTTTTATGGTTGAGTTGGCTGGCAGCGGTGAGGCAGCACTGGTGGTAGATGGAGACATGCCTAGCCATCCTGTGCCACATGCAGGTTCCTCTGGCTGCTTTTCAATATAAATTTGTCTCTAATATGTGCAGGCAGTTTGGAAGGAGAAGGACCAGCTGATGAGGACTGCCACTTGTGAGTTCACAAATGGTGTTTTCTTCAAGTTTTAACCCAGGACGTTCAGAATAGAAACACTAATTTTGGATTTTCCTTTCTACATTCCTAGCATGCTGACATATGTGGTCCTACATATCTAAAAAACCTTAACTCTATTCATACCATTTCATAAGAAGGGGTAGCATGTGTTACAAAAAAAACAGGGTTCACTAACCTAAAACAGGTAGAAAATGAACTTGAAAGGAAACACATCTCAGAGGTAGTTTTCAGTGGCGTTGCACTGGAAGAGTTTCTCTTTAAGGATTCTCCAGCACAAGGTTCTTGCTGGAGTTGCAGGAAAACGAGCTGAGGGTTGCAACAAGGAACAACCAGGTCAAAGAGCTTGCTTTAACACAGTGCAGACCTGCACAGACCAGCTGTAGTGCGTGATATTTTGGGTCCTGGCATGCCAGGTGACTGTGAGTCTAGGAAGAGCTGAGGTCCCTGTGAAAAGCAAGGAGCAGTTGCTTCAAATGCCACAGAGAGGCAACCCCTAGTCCTACAGGAAAGGATTTTGTGTTCCCTATAGATGGCTTGGCCTGAGAGGAACCACTGAAAAAGAGAGACAAATACAGCTCACTGGTGTTTTCCAAACTTGTGAGTGTAGGATCCTGCTTGATGTCCCCATCTGCAGTGGAAGAGTGACTTACTGCTGATTTTTGAGTGCTGCTTTTCCCTCCTTCCCCCATGACAGCTCCTTCTGCAACTAGAACAAAGCTCTTCTTCTCTTCTATTTCTCCTGATGATTTGTATCTCAAATACTTATACTGTCTCTGGCTCCTTCAAGAGTCTTCTGTAATTAGATTTATTTGTCCTTTTTGCCAGCTTAAAAAGTCTTTATCTTGGGAAACTAGGTTGAGGTGTCTAAAAGCTTGCACACAGCAAACTCTTCCTGTGGATGCTCTTGAATGGTCAGTGAGATACCAGCTTGCAGAGGAGGAAGGGATATTGGCTTTGATGCACCACTTACGCACTGTTTTTTGGAAGCTGAGACTCCTTAGCTGGTTCAGAAAGGTTTCCAGAGGTTCTAGAAAGGTGGCTGCGGTGTTTTTTCAGAAACCAGTATACTTTCCTGAAATTAATATGAGTATGAATTTTGACCTAGGTGAGGTGTGAAGGCTGTCACTGGTGCAGTTGAACAGCGAATCGTGGTGTAGGAGTCTTGCTCTGGATGGGGGAGAGATGCTTGGATAAGGTCATGAATGACCCAGGGTTTAGTTTGGATAAATATGAGTAAAAATATGTAAATACAAAAAAAAGTAAATATATTTGTAAGTCTATACATTATTTTAATATTATACATACAAATATCTGCTTGGGTAAATGTAATAAACGTGGGTATTGCTGAAGAGCAGTTTTTGTGGGGGGTTAAGGATGTTCCTGGGACTTGTTCAGTACTTTGACCCAAGTCTTCACTGCCTTCCGTTCACTTTTGGGTCCCATTCCAGATATTTTTGACATGCACGGCCCCTTGAGCAAGACAGTACGAGGTGCAAGTGTTAGTGGATGGCTGTGTAGGCTTGGATTTTGCAACCAGCACATGGTCTGGTACTTCATACAGGTCTACTGTCATCCAGCTTTGTTTCTCGCTGTAGTTGTCCTGTACCATCACGGCATCCACGATGGCAGGGATTTGCCTTTGGGAGTAGCTTTTGGTGTGGACCCTGTTCTTGGTGAAGATTTTGATGGAGGGAAGCAAGGCAGGCACACTCTTTCCTTAGGGAGGCTCATTTGGTTAAGGGTTGGTTGTTTCTTTTTGTAGTGCTGCAAATAAATGTGAGAAACTTGGGCTAACACAGATACGTTTAGGGCAAGCATAAATTATGCATCCTTTATAATGGATAAACAGAGTTTTCAGTAGATGCTGTCCCAAAATATGCCCAGCGAGGTGTTTGGTTAGCCATGATGCAGGGCTGGAGGGATATGAACTATCTCTCTGGTGGGAGATATGTCCCTGAGTCGTGCTTGCACAACAAGAAAGCTCCCCAGTGAAAAATGTATTTTGGGGCTTGTTTCTTCAGGCTGGGAAAGTGGGAGTGGGAATGAAAGCACCAAGGAGTCCTTGCCCTGACTTCGTGCTCCTAGCAGAAACACAATGCATAATTTAATTTCTCGCTCTTCGCATAGCTGGGATGTTTGTTTCATCCCTTAGATTTGGAAGCTCATCATAAAATGAGCTTCTAGAGGATTTTATTTTCTTTTCTTATTGAATACCAGAAATAGAAGAGAGGGCAAATTATCATCATGGCAGCACTAACCTCTGATTTACATAGGCTCATACTTCACCCAGAACTGCTATATAAGCCCCTTCTTAAAGAATGAGGCTTTTTCCATCACTGTTAGTGCTTGGCTACCCCTTTCACACCTCCATAATGCTGTATATGTTGGGACAAATGTGGGTTCAAGTTCAGGATGTTCTGACTGTAAAACTTGTCAAATAAATCCATGCTATTAGACTATGCTGAAGAAAGAGAACTTCTCGCAGCGCAAGTAGAAATCTCCCTTTCCACATTCAGAGCATTTTATTTTGGGTTCTGGTCTGCCATCACAGATGCTGGTGCAAAAAGGGTGTACAAGCAGGAGACAATAGGCATCTTGTCCATTTCTGTAGATATTTTAACATTGCTCCACAAAAACCACCAAGAAGGGAGTAGGGAATGAATTTAAATGTAAACTCTGAAAGGAGTCCAGGTCATGGGCTCTTGGAGCAGGGTTGTTATCTTTTTCTTTCCTGATCTTCCTGGCTTCATTTCTAACCAGAGCACAGTTTGATATGACTAGTCCCTGGAGTGAGCAGTATGCTGACCCATTTTAAAAAAGGGAAAGAGGACGAGGACAGGAAAGAGAAAGAAGAGCAGGGGTCTTACCCAGCAAATAGCAAAAATCGCAGAAGAACCATTTATGTAGAAAAGCACTTAATTGCTTTCTTCTTATCCTTCACCTGTCTCTGAGCATGATCAGAAAATAGTGGAAAGCGAGTTGGTGCTTTAGCCGTGTGGCAAGAAGAGTTAAACCCAGTTTGGTATTGATTACCCATTGCATGCACACTTCTCAAACTCTTATTTTAAAAAACAATTGTAGAAAAGCCACTGTCTCATACGCTCCCTCTGCTGAGCTATTGTTAATGTGGATGTGGAGGAACTGCTGGATCTAATGCATTTCTTATCCTCTTTTTTTTTTTTTTTTTTTCTTTTTAAAATGCTTTGTTACTGATGATGTTTATTCAGCTAGGAGTATGCTGGCTGTCCACATGCCAGCTCAGCTATTCTGTTCACACCTCTCCTGTGATAAGGCATGCTATTTATAATTTGTTAAGGATTTATAACTATAACACCTCTTTCCTATAGAAACAAGGTTTACACAGCTGTGTTAGCTACATGCTGTATAAATTGCCCCACCCCCCCCACCCCACCCCAGCCATTTTTGGATTCGTTAGCTCACATCAGCCAAAGATAATAATGAAGCAGATATCCCATAGATAAAAGGGATTGTGCAAGAAAGCTGTGGAAAGGGTTGAAAGGCAGCAGGGAGAGGGAAGCACCTGGATCGTGGTGGGGAAAGACCTAGTGCTATTGTAGACACTAGAGAATTCACATGGATGACGGTCAGTCCCTAGGAAAAGCCTGACCCCAGATCAGTCAGGCACCAGACTTTGTCAGCTGGCTTGCAGGCATCTCTGGTTTTGCCCTGCTGTTGGGTTTCAGTGGTGTCCGAGAGGTCTAGGCACAGGGGGATGGGAGGGAGCAGTCCTGGGTGCCACCATACAGAAGGAGGATCTGGTGCAAAGAGAAGGTGGGCTGTTGGGATTTGGGCCATGAGCAGGACTGTCTCTGCCCCTAGCTGTGACCCACAGCAAGGACTGCCCCATCCGCAGGAGCAAAGCTGCTTGTGACCCAGCTGGATGCCCCAGGTGGGTTTTGGGTGCTGGTGAGGAGTTGCCAAGGGTGGTGTTACCATCTGCTTCATGGTGAAATGCTGAAATAAAGGCTGCCTTAACTGCTGGGGTTTTGTTCTGTCTCCTACTGTCATGCAAAAACAAGTAAGCCCTTCAGTTGTCTCGGTGAACACAGCAATGCTCATGCATCGTTATTCAGGAGAAGCAGCTGGCATCAAACTTGTACTAATATTGTTCTTGCCTGTCAAATGCCAGCAGCTGATGAGACATCAGGGTGAGAAAATCCTCTAACTGCAAACACTAAACCAGGGTGGGGGAATTACAGAATGTATGAGGAAAGAATCTGTAGTAGGAATTCACACAGCAGCCATAGCTCGCCTAACAGGACATCTGCCATGATGAAGGGTCATGTAAATTGACATCTTCCAGCTTAACTAATGAATATGAAAGATGAGCTAATGTGGGGTTTGTGGCGAATTCTTGATTTGAGTAGAAAAAGGGATGGAGAAGAAACAAACATGTTTGGCTTCTTTAAGGGCTTGCATTTGTGTTTGAAAATAGTGCCAACAAGTTGAAAAAAATCTCCCCTGTGTCACCCTGTAGTGTTACTAAATAGCAACAGGCTACTGATTACAGCAAAAATCTTTTCTGAACCACATATGGCTGCACTGGAAGCAAAATCCAGTTCCTGGCATGAATTGATCATTCAGCTGTGATTATGGGTAATTGAGTTACTTTAGAGGTGTCTCAGAAAAGGATGAGGCATTGCAAGACAGTTTATCTAAACTGGTTAATGGCTTGGTGTTTTCCAGAAGCAGGAGCTGGAGAGTGAGATGATGAAAAATGAACTTAGTGAGTCGAGGAAGACCATTGTAGAACAAGAAACCGAGAATAACTCGTCCAGTGATGTTCAGGAAGGTTATAACCTCTTGCTGAAACAGCTGAAATCAGCCAGAGAGGAGTTGGAAGTGCGGAAGAAAGAGGTGCTCATCCTGAGGGCACAGATTACAAAGTCAGCCCAGGAAGAGGAGGCAGACACAAGCACGGTAATTGAGAGAGTAATTGATTTGCTTCGCCTTTTCCAGTTCTGTTGCTGAAAATTCACGTTGCTGCCCGAGCAATGCCATTTCTGCTTTGGTAGGCTCTGGGTGGCAGGATGGCACAGGGAGATTATAGGATTTTCTGCCTTCAGATAAGATACAGTCCGTGACATAATTTCACACAGCTCAGGACTATATGTCCCGTGGTGGTCTGAAAGTGCTTGACCCCATACGTGATGAGGTCTAGCCAGCCCACACTAAGGAATGATTTTTCCAGCCCTCCACCAAGGTGTGGTGGTCTGAGAGGTTCCCAGTGATGGTCTGTGACAGCTGGGTTGTTAGGCAAGGTAATGGAACGGGGGCAAAGAGCTGCTGGACCAGACTGCTCACGTGATGCTGGTGCAGCTGTAATGTGTTTCTGCTGGTATGTAAGCAAGAAGAGAGCCTGTCCCATCACAGTCATTTGAGGGCTTTTTGTTTAGAGCCTGTTTTGATGGAAGAGTGCATTTTTTGAAAACTCTCACTTGGGCTTTTAAATTCAATGCCTTATCATTCCTTGAGGTTTTCGTATGTTTTGTATTTTAGACACACCCCCCCCCACCCTTATCTCCCTCTCAGGTTCACTGCTTCCTCCTTCCATCTCTAAATTGCTGCTGCTGTCTGTTTGCATGTGCATGAATTCATAGATTCTCCCTAGTCTGATGGATGTCCTGAGAAAGCTCTATCAAGGATGGTTGGGAGTTATTTGGTATCAGGAACTTTGAAATACAGGAGGAAATGTGCAGGATGTCATGCTGCTGTTTTTTGCATGTTGAATTTAGGAGAGCTTTGTCACCACTAGCAGCTGTCAGAGTGGTGAATTTTCTTCTGATCAAGGGTATGTGATGGAAGACTACGATGAACTGAGCAGAATGAGCAAGTAAGTATGGCCCAATTTTTTGCAGCATCGGGAAGGACTGACCAAAGTGTGAAAGGTGAGATGCAGACCAAAATTAACAGCATGTTTTAGAGTGTTACGAGCATTTGAATTGTGTTCTGGACCTTGGGTTAAGAATGGGCCATAAAGATGGGACCAAAGATGCATGTCTTATAATGGGTGAGGAGTCCTCATTGTCGGGACAGTGTGTCCCCGACGGAGGGGAGATACTGGACAAGTAGAAGAGCCAACATGGAAGTAAGCAAAACTGGATTTTGACTTTGTTTCCTGTACATAAATAGTAGCAAAACTAGGATTTGGAATATATTTTAGAGTTACTTCTTTCAAGTCCTCATGCTGTGCTGGGAGGACAGCACGGTTCCCCTCTCCTTTTCCCAGAGGCAAAAGCCCGTGACAGTGAGCTGAGTTAATGAACACATGCCATGTTCTCTGGCAACACCCACATTATTGGTGTCCTTGCATCTAAACTGAGAGTTGGGAACATTCATTTGATTATAGGTTTCCCATAGGAAGGGCTAATATTGTGAACATGTGTCTGTCCTTATAGTAACAAGGGGCTTATATTTCATGGCATTAAATCAATCATAGAAGCTATCCAGGAGGACATCAAATAAAAGTAGTATCTTGCAAGAAGACAAAATTACATGGATTCAGCAGCAAGATAATATGTAAAATAAATATTGCAAGTAAATTGTACGTTCATTTCCTTATCTCTTAACAAATACAGAAGTTTGAGGCTTATTTCCTAAATAATTTGCATTCAGCAAGGTAGTCAGAAGACCTAACCGTTGTGGATTAATGGCTTTTAATAACCCAGTACACTTTGCCACTTTGAACTGGCTGCAGAAGGGTGTTAGCAGTCCAGGCTGGAAAAGGCCCTGACTTAATTAGCATTTTATTCATACCTGTATGAATATGAGCAAAGACACACCATCTTTGAATGCAGTATGAAAAATTGTGAAGAGCTGCTTACTGCTTTCAGAACTGGATGGCCAAAAAAGTGCAATGGGAAATCCACATGCCTGAATTGGTGTACATAAATTCAATATGTATACACCACTGTGTTGTCAACTTTGGTCATGTCTGTACTGTATGTCCCCCAAATTCCTGCCATAGTATGGGCAGGACTTTCTGACTTTGCGTCTGTTTTACTTGTTGGGAGAGCCCCAGGAGAACCTGTGGAGGTATCTCCTGCTACTCTGTGAGTCCAGAGATGGTCTTGCTGGGAGGGCTGGGTTCGGTTCCACATAAGTTGCATTTAAATATGGCTTAAAACCCTGATGTGTGGCCCGAGGCTATGCCCACACAAATACTGCCAGCTTTCACTTTGCCCCCAGGGACCTGGAGGAGTGGGGATTGTTGGGGTCCAGGACTCTCATGACACTGGTTTCTCACCTGGGCATCATGTCTGGCTGGATCATGATCAGTGTTTGTTTTTTTTTCAATTTGTTGCCATCAAATATTTGCTTTCCTGAAGTGAATTTGCTGACAAAATTTCTGCCTGTCCTGCAGTAAAGGTGATGAGATTGATATAAGCATCCCCTTTTTGTCAGTAAATCACTGGGGTGCTCAGCATGCTTCCTCCTGCAAGGAGTGGGTTTTGGTCACTTCATGAAGTCTGTGGGTTTTCTCTTATTTCCTTCAGACTTTCTCCTGGAGCTGTGGGCAGTGCTATGGGAAGCGAAATTCCATTGTCAGGCACAGCTTTAATTACTTCCTAAATTGCATTTTTCAGTGTGCGTGTGTAGGGATGGTTAGTTTGTGTTCAGGTGTTGGTGAAGGAGTTGGAGTCAAAATAAGAGTTTCTGCTTTCATAGGGCATGTGTCTGACCAGGTTGTATCACTGGTCCCCAGTAGTAACCGGCATTTGGCCATCCTGGAATGCATGTTGTCCACTTCTACACAACCCACTGGGAGACTCCAATCCTTCTTTAGCCATTCTGGTTTCCAGATTTAGCAAATTCTGCAGGGAGGATTAAATCAAACACAGAAATCATCAAAAATGTTGCAACGATCTCATTTTCCAGAGGAGTACAAATCTCTTTCCTTGCTGTTGCACAGGTGAGCTGCAATTTAAGAAGTTCAGGTGATCAGGCCTTGATGGTTTTTGGCTTCTTGAGATTTGGGAGGGGAAATCTGCAGTCTCCAGGCTTGGTTTCCGGTTACCTCTCTTGTCTCATATGAAGTTTGGCTCTTCCACTATAGTAGCAGTACCTCTACCATACTATCACCCTGATTTTCTGCAGTGATTTATCTAATGGCTCATTAATCACCAACAGCTTCCCAATTATATGGTTCCATTGTATATTGGGTTGGTTTATAAACTGTAGGCTGGAATCAGTAGCAATAAAACAGATGAAAAAAAAATGCTCAGGAAGATGCACTATTGTGTTTATTAATATAAATTTATGTTCCCTCCCCCCAGCACAAATTTGCATTTGTACTTACGCAGCTCTATACCCAAGTGTGTCAGCATGTGAAATAAAACTGCTTTCTCTTTCTAATCTTGATTCATAAATATTTTAATGGAAAGCTTTTATGGTGGGATTGCAATTCTGTAGTGGGATTAATTAGGCAAGAGCCACTTTTTCTCCCACCTGTGCTGCAAGCAGCACTCCCATTTCTCTTTACCCTGATTCTTCTAATTCTGTTAGCTGTTTCTAATGGAGGTGGATGCTCTTCCATGTGGTAAAGCCGTGGCCCACCCATGGGTCTCTCCCAGCTTGAAGTCATCATGTCTTAGCTGCCTATGCTGTGGATGGACCATGGCTTTATTTTGGTGGGAGATAGACCTTTTGTTCACTGTGTTTCTATAAACCAGAACTTCTAAATACAGTAGGAGGAAAACAGGAGAACCTGCCAGGTGCTGCTAACCCTGCCCATGTAGTGATTCTTTTTCTCCACACCACTTGTGGGAGAAAGCCCTTTGATGCCAAGTCAAGGGGAAGTTTGAATTAAATGCAGACTTTTATAAATGCAATTAACTCAACTTCTTTTCCTTTTTTTTTTCCCTTCTTATTGACTTTAAACTGTGAAAGGGTAAAGCATCAAGTTAGTTTCCAGCAAATTTTCTGCTTCAATAACTGAATGTAAAGCTAGGTAGGCTTTTTGGTCTCTGTTTTAGTTACTGAAATCTTTTTCAAGCTTGTTTGATCTTGGTGGAAATGTAGAGCCAACAAAAGACCAGGTGATGATGTTAGAGATAATAACCTGGCAGCTCAAAGCAGATCGGTCTTAGTGTTTGAAATTAACTTCCAAGTGATTTCTGCAAAGTATATGGCTCCTTTATATATTTTTTTTAACACTGGGTAAGTCCCACCTGCTGTTCCAGTGCCAAGTGAAGGGCTGATGCTGGCTTCAGGTGGAGAATGCTTTTGTGACTGGAGGAGGCCATCACAAGGAAAGGGTTCATGTATTTCCTTACCACTACCCAATGTGTCTGTTCTTATCGCTCCTTCCCACTCTGTCATATATCTAACCGGAGATGTGCATTAGTCTTCCATTTATTTAAAAAAAACTAAAAACAAAAATAAAAAAAGAACACCCCCCACCCCCCTAAAAAAAAAAAAAAAAAAAGACAAAGATGCATATCTGTGTTTGAAAATGAAATGCCTCTTCTTCTTTATTAAGTAATGATAATTATTTGAAGATGCTAAAATTAACATCTCTGGGGTTTGGTGTATGTGCACCTCCTTTAAGCTACTTGCATCAAGCTACATGGAGGAGGGGAAGGAGACATTTGGGCAGGAATTTCTCTCTTTCACGAGGGCAGGTTGCCAGTTGCTCCCCCAGACCTGCACCTCCAAGATAAGGATAAAGTAGAAATAAGGTTTTGTGAATCATGCCCTTTCAACTCTTTTCAGCCTTGAGACAAGGATTTACACAGCATTTTACAAAATTATTTTTGTACATACTAATTAATGTAATTAGCTAAAAGGACTCCTGTTGACTTTTAATGTCTTGGTCAATATGAACTTCTGGGAGAGGGAAAGCTCAGTGGTTTCTGAGCCAGTGCCATATTGATGAACGTGGGCTGAATGCTTATGTCCCAGGGCAGTTTTATCTTAGTATAATGGCACCCCCTTGAGCTGCTTGCCTCATTTACCACAATGCACGTGATTAAGAACGGAAGGAAATCTATTTTTGAAAGGAGGTTATCCAGAAAAAAGCATCTCTTAAATGCTGCTCATCATGTGAGATTTCCCATGTTACTGACGTGATAGTGAAGATCCTTCCTGTCTTTTTTTTTTTTTTTCCCTTGGTTTTCAGTGCCTCAGTACATGTTCTGTTAAGATTATCTGAACCAAAAAAAAACAAATTTACCCAAATAAGACCAATAAACCTCTGTGTATCTGTAGCCTACAGACCCTTTTGGAAACCTGCTATCTATGGGGTGAAAACAAGGTTTTAATTTTGATTCATACAAACAGCTTTAACAGATAAATTTTCCAAATGTTACTGTCTGAAATATTTGCTACTTGTGAGAAATGCCATGCTTGTACACCAGGATAGAAGGGATGTACAAGCTGTCTACAGCAATGAGACATCTCTTGAGTCCTTTCATGGTAGTGCTGCAATGCTGCGACACCACATTTCTTCTCGCTGCTTTCCTTGTGTGAAAATTTGCTGTAGAATGTTTGCATGTTGTGCTTTTTCCACTTAAGTATGCAGAGCTTTCCTTGCCAGGGAATAGCATCTTCTACACCTCTTTTCAAAATAGGAGGTGTGTATTGGCTTGGTCCTTTTTTTTTTATTGACTGAAATTTTAATGAAATATTAAGTGATTTTTGTTGTTGTTGTCTATTTTTTTTTATTATTATCTCCAAAAAGAAAAACTGTTTTCTAACAGACATCAAAGCCAAGTAAAATCTCAATGTAGCAAGTGTTCCTGGTCAGGCTGACCATCTTACATCTCTCATTTGTAATGTGTTCAGCACCCCATTAAAGAAGATAAATGAGTTCCCTGCCTTTTATAACTTAACTACCACTCCACCCCCCACCCCTCCACCCCCCTCCCCACCAGTCTGTTAGAAAGAAACTTTTAATATTAAAGTGAGATGAAACTTTTCTGGACATTTTTGTGCTTTTGGATGGATACAGAGGAAATTTGATTTCATATGGATGTAATGAAACAAACATCCAAGGGGTGTTTGGACTGAAAGTTCCTCTGAGGAAAGGCTGATGCATTTGACTTGATTGAGGAGACCCTTGACTGAAGTAAAAGGAAAATAATTTATTTTAGACCAGTGGAAGCTGCTTCAGAAGGAAGGAAATGAAGAAACTTGTCTTAAAATTGTCTTATTAGTGAGATGTGCTAGAATGCGGAAGATCTGGAAGAGGAGTGAGTGGTTCCAAGCTGTCAGTATGCAATAAAATATGGGGTTGGGTTATGTTTGCACTGTGGGTTGGAAATGCATACAGGCTATTCCAGCTCATAAATAGTTATTTTCGGGGGGGAGGAAGCAAGGAAGCCAGTTGGGAGCTGCTAAGGAACCACTCTGTGCTTTTCATTTTAACCCCTCTGTGTTTGGACACCTCTTCTTTACCCCTCATGTTGATGTCTGCTCTCTCATTTATCCTTCCTGGTCCTTGTTTCTCCTCCCTGGTTTTTAAGCATAAGGTTTTCGTGAGGATTTGAGCTAGCTGGTCCTTTGCAAAGAGGATTTGAGCTAGCATGGTCTTGCATCTTTTCCTTGCAATCATATAGGAAACAGTTTAGCCATACAGAAACAAAAACTCAGGCTCTGACTTCCAGGAGCTGGATTTTTTGGTAAAAACACTAACATTATAGGAATGATGGTAACCTGCCAAGAGTTTGGACTGGGTGATCTGTGATGGTCCCTTCTGACCTGAATGATTTTGGGTTCCCGTGTTGGCTGCGGTGTGTTGGGAAGGAAAGGGCTGCATGAGGACATATTTCACAGATGGGGAGGGAGGAGAAGGTCCACTAGCCAGGGGTGTCCTATGGGTCATGACCAGGGCATGGTTCTCCTTCACCACAGTGGAAAAGGAAATAGAATGTCATGACTGTGTGCTTTAAAAACCAAAAATAAATGAATATGGGTTCTGCGCCTTTTCGCCTTCTATTGTAAATGATCTTCTGTCTTTTTCTGGCCTCTTGTTTCCTTTTGCTGTCCTTTATTTCTAGCAAGACTGAGGATTGGGGGTATCTCAATGAAGATGGAGAGCTCGGCTTGGCTTACCAAGGTTTAAAGCAAGTTGCCAGGTCGAACACTTTCTTTTTTCCCATTGCTTCTTCTCCTCTCTCTCCCTTTCACTTGTCCTTTGGTTTCTTTCCCTTCCTATACTGTTGTCCTGTTGTCTTTTATAGGACCTCTCTGGGAGCAGCCGGAGGTAGCATATTCAAACTTGTAAGAATTGAGACCCTCCTTTAATTTTCAGAGGAGTTGTGATTCTGATTGGGCATTGCTGATGGTGGCTGTTGCCACTAATGCCTGTGCGGTGATTTGGTAAGGATTACATTATGTTAATGAGAAAACGTGTAATAAAGGTGTTGGGAAGCTGTAATCTTCAGGAAGCCCCCCAAAAAACATTGCAGATGTATGTTTGTTTGTTTTCCCAAATTGTGCTAACGTATAGCACATCCCTAAAGCATTTTCTCCCAGTCCTTGACTTGTCAGAAGTGGAATGTCTCTGCTTGTGTTGTGATGCTGTCTGCTTTGCATGCTCCCAGAGATTCTGCACTCTCATCCATGTGTTGCCTATAGGTATAAGGAGTAAGGTGTGTGGTGGACACGCAGTGCCACTTTTCCCCATGTCCTAGTCTGGTGGGGAGTATCCCAGCGGGACACACCGAGGTCATGCCTGCGACATCCGTATCTCCTGGGGATGCAAGTGATTCTGTAATGATCTTTCATCTCCAAGCTAATGAATGCTTAGAAACACAAATGGCAGTTAAAGCAAGGCAGAAGGACTTCTGGATTCTTCTGGTTCAACCTGGTGCTTGTAAGAGCTGATTATTAAATGTTAACTTGTTAAAATGTGCTATCCTGCTTTCCTGCAAGTTATGAGGTGCCAATATATGTGATTTTTATAAAAGATGTGCAATGAGCTGATTAAGGACACTATAGAGAGGAAAAGTTAAAATAAACTTTTGTATGAAGTGGCCTAAAGTGGTCGCATCCAGAGAGATCAGAGTAAAACCAGACAAAAGGAAAAATATCAGGGATGTTTCATTTGTTTTTCAAAGCAATGTAGGAACCCAAGTTCATAGAAGGAGCATGTTTTCCTGAGGGTGGTTAATCTAAACCTATATGAAGAGACAAAACTAAAATTAAGTATTTAATATTTATTTAATGGTGGACCTATATTTTCCAAGCCTATTAAGAATTATAACTCCTGACAAGATTATGAGGTTGACTGCATTACTGTACATGTTTCTATAGTTGGAAAACACACTTTTCTGTCTTCTGCTGGAAAATGGGAGTAGAGATTAGGTTGTTTAGATCTTCTAAAAACAGCAGCAATAAAAAAACAAACTGGAGAATAATTAGTACTTTTCATCCAGAAATCTTCCATAGAAAGCATGTGTTCTTTTATACACTCCTTAAGAGAAAAAACCTAAACCAGTCTATGCTTAATTGTTCCTGCAGGGAGACCGTTCACAGGTGTGAATCTCCATGAACTTCCTGGTGGACCCAACATAGTTCTAGCTTTTTCCTCACTGGCACAACTCTGTGTCTGTGCATGTCCTGGGTAAATGCTCAAGCTATCAACACCAGAATCTTCCTCACCTTCAAGGATTGCTGTTTGCATCTGATGCCAGAGGTGCTGAAGCCCCTGAGATGGATTTGTGGCTCTACCCAGGAGAGCACATCCATGAGCTACAGCAAGAACATGGGCTTGGCCATCCCTTCTCGGTTGTTCCTCCTCTTTGCCACCACCGTCCTGTGTAATCTGGGACTAACACTTTGTGGTTTCTGGCTTAATGCCCCCTTCTCAGAGTCCTTATTCCTTCTGGAGTCACTTATTTCAGGCTTCTTGAGAGAGCTGGTGAATTCACCAGGAGATTTCTATTTAGCAGAGGGTGGGGGACACCCTTAAAAACTCATTATCGTGTCACTTGCCAGACTTTTCAGCACCCCCATCAGCACAGGCACGTACAGGAGGGCAGTTAACATCTCAGTGACAAATTGTGCTTCCACTGGATTAATGAAGGCATTTGGTATTAGCAAATAGCTGGATAATGCACTAAATAAATGCCTTACTGATGTATGCGTTTCCCCTCCCTGGGATTGTCCTTGTGCATGGGGCTGGAAGGAGACCTGATGTGTAGAGAAAGGGCGGTTGGAGAGGATGGCAGGACAAATTATTAGGGAAAAAGCTGAGTACCCACCTAAAAGTGGGAGAATGGCTGTTTTTGGTAACTTCTGTCAGCTGTGTGTCATGGTGTTAGTATTTGTATGTCATGGAGTTCAAGGAAGCAAGTTGTCTTCCCCCTGCTGAAGAGTCCTGGTGAATTGGGCAGTGATGATGAAAGCTGAGAGCGGGAACTGGTCATGGTGACAGAATTGCCTTGTGCATAGTTTTCTATGGGTGGTTTATGATGAAAATTGAGATATGTTTGAATATACTTTTTTTTTAAGCAAAAATAAATGGCAGCACTACAAACAACTAGAAGGAATGAAGGGTTACAGCTTCTGCCTTTCTTGAAATTGCAGTAGTAGCAAATGAAGCCTGTGGCAGTCCAGCTGAATGGAGCTATTTGCAGGATACACAGTTCAGTTTTCAGGAGTAAGAACTGAAGTTTGAAATGGGGTGGTGAGCACAGGAACAAATGCCCTTCAAGCTGAGCTTTTGAAAAAAACCCACAGGTGTTGATCTGTGTTGCTTTCTTGCCATGCATTTGCTTCTTGCTAATGGGAAGAATAAATGAGTTCAAATTTGTGATATGATTGCAGAAAAAAAAGGTGTTCTGGGATTTCATGTTTTTATTCTTCCCCTTTTTATAAAAAAAAACAAAAACAAAACCAAAATCAGAACAAAACAGCAAACTTTTGATCTCATGTCTCTAATTTCAAAAGTATTTAATCTACAGTATAACAAATGACAAACTAATATGTCAGTAATAGCTGTAGCACCCCTTTGTCAGGGTTTTATAGGGAGTTGACTTGGAACATCTCGCAAGTTGGCTGAGTTTGAACAGTCTAAGCTCAAACAGTGGTTACTACCATGATGCTGAAATCACAGGCTGATCAGTGTGGTCCTTTTCTCAGGTTGCTGGAGTCACAGCTCCAGTGTCAGAAACAAGAACATGTGGAGGAGGTAGAAGCTCTGAAAAAACAGATTCGTAAATTGAAAGAAGAGCTGGAGAGACAGCAGATGTCTTCAGAGACCTTCATGGATTTTGGACTTCAGAAAGAAATTACACGTCTTACCAATGAAAATCTGGTAAGAGACTATACTGAAAACCTAGCCTAAGGAAGAGGAAAAAAGAAACAGTTTGAGAGAAACGTGAAGGAAATGTGAAGGGGAGGAGAAGGCACTGGGGTTTCTTCCAGGCCTCCTAAACTCTCTGTAGAATCCTTCAGCATCTCCCACTGGTGAATTTGGGAGCTTTGATACTTGGCCTTGAACTGTTGTTCAATGGCTGTGTGACCCTTGTGACTTCCTAGGTACATATTTTTTAATTTTTAATCTTTTTTAAGCCTGTCTACTTTGTGGTACTGCCTACCAAATGAGATCGCTGGGGACCCCTATAATATGTGATGATGCACAAAGACATCACAATTGTTTCTTCTTACTTTTATTGGGAATATTTGGAGGGGGGCGGCAGTTGCCACTCCAAAAACTTGGTCTGGCTGATCATAAATTTTCCCTTTCTCATCTCCTGTATCTGTGTGTAAAGCCTGGAGTGAACATTGGCCCCTCCTGAGCAGGTGAGGGTTTCTTGCCTTTCTCCACAACTCTAGTGTTGGAACTGTTTAAATATGATTAACAGCCAGGAGTAAAATGCTTTGGGTGGTGTGTTGTGAGTATTGCCTGCTGTAGGCTACCTCAAGAAAAATCAGGCATGCAACATCCACAGTCTTTGCAGTGTAGGTAAGGGTCTCTCTGAGCGATCCATAAATATCATCGCTCTTCTACCAAGATGCTCACATGGTGCTTTGACCAGGCTGCTAAGTGACTCTGGCCTCAAACTCACTCCAAATGAGTTTTCTTGGATTAGTTGGTTGTTTTTTTTGTTTGTTTAACCCAGTGCATCTTCCATTCTTCAGGATCTTAAAGAATTGCTAGAGAAGATGGAAAGTAATGAAAAGATGCTGAAGAAGTGGCTGAAGGTTTACATGAAGCGTGCCCATGGAGTTGAAGGTGACTTGGCTGTTGGTAGACATTGCAGTGGGGGAACAGTACTCTGGTTTTCCTTTTCTGGCCTTGGAGTGCTGTAGGTTTTTCCCTTTTCCTTTCTGTTGAAGTAAGATTTTGCTTTTTCTGGCACTGAACTAGCAGCAAGCACTGAGCTCATCGTTGGTGTGACAGCAAGGAACCAAACGTCCAAATGAAGCTCCTGGGTCATGAGTAGGCTGCCTTTGAGCAAGTACATCCATGCTGCTGTAGCTTTAGCTTGTTACCATGTTTGAATGTGGTAAACTTGGAAGAGGGTTCCACAAAGTGGAGAGCAAATGCTTGCTGGCGGTGTTAGTCTGACCCTTAGTGTGCTGGGGTTTGGAGGGTATTTACAGAAACCTTTTTGCTTTCATTGCTGTCAGTGCTGTGATCCGGGCAGAGATACGGAGGGAAGACCAATGGCTAGCAGGCAACTGCTCTGATTTGGAAATTTTGAGAGGGAATTAAAGCTACTTATGATTAAAATATAAATGTATATTCTGCTTGATCAGAAAACACCTCAGGTGTGACATCGATGTTGTATAGTAGGAGCTTCCCATTTCCTGGAGATGCTGTGATTAATCATGTAACTTTGTTCTCACAAGCTAATTTCTGAAAGCTAGGCATTAAGTGAAATTAAGCTGAGTAACTGGCAGGTTTCCACAGCTAGTACAGCTGGTGTCTGTCAGTGTAGCTTGCATGCAGCAGGCTGCTGTTTACTGCAGCACTTTGCACACTGGTCTCTTCTGTTTTATTAAACTTTTTTGGAAGCACAACACTTAGTGGTGTGCCACTGTAGTTCTTCCGATTTATGGCCAGCCAGAAGATGTGATGCTTAGGTATTTTTTCACTGCCTGGCTTTTTTTTTATCTCTCTCTGTGAAAATGCTGCACTAAAAATATTCCTGTGGGGTTACAACCTTCTAGCCTGTGGTTCCTTGGAAAATAAAAAATTACTTCATCTTTTCCTCCTTAGCTCCAACTTTTGCACTCTTTCTTTCATTCAGAGTCAGAACTACTGCTGACTGGTAATTCAGGACCTGTTTTTTTTATATTTGTGTAAGTCTGTGAAGCCAATGACATTATTGGAAATTTGATATATGATGCTTTGACTGGGTGTCTGCTCTAAGGCCAGGGGAGGACGTGAATAGTTCTTGATCACCAGGTACCACCTTTCATCCTCTTTTTTCTTCACAGCATCCCTAGACACGGTACCAGAAGAGGGGAGGCAGCATGAGCGTTACAGGCAAGTTGCTGTTCAGAGGAAGGAGAAAACTTTTCAGGGCATGTTGGAATATCGTAGAGAAGACGAGCCACTCCTCATCCAAAACCTCCTTATAGGTGAGGAACTTGCTTTGCTGCTGTGCTTGGCTCCTTCTTCTCTTGACTGGTTGATCTTCAGATAGGCAAATAGATCTTCTCAAATTAATCCCTTCTGGGGCTGCACATTTATGGCGACAGCAGTTTTGGTAGGTAAAGCAGCACAGCACTAAGCAGGTAGACCAGCATGGGTGTAATCCTTTGGGGCAGCAAAAAATGGAAAATGCAAAAAGGAGCCTGCAGTTTTTAGAACAGGCACTAACTTCTGAGCTTCATATGATGTGGTAATAGATGGGGAGGGGTTAGCAAAGGATAAACCTTGGGGATTTTGCGCAGCAATGGAACAAAGGTAGTTTGGTTTAAGAGATAATAACAGATAATGGATAACAAGCTCGTGAGTTCTGTTATGCTGGAAGGTCTGATCAGAATTGCTTCAGCATCCTCTTATTCAGTGCTGTTAGAGAAGTCATGCTAAGGGTTAGTATTTACCATCACTGTTTGAACACTTTTTACACACTCACTAGATTCTGCTGGGGTTAAAGAGCAGTGCTCGCCCACTCCTGTAGTGTTTGAAGTTCCCCTAATCAGACAGGCTTTTTCCTTAGAGACTGCAAATTCCCACAGCTACCATTAGGATTCAGTATCTTGAGGGAAAGAGTGATTTACTGCGTCACTAATTCAGAGGGGTGGTTTATAACCTGTGGGACGTGTTCCTGAAAGTTTCAGGGAGCTTTTCTGTAGGTTGGTTGTGTGGTGCTTGGGCAGGGTTTTACATGGTAAAGATGATCTAGTACTACTTTGTGCCTAAGGTATAGTGGGATAGTGATAGTGTCTCAAACCTCAGTGCAGACAGGGCTACCCTCACGAGCCTTAGTGCTGTGGCTCTTCTGCTTTGGCTAGCCTCAGCAGGTCTGTCTGTCCTGCAGCTGGACCTCTGGTTCTGTGTCCACGCTGCAGAGGGTTGCAAGCTGCAGAGCCAAAATCTCAGCTTCCCCAGGGCTGGGGGGAGAGGGGTTTGCCTGGGTACGTCTCCAGCTCTAGCATTCCCTGCTTCACCTGGCAGTTGGTGAATTTTAAGAGGATTTTTAAAAACAAAAAAAACACCAAACCTTCTAGATCTCAAGCCTGAGGCAGTGTCTGCTGCTGTTCCCTGCCTTCCTGCCTACATCCTCTACATGTGTGTCAGGCACACAGATTACATCTGTGATGATCAGAAAGCGCACTCCTTGCTCACCTCCTTCATCAACGGCATTAAGACTGTGCTGAAGGTAGGTGTCAGTTTTTTCTTGTCTTGGGGTTGAGATGGTGTAAGATGGTAATAACCATGCCAAACCGTGTGATACTCGGCTCTCGTAGTGGTTTTCAAACCCAATGACTCTTACACCTTCCCTTTTTAGAGAACAAGGAGAATTACAATCTTAGCAATAAAATTGTTTGCATTGCCAGATTTAAAAAAAAAAAAAAAAGTTTGTAGAGAACAAATGGCTAATACTGCCTACCTGTAGAGAGCTTCGTGATTCTAGGTGGGGAAATTCAAAATCACTTTGTTTTGCTATGCCAGTGTTCTCACTGAAGCAGGGGGTCTCACATGTTTTAATTTTCTCCTCCAGACACACAGTGGCAGTTTTTGGATTACATCATTTTGGCTGGCAAATACATGTCGTTTCCAGCACTGCTTAAAGCAGTACAGTGGAGAAACGGTAAGAAACTAATTGCTGATCTTGAGTATGTTGGCATTACTCGAGGAGGGGTCTTCAGGTCTCCTGGGTCTAGTGACTTCCCTCTGGCTATGATGTGGGGTCATCTCTGACTTCCTTTTTAATTTGGATATAACATGAAGCAGCTCCTAGCATCGCAGAATCAGAGTGGTTTGGGTTGGAAGGGACCTTCCGAGGCCATCCAGTCCAACCCCCTGCCACGAGCAGGGACATCTTCAGCTCGATCAGGTTGCTCAGGGCCCCGTCCAACCTGGCCTGGGATGTTCCCAGGGATAGAAACATCCCTTTGGGCAGTCTGTGCCAATGTTTCAACACCTTTAGACATAAGGAAGAAACTTCTTTATGATAGTTTGAACTAGACCAGAGGTTCGTGGAGCATTGCGCTGAGACAAGACATCGGAGGGCTGAAACCAGGACCCTTGCAACATGACTCGTAATAGAATATTTTGAATTTCCTGGCCAGCCATGCACTTTGATTTGTCTGAATAGAATTTCTTTCTGATAGGCTGTCTTGAAGGCTGTTCCCCTGGTTTTAGTAGGTCCCACAACTTTTCATTAACCAATAATTTCAGAGGAAAACTGTTGCAAATCTTGCAGTTTTATTCTGCCCATTTCTACTGACTTCTACCGATTTTTTTTTTTTTTTTTTTTTTTCCCAGTTCTGTTCAACTAGTTCAAAATAACTACACTTTGAGAGCAAAAATGTGTAATCATAATGTAAGATTTAGGAAGGAAATCCTCTAATTTCTTTCCCCCTCAGTAATATTTCATAAGTTGAAATAGGTTTTAATATAGCAGATCCCTTCTGACAAAATCACATCATCACAGTCCTTTTAGTATACTACATGCTGCCATACTCATAGCCATATGGTCTGGGTAATAAAATTTTCAGCAGAGCCAAATTATGTAATTTCTCATTTAGTCTTGATTTGTGTTAGATATATTGAGCAATCAACCTTTAAGAATAAAGAAAAAAATTACAGTGGAATTAAATTAACTACTCAGATCATTCACAAGATAATGACTGATGTGCAATACCTTAGTGCTGAATTTCAAAGACATAAATTAAGAAGAAAAATAATTTAGATAATACTTACACATACTTGTGCTCCTGTTTGCCCTCTTCTGCCTGGATCGTAACATTACATTTTAAAGAAAATCCTACAAAACAAGAAGAGTAAAAAAACAAACAAGGAAACAAACAAAAAAACACAAACAAACCAAAACAAAAACAAAACAAAACAAAAAACCAAACCAAAACAAACAAACAAAAAAAAAAAAAAACCAAAACAAAAACCAAGCAAAGTTAAATTTCATATTCTTTGCCATGATTTACTGTGTTAAATGAACCAACTATTTTCAAATGTATTTGATAACTCAGTTCAGAAAACAGAGGGGAAAAAATCTTTCTGAGCAGTTTCCAAAATACTGTTATCTTTAGTTTGAAATCCAACCTGTTTTTAACAAAACAGGTTTAAAAGAAAATCCCAAACTAAATACAATCTTCCAGTGCAAAGAGCATGACACTTTTTCATTAGTTGGGAAACTGGAGGAATTCTGAAGTCTACTCAAATTGTACGTGTTGTATTTTTGCATTTTGCTAGTCAGCAAACAACAAAATTTGCATAGTTCTCATTTTGACACCAAACTGATAAGACTGTATGAGCAGGCAATTAAAGCATCTGTGTTAATTATAAAATTAAGTTAGATCACATTTGTTTCTGCCAGCAAAACTGGCATTAATGTCTGAGCCCAGAAGTCAGGGCTACAGCATCCATCAGTTACTTGGAGAGATTTCCAAACTTCAGATCAGTTTAAAATGTTGTCACAGCATATAGCCTGTGGTCATCGTTTATTTTTTTCATTTTCTAAAATCTCATTCTCAAAATATTTGTTTTCCCATAAATAAATGTGACTCACAGGGATAAACAAATAGCTAAAAAAAGTTTCTCAGGGCCTGAAATGTCATTTTCTAGTTCATACATATATATTGCAATTAATACAAATGTTGCTCCTTGCTAAAGCTAAAATGAAAAACTGCTTGATGGTGTTTTTCTTCAAACAGCAGCCCTCTAGTAATAATTTATGAACAAAGGGCTGAGTAAATCAAAGGTGATTTATGAGTCTTCATTTTTACACTATAATAGAAAAGAACTACTTTGGTAACATATCTGGATATATTGTACTCTAAGTTCTTTTTTTTTAATACAGTGATTTTACTGGACTGTAAATAGATGGAATAATGAAACCAGGTGTTTTAATCTCCTTCTCTTCAGAATTTCGTGACACAAAACACACCTAAGCAGAATGAGCACTGTCTGAGGAACTTTGACCTGACCGAGTACCGCGAGGTGCTGGACCACCTCTGTGTCCAGATCTACCAGCAGCTCATCAAGATAACAAGGCACATGCTCCAACCCATCATCGGTAAGTTCACAGCATGTTAGCTTTTAGGAGGGTATTTTTTTTTGCTGTAATTATCTACTCTGAGTGTTTTTCAGACCTTTGTATGGTGCTAGCATGACTTCTCCCCAAAGGAAAAGCCTGCAGTTGATAGAGAGGCATATGGTACAAAAAAAGTCTTAGTTTGGAGCAGGTCCTTGTGTTAGCAGTGACCTGGAGTTAGGGAGGCAGACCTAGATGAGTTTTTATTTTCCCCCATGACAGAAACTAATAGGGATGAGGGTTTTCTTCCCCCCATGATAGAAGATACCTCCTTCTCTGTTGAGGTAGTGACAGAGATGGGGTGGTACGGGTAGGTCCATAGAAACAGCATTCCCCTCCAGACCAAGTTCATGGTTGAGCTTTTTCTAGGTGGAAATGCGCATTATGAGTGAGGAGAGAATTCGGAAGAGGAAAAAGAGACTAATAAAGTCCTTTTTGCAAGGGTGAGTAAGTAACAAGCTCAGTATGAGTGAACAATGTGCTGCAGCAGCAAAGCAAGGCAACAGGATGCTGGGTTGCATCAACAAAGGCATCACCAACTGAGATAAAGAAGTTGTTATCCACTATGCCACCCTTCTCAGCACTTGTCAGGCCACACCTGGAATACTGTGTTCAGTTTTGATCCCCATTATACAAAAAAGCTGTGGCCAGGCTGGAGAGGGCCCAGAGCAGGGACACAAAAGTGATCCATGTTCTGTGAAGCCTGCCACGTGAGGAAAGGCTGAGAGAACTGGGTTTGTTCAGCCTTGAGAAGAGAAGGCTTAGGGGAGACCTTGTCACCATGTTCCAGTGTTTAAAGGGTGGCTACAAAGAAGATGAAGACTCCCTTTTTACAAGGAGTCACATGGAAAAGATGAGGGGTAATGGGTACAAGTTACTCCTGGGAGATTCCATTTGGACACAAGAGGAAAATTTTTCATAATGAGAACAATCAGCCACTGGAACAATCTCCCCAGGGAAGTGGTGGATTCTCAAACATTGGACACTTTTAAGACTCAGCTGGACAGGGTGCTGGGCCATCTTGTCTATAGGGGGTTTGTGCCAAGAAAAGTTGGACCAGATGATTCTTCGCTTCCAACCTGGGATACTATAATTCTATGAGAGTTGCCTACTCAGCTAAATCTGTCCTCCTCCTTGCTAAGCTAATTGAGGGACTGTTCTCAGTGCTTTACATTTTCTAGCTGCTGGTGTTTTCCTTGAGCTCTCGGCCTGGACTCCTTTGTATCTGGGACTCTTTCACTTTACACTCCAAATGTCATTGAACAAATTCTGGCTGTATCAAACAGCATCCCTGCCTACCATTGCTGCATGTACGTCCTGCTCCTTGCATAAAGTTGTCCTGTTCCTCTATCAGTTAGTCCGGTTGTAATAATTCTATTAATCTACCTTCATTTCTCCCAATCCTTTGAGAGAAATGACTAAATGCACAATTTAAGGCTCTGTGGTGGGTATAGAGGGAGAATTGATTACAACTCAAAGTAGAGCTGTTCCCCATTTCTGCAGCATTGTGATTTCTTTATAGTAACACCAAGGCAAAAAAGTGTGATCTTAAAAGATATTTTGTGTACTTCAACTATTTCATATTATCACAGTAAACTAGCAATTAATGGATCTGTCCTGCTTTCAGACCTCCCAGCATCCATCCTGTTGCATCACTGAGACTGCTCCGTGTTTATGACTGCCCACAGAGGGATCAGTTCTTAACTCTAGTGACTAACAGGTGAATTTAGGCTTTCTGAGCTAATTTTTTTCCTGCCTTTTTCAGTGCCTGCATTGTTGGAAAATTACAGTATCCAGGGATTTTCTGGTGGGAAGCTGATGGGCTACAGGAAGTGTTCCTCCAACACGTCACGTTGTAACAGCTCCTACAACTTAGACAAACTCATTGACCAGCTGACCAGGTTCCACCGCATGATGTGTGACCACGGTACAGACCCAGAGATTGTGGAGCAGATCTTCAGGCAGTTATTCTACATCATCACTGTGGTTGCCCTGAACAACCTCCTGCTGAGGAGGGATATCTGCTCGTGGAACATGGGCATGCAGCTAAGGTGGGACATGGGCTTGGGGTAGGGATGTACCTGCTTAAGGAAGTTTTGTTAATTTTATAACGTGGGGGAAAAATGTGAAAATAAAATGCAATGGTGTAAGAAAGGGAGAAACTTGATTCATCAGGAAACCAATGCAGTGGCAGTTAAAGCTAACCCCCACATTGTGTAATGCCTGTGCAATGCATTTTGCTGTGCCACTTGTCAATTAAATGCACATTATAGTAATTATCTCTGGGGTGGGCTTTCCCCACTCTTCCTTCACACAACCTGAGCAGGAAGGCTGCTCAGCTCGAAGACTGCACTAGATGATGTAGGATGGACTGAACATTGGGATGGAAAAGTCTCTGTAGTTCTCTCCTGCTGCCACGTCTGCTGGTTTTAATGTTAACAAGTGTTGTAGTGTCAAAGGCTCCGATTCTGCAGGTGGATCTTAAAGACAAAGCCCACTTGCTTTGTGCAGCGCCTGTGGCCTCTCGTGAGCTGAGACACGTGCAGGCAGGCGGCAGCACAGACCTCTGCTGGGCTGGGATCAGGGGCCCGCGTGCCCCGTCGCTTTCTTGCCATAGTGTTGTTAGTAACGATCAAAGTTTGCAAAAGACAGCTAGTGCCAACCTGCCAGAAAGGGGTGGTGAATATTTATCAGCCCTGGCTTAAGTCTATCAGCTTACCTCCCAGTGTAAATGATTTAAACCTTCCTTTTGCTGCCCTCTCCCCTTCCCACAGTGGATCCTTTGTGTGTTCCCCTTCAGCCTGGGAGTAGGCACAGGCAAAGGCATTTTTTGTGTAGATATTTTCAAAGGTCCTTGGGTACCTTGCAGGATTTTGTTAGCCTTTAAAAGCTTGTTAAAAGCTTAATTTTAATTGGCTTTTGAAACTTAAACACATCTGCATGCTGTAGAAAAGCACATCCCTTGTGCTGTTCAGCTGTTACGTGGCTCATTTATTTCTAAGGTACATAGAGTATAAATTTGGCTTTGAGTTGTTGAGTATTAAGCTTTGGTCCCATTGTATCTTGCCATGTGTATCACAACTATGCATCACAGAAAGACACACATTCCAGCACTACAACATACCTTGAGTCTCAGAGAGGATTTTTGAGATGCTACATCTTATCTCTCAGCTCACATCTTATCTTGGTTGTTTACCCAGGTTCAACATAAGCCAGCTGGAGGAATGGCTGCACGCAAAGAATCTGCAGCAGTGTGGAGCAATACAGACTTTGGATCCCTTAATTCAGGCAGCACAGCTTCTGCAGCTGAAAAAGAAAACCTCGAAAGATGCTGAGGCCATCTGCTCCTTGTGCACATCACTCACGACCCAGCAGGTAGGGAGCAGGGCAGAGATTTATGCCAGGGGCTACCGATAATTCAAGGAGTGGGAAAGTTTGGTCTCCTGGTGCCAGCTCTTCACTGCCTGGACTCAGCATGCCATTCCCATGGTGGGGACAACTTGTCCTTTTCAGGACTGATGTTAGGTACTGACCCCTGTCAGAGGTCGTCACTGTGGTGGCTCCTCTCTTACAGTGCCACTGATGGTGCTGGAGCTCCAGAAACCTGCAAAGATGAAACCCAGCCCTGAGGAGTTCATGGTGTAAGTCAGACACTTGGGATTTTAAATCCACCTGCTGTTTTTTGCCAGGGTCTAAACTGGCTAGGTCTTCAAGATGCCTACCAAGGATTCCTATTTGGGGCAGAAGGTTGAGAACTGCCCACCTGGGCTGACTGGATCTGACCTTGAACTTTGAGACTCCATTCCAGGGAGATATAAACTCATGTTTTCTGCTGCTGGATTGCCTGGCCTTAATTTGATAATGTCATAGGAAGGGAGAAGCGAGAGGTGTGAGCTGATCTCCTTTGGTTCCTGGAGATCCTTTCTCCTGTATCTTCATTTCAGTCTTGAACGTGTTCTTAAGAGAGGTGTGGCAGGGGAGGAGCAGAAGTGAGGGAGTGTCAGGATAACTGTTGTAGAGGTGACATTGGGTGCACTGGGAAGTGGTCAACCACGTCGCCATGTGCCCACTGAGTGAGTCCCTGTATAAAATCTGTTGTTCAAGTCTATTCCCAGTTTAGGAACGCTGCCACAAGATGTGATTTTTTGATAGGTCAGTAGAGGCTTACCATACCTTCCAGCAGGCAAAGGAACACCAGGATGATACTTGTGCTACTTCTGCTTCACAGTAGTGTCAAGAGCGACTTGTTATGGCCTTATCAAGACACAAACTGTTAGCAGTGCTTTGCATTCCGGAAAAGTTTGGCTTCTCATGACTGTGTGTAATCCTGTTTTCTTTTCAATAGATTATAAAGATACTTAATCTCTACAGTCCTGTGAATGAGTTCGAAGAACGTGTGACGGTAACTTTCATACGAGAAATACAGGTAAATTAAAGTATTGTAAAGTGGAGGAGATAGTAATGATTTAATACAGATGTCATTAGTACTAACTCTGGCATTTTGTAATAGACATGCTGCTGCATGTTCTCCTGAATTTAGTCCTTTGCATGTGCACATGCTTACTTGCAACCTACAGCTGCAGGGGTAACCAAGCTAGCTGTTAATGACAAAGAGCAGTCAGCATCTAAATTCCCAGCTCAGCTAATCCAATGCTGTTTAGTAGCAGCATGACTCAGAAGTAAGGTCTCAGGAGTCAGTGAAGCATTGGTGAAATGGAGTTACTTCCAAGATACAAGGCAGAAATTGGCAACTAAAGGAGAAATAACAAAATGAAAACCAAACATCTTTTAATGCTTGCAAAGAGGAGGCAGGAAAAAGAAACAGAAATGTATTCAACTACTCCTAGAATATGTCTCCGTCGCTGAGCAGCTGAATCAAAAGTGGTCTGCTGGTATCATGCAGTGCTGTTTTTGCTGTGCAGGGGGGTCATGTTGTTTCAAAGTCTTGTGTGTTGCGTCTTGGTCATGTAGAAAACATAGCCAGATTCTTCTGAAGTGGTGCTTCCCACAGTCTTTGTAGAATTTCTATAAATATTTGCTCAGAGGAAGGCTGCTGCAATAGAGAACAAACCTGTTTTTTGCAATATCTCTAGAATTGTGTACATTCTCAAACCTTTGATGTTAAACATGACAAATGTGAAGAAAAGGCAACAACTGATACTAAATTTGTTTTCTTCTCTCACACCTTATAGATGCAATTGAAAGAGCGAAATGACCCTCCACAGCTGCTGTTCGACGTGAAGTATATGTTTCCAGTTTTGTTCCCATTCAACCCCTCCTCCATAACCATGGACTCGATTAATATCCCTCCATCTCTCAAATTGGACTTTCTCAAAAGAATCTAATTAAGCTCACCTCTCCTACACAGAGACTTCCAGCGAAGAAAGAAAAATCTTTAAATATAGTTTGTGGGGAATTTGTCACAGATTCTGTGTTTGAGAAATGCAGATGCTCTTCCTAACATCATCTGCTTATCTTAAATGAATGATTGTGATCAATTCAAATTGTTAGGATTTTTTTTCACCGAACTTGTAAAATAAAACAAACCAACACTCTGATCTTACCAGGCAGATGTTGAAAGGGGCCAGCCACTCACAGAAGCAGTCATTGATTTTTTTTTTTGATTTTTTTTTTTTTCAGTAATTACCACGAGGTGTTGAGTTCTCAGTTACTGCGGAGCCACAGACCTTGCTGAGACGGGGAAAGGTGGGTTCCTGAGCCCATGGGGTGCTCTACAGTGATTCTGGTGGTGATCAGTCTGCAAACTAGTCAGAATGGCAATGCTTCTGCCACAGCTCTGCATGCCAAAGTGCAGCGAGGATGTCTGGCAGCAGCAAAAGCCCTGCTCATCCCAGCACTGTGAGCATTTCGCCCTTTCCACTTCCACAGTGGTCTTGTCCAAGTAGGTCTTAACTTACCTGCTTTTGTGGTTGCAGTTCCTGAAGTCTCAGCAATCCACGATGATTAAGAGCTTTCAAAAAAACCACCTCTCTGCATCTGACTGCTTTTAGTCGGTGTAAATTATACCCAAACAACAAATTTATGACCAAAGATACAAGTGAGAAAGATGCACTTGAAACAACAGGCTGTTTTCCTCAATTTTCAATAGTAAAGGAACAAAACTGTGCAAACTTACTATTTAACTGAAAAATCAGCATCTTGTCATTGCATATAAATATGATAATCTAATTAAAATTAATTGTATGAATGGTCACAAACCTTTTTCCTCTGATTCCATACATTACAGTTATAAATTGATTTTTCTGTTCCCTAAAGAAGTTCTAGCAATGAAGCTATTAAGTAAAACAGTGCAGAGGACATATTCCCCATTGAGTATACAATTTATTTCAAAATGTAGATGCCAGTGGTCAAAAATTTTCAAATTAAGTTGAAATTGGGAAAAAAAAAAAAATCAGAATATGTGCTACTACAGTGCAGTGTCTAGTTTGTTTGATGGGGGGGGGGGGGGTTGTGAAGTTTCATTACCTTAATAAGCAGAAAGTACAGCTGCTCCTGAAGTTGAATGATATAAAGGAGTGAATACTGCAGATTCAATACTACTGCTTACGAAATATTTTTCCATTTTGAACAAACCTGTAAACTATACTTAGAAAAATGCTTGTAATAGTCACTGTAATGTTCAGCTGTGGATTAAAAAAATTTGTGAGATAAACACTTCTGAAGCAATTGTGATTTTTTTTTTGTCTAAAATGGGAAGAAATACACCTTTCAGTGTTTACTTCTATATATTGGAAACATTTATATTTTAAAATATAAAAGTACTTTACAAATACAAATGAACAGACACAAAGCTTTTACTTAAGACTTTGAAAGATTTAGAAGTTATAACTTAATTTCAGAGGTGCTTAAATATTGTGAGCTAATTAGAAACCAACTGAATGGGGAATCTTACGGCCCTGAAGACCGTTGCCAGTGAATGGAGAAGAGAGATGCAGAGCCAGCCCTCGTGCTTGCATTTAAATGAGAGCAAGTGAATGGCAGGAAAATACAGTAAAACCCTCTGATATATATATATTTTTTTTAAAGGACAAAGCTGCATGTTGCTGTACATTCACTGAGCCCTAGATTCGTGAAATCATTGGAATTATGTACGGAAAGCAGTTGAATGATTTTATTATTTTTCTTTTTAATCCAAAATGGGATTGTTCACAGGAAAACATCTTTTTCTTCTGGAAAATTTATAAAGCTTGAGTTTCATCAGTGAAGGTATATGGCATCTTTCATTATTACATGGAATAAAAATTTTGTACTGATTACTGATCCTCCCATCTTCTGCCAGGCAGTCTGAATGGTTCCTCTAAAGTTTTTATGCACATAGGTCATACCTCAACATGCATTTCCAACCACTAGAACTCTGAAAGGCTCTTTCCATTTTTAAATCCTACCTCAACACGCATTTCCAACCACCACAACTCTGAAAGGCTCTTTCTGTTATCTCCTACGGCCAGCTGGGAGAGTGCAAGGGACATGGAGAAAACGGGGAGGCACGTCCTCCTCTTCTCCACCCAAGCTATGAAAAGCTAGAACTTGGCAGCAGGGGTAGGGCTGGGCCGGCCCTGTGCTGAGAAGCAGCCCGGGGTTACAAACTCCCATTAAAACCCCCGAGGGTTTTAATGGAAGGTCGGGAGGTGAGGGGGGAAGTGACTTGGCGCCGTGAGGGGGGGGAGCTGCCCTCAGGCCTCCCCGGGCCGCCTCCCGCGGGTCTCAGGTGCCTTTCCCAGCACAAGCGTCCTCACCGCTCCCGCGGAACTCGGCTTGCGCAGTGGCTACTCATCACGGACCACGGCTGGGCGGCCCCGGGCCGGGGAAAGGCCGGGCGGGACGGCGCCGGGCCGGGGAAGGGGCCGGCGGGGCGGAGCGGGCCCGTCCGTGGCCTACCGCCGTTGCCACGGCAACGCGGCGGGGAGCCGCCCGTTCGCCGATTCGCCAAATCCCCGCGCCGCGTTTTTCCCCCGCTGCGGGGAGGGAGAAATCAAGCCGAGAGGCGGTGGTGTTTTAAAAACAAAGCGAAAAGCCAAGCGAAGTAGGAATAGCGCGCGCGCCCCGCCCCTCCGCCCTCAGCGTGGCGAATGTGCGGGGCGGGCGGCGGCGCGGCCGGCGGCGCGGCGCGGCGCGGAGCGGACATGGCGCTGCTGCGGGGTGAGGGGCTCTGCGCGGCCGGCGGCGGGAGGTGTGAGGGGAGATGGCGGCGGGGGCGGTGTGGCCGCCGGGTGCTGAGGGCGGGGGGAGGCATAGGGGACCGGGCTTCGACGCGGCCGTCCCGGCTGGCCTGCCCGGGGGGGCCGGAATGTTTTATATTAAACAAATGGCGGCCTGTCAAAAACCACGAATCGGCGCTAAGGTGCAGGGCGCGGAGAAGGGGTGCGCGGTGTCGGTCTCACGCCGCTGCTGTGAGCGCTGTTTTACGCGACAGAAGTTTGGCTTTCTTCAGTCCTTCAGGCAGCTGTGGTACCAGCAGAGCTGTGGCAAGGGGGACGTAGGTATGTCCGACCACTGTCCGTGTTTAGGTGCGGTGACTGGAAGTGACACTTGAACTGTCAGTGACTGAAAGTTTCTTTTGTCACACCCAGCCCCTGCCTGTGTTAGCACTAGTAGTGCAGGGTAAACTCCGTGCGTGCCTACAATTACTGGGAGTGCTTTGTGTAAATAAGTGCTTTATTTTCTAGGTGGTTTAAATTTTTTGTCTCTTAAAAAATGAGTTAAATACACTCTTTAGTGCCTGATTTTGTTTAAGAACAAAATTGAAATTTCTTGAGATAGGGCTTTTAATCTGTTTGACAGTGCTTTGCTACTTGACAGACTCTACCTAAATAATAACAGACATGTAAGTCATGGTTTGAGGTTTCAGTGCCAGAAGCCTGCCCAGTCAGTGTTGCAGTAATTCTGTATTGCTCTACTGAGCTGGGTAATACGGAGATTAGTTTTGCCTGTTTCAGGATCATCTCTCATCTCTTGCCACAATATTTTTCATACATTGTTTTTCTTGCTACTTATTTTTTTTGGGGGTTAATGGTTGTTTTTTAGGCCTTCAAAATAGCATCTGACATTTTTGTACCAAGTGCATTTGAGAAATGTTGGAGGATTAGAGAATGTTTCAGACGTATAATAACAGACCACCATTTGGTGGCAAGTGGTTAAAAAAAAAAAAAAAACAGATTACAAGATGGTTTCAGTGTTTGGTAAGGATTCAGACTGAGCTTTGCTTTCTATCTCCAGAGGTTTCAAGATCCCTATGCATTTGGTAGTAGTCTGTTTCATCCAGTGTTTATCACTTTGGAAAAGTTCAGAGACTCTCTAAGTCTTGCCATGGTAATACAGAACAATATTAATTAATGGAGACTTAGGAAGAGCTGTCAAAGGCCACAGATTCCTTTCTTACTCAGGATGTTAGCCACTCTTAGTTGCCCCTCCTAAAGTTTTGTGGAGGGAGTAGGATTTGTTGATGTCTCTCTAATCAAGCAAAATTAGGCAGTCTATGGAGTAATACACCCTTAGGGGAATGGCTCTGTGGTCAGTGTAATTCAGCAAAACATCACTGCTAGGAGGGGCTATGCTGCTTCTTTTCCCCTTGCTGGCTCAGTCCAGCCTTCTCTTAGTCTGGAAATATGTTTTATTGAGCAGCCAGAAAGTGAACTCAGTCACGTTAGCCCCTCATTTTCTGCCGACTCGGTTAGTCTTTGGCTTTACCGCAGTCGTGTGCTCTGCTCTGATTTACACTTTGGTCCCGCGGTGCTGTTGTGAAAAAGTGAGCAGCCTGATGAAAGAGAGAGAGATGTTGTTATTGTGAAAGGAGGGTTTAAGGGCAAAGTTCCATTCTCGTCCCCAGACTGTTTGTAAGGCAACACGGTCTTTGCGGTTGAGCAAATAATGTAGAAAACCAACAACCTGGCCAAAAGGGAGGAGAACAAGTTCTTTTAGCTTGATCAGGCCCCTGAACTGATCTGCAGCAAAGCCTTGTAATCAGCTACTGTTGGCAGAATTTTGGAGGAAACAGAGGGACAGGAATCAGTGGACAGGAGGAGTGGTGGCAAAATGAGTGCCAAGGCCGGCTTTGCTGCAGGGAAGATAAGCTTAGAAACTTGGGATCATCCTTAAAAGAGCTAAGGGTCTTTTTTTACAAGCATTGTTAACATTTAATGAAGACTCAAACTTAACATTCTAGAAATTATTATTAATACAATACATTTTGGATTGTTAAATGAAAACTACTAGTCTACATTTAAATCTGTCACCTGAATACTTAAGAGAGTCTAGGGACTAATTCTGCAGTGACTGTACTGAACACACCTGTTTTCTTTAAACATAAATCAGTTCAATTATTCTCACATTTGTTAAATAAACTTGTAAGGGTTCATACTTTGTGCTTGTTAATAATTTTCAGCTTTTGGGGAAAAAATACATACAACCAAAGCAAAAAATGTTCAGTCCATGGTTTAAGAATTGTTTTGGATTAAATTTAATTACCTGCTGGTATCAATTGGATGATGGTTAAATTAAGAGGGGAACAATGATGGGTATAGCATACACTGTGTATCTACAGGGGATCAGCTCTGAACATTTGTTCCAAGCCTGGGTACAGCACCTTCCCTGCAGCACCAGCTTTGGTACTTTTCAGACCTCCGAATATATAGAGACCTCTTGAGATATGTATTTTTAATGACTGTGATGTTCGCTCTGTGCTTAAAAACTTGAGGAGTGGACTTTTTGGATGTATAATAGTTAGCAGTTATTTAGTCCTTTGAGGAAATAAATTCTGTTTCTTACAGTTTAGGGATAGTTACCATGTCAGCACTACATTTTAAGGAAGCAGCAGTAGTGTGCTTAGCAAAGACTTCTTTCTAAGGTCTTCTGGGTACCCCAGAAAGAAGCCCATGGGCAGCATCAAGTTGGGAGGGTGTTACTCTATTTTGCTGTCTTCATGGCTTTGAAAGCTGCATGGTTTTTCACATGGATCATCCCTATCCTTGAAGCTGCAGTTCTTGCTTAGTCTACTTCGGATATTTTCCAGATGATCTTCTGACCATATGCATTGCCTGTTTCATATCCCAATATTGTGTTCAAGGCCTTGTCAGTGGAGCAAGCTTGACCTTCACCAGTTTGGAAGGTCCTTTTCTACATGTCATGCAGACTGGGATCCAAATACATGAGAGAGAGAGGAGTACCGTCTACCAACAAACCAGCCAAAGAATATGGATCACATGGCCTCTAACAGAAGTCTTGAGAAGTGTTCACAAGCAGCTTAATGAACAGGCATTTTCATTTGCCTTCATTCTTTATATCTGTATATATCCTTCCAGTGTTACCTAAAATAACTGTGAATGCCTCCTGGCAGTTGTAGAACACGGGTGTGTGAGCTCTGTTGTTTAACTGGGGGAAAGTTCACAAGCTGCCTCCCACTTGATTCTGCATGTGGAAGCAGAGGGATGCAGTGACAAGCAGTCAGTAGATGCTTGCTTTGGTTCAGAGACAGCTTCTCCTAAGCAGAAATTCATATAGATTACTTCTGGCCAATGCATTTGTACACACGCGTTTGCAAATACTCTCCTGTCCATTGAAAACTGGATTTTCTTTCTCTGAAACTGGAAGACTGATGCTAATGCAGTTTAGATGATCTCTGGAAATACTAGGTTTTTGATTAAGGGATATTTTTCCTCTTAAAGTAATCAAAGTTAAAATGCATATAAAATGTTTTTTTGTTTTGCTTTATTGCTTCTTTTTTATTCTTTGTGAAAACTGTTTCAGAGTATAAGCCAAAAATCTGCTGGTTTTTCTAGGATGAGGGAATGGCCTCTTTGTTTTTTAAAAGAACTGTTCCTCATCTGATTATTTCACATGTGGCCACTATAGGATTTCATGGATGTTACTTCCATGCTTTTAGTACACCAGCACCAATGTCTGATGTGGTGTGGCAGCCTCCTTTGTCTGTCTGGAATCCAAACTACATGGGGTTTTTTTCCAAACTCTTTGTGGAAAACAGGTATTTCTGGAATCTTTCCAGCTTTTCTTTCTGACCATCAATTCTACATACCTTCCTGGTCTAAAGCATTGCTATATATTATTTATCTTGAACTGCATGAGTTCACATTGCCTATACTTGCAAAGCTCCTTGTGAATTCAGGATGTTACACAGTTGAGTCTGACTTCATGATTTTCTGTTTGTTAGATTCTGTACATCTGGCTAATTCTTGCTTCTGTTGCAGGTGTATTCATTGTTGCAGCAAAGCGAACTCCTTTCGGGTCCTATGGAGGTTTGCTGAAGGACTTCACAGCCACTGATCTGACAGAACATGCTGCTCGAGCAGCGCTGGCTGCTGGCAAGATCTCTCCGGAGATCATTGACAGTGTCATTGTTGGCAGTGTCTTGCAGGTTGGTGGCATGGAAAATTTACTGGTTGGTGATAATTTCAGTCAGCTCCTTCAGTGTGGTCCTATAGATAGTTACTTCTGTCTTGCAGACAAGAATAAACCAAAGGGTTGGAAATGAAATGGGTAAGTAGTG